ATGCCATGATGAATCTATACCTACAAATATCAGGATCCTAAAAAGCACGGTATTCCCTGTGATATACCACAGAAGCAAAATTTGGATTTTGAAGAGAATTGACACTTTTGAACTTTGATTTTAGAGAAGACTTCTGAGGCTACCACAGACAACCAAGAAAACAAACGTATAAACCATCGAACAAACTAGGGCATAAAAAATCTTTAAAAATCTTAAAAATCTTAAACTAGGGCATAAAAAATCTTTGCCAGACCAATTCTCGAATACAGCTCGTCTGCCTGGAATCCATACTGTATATCGGACATTAATACAATTGAGCGGGTCCAGAGGTATTTCACGAGAAGAGTACTCCACTCTTCTGCTCACAATAGAATACCTTATGCCACCAGGCTTGAAATTTTGGGCTTGGACAACCTAAAACTATGCCACCTACGGTCTGACCTAAGCATAATACACAAAATTGTCTGCTACAACGTCCAAGCTTTCAGCTTCAACCTCAATAATACAGGGGCAAACAATAGATACAAACTCAAGGTAAACCACTCCAAACTCGATTGCAGAAAATACAATTTCAGCAACAGAGTGGTCAATGCCTGGAATGCACTACCTGACTCTGTTGTTACATCCTCAAACCCCCAAAACGTTAACTTAAACTGTCTACCGTGGACCTCACCCCATTCCTAAGAGGTCTGTAAAGGGGCATGCATAAGCACACCAGCGTGCCTACCGTCCCTGACGTACCATCCCCATTTATTCGTGCTCATTTCCTGTGTTCATGTCCATGTTTATACTTATACCTGTTTTCTCGTACATGTTTGACAAACTAAATAAAATCAGCACAGAATTCTCACTCAAGGCACACATGACCAGGCTCAAATTTCCTACCTTAGACATACAATACAAAGACCCAGCTCTCTAGAGAAGTTCCTATTGCTGGCAAAAGTGGAATGAAAAAGTCTACCTAACAGCCAGGTGAATGGATTCAGTTACAGTGGTGATGGATGGTCCATTGGAAAACATGAAAGACAAGGTTAGGGACAGATTATCATGAAGAAAATTTATCAATGTGATCACTAAACTTGAATGATTTGATGGCATATAATAAATAAATAAACTCCCAATCCGATTTCCATCAGAAGTTTTGAGATTACACAGATTTGCACCAGCTTTAATTTACTTTACACTTAGAAAATGTACTTACACTGCTCTCTACCTGGCTAATCTATCATGATTCTCATCTGAATACAACATCTCTTCTGAACTGAGTTCAGTTCTGGTTGATTTTAGGGCAGAGTTTTCAAATTTTTTCAGACTGCAGAATGTGAACTCCATCAAGTTTAAGAGAATTCTAGGATTCTGCAGAACACAGTTTGAAAAACTTCAGAACAGTTTCAGTACAATATACATCCCTAAACTTGAGAACAATGCAAAAGGAAATTGTTTTATGTTTAATGGTTTTCATTTTTTTAATTGGCTTTTAATGATTTTATTTGTTTTGGCTGTTTATTTGCATGTGTTTATTGCTTTATTTAATTCTGACCTACCCACAGTCACATATGTGAGATGAGCAGCTACATAAATTGAATAAATGAAGTAAATATTTAATAAATTGCCATTGCCTTTCTCCATGATCTTTTTTAACTTCCCTGCCTAGGGTACTGATTTTCCCTGGTGCTTGAGAAATTTCAAGAAAATTAAAGATAACAGTCCCTGGCTAGCATCAAAAGGGAAAATTGTACATTGGAAAGATCAGAGGTTTTCCATCCTCACTGTCATTATTCGAACTATTTTTTATTAATCAAGTTCAGGGAATTAACAAAAAGGGCTGCAGTTTAAAGTCCACCACACCCTTAGCAAAAATTGAACTTATTTAATTGGGATCACTACAAGTCATCTGAAGACAGAAGGCTGAACGAGAGATGATAATTACAGATTTTTAAAAAATGCAATTTTATCCTTTATTTATTTGCCAAATTTATATGGCCACCCATCTCACACAAAGTGACACTGGATGACATATATTCAAACCAGCAATTACAATTCTGGCTCTGGCTCTAATTAAGAAAGTCTTGGCCAACAGAACGAAAAAGTAAACAGATTTAGAAGTAGGAAAGGAGAAGGGAGATATAGCAAGTAAGGTGGTTTACTTTCTTATTTTAGAGCGGCTTAGTAAAATAAACCAAGGCTGAGGTGTGAAAGCTGTTCATAAGTCATTCTTGCAGGTTATTTTCCATTCCTTCAATTGATTTTGCACCTGACTGGTTGCAAGGAGCTGGATAAAAACTAATCTAACTAAAGTTTGCCCTGAATCTCAGAGAACTTTGATTATTGAGTTTGATGATCCTGTCCTCTGAAGAAGGAGTGGGGAACGATGGCCCTTTTATGATTTGTGGACTTCAACTCCCAGAATTCTTGAGCCAACCATGCTGGCTCAGGAATTCTGGGAGTTGAAGTCCACAAGTTATAAAGGGTCCATCGTTCCCCACCTCTGTTCTAAAGCATCTTCTCAGGTTTTGACATGATTGGTAGCAAGCAAGGAAATATAACAAAGAAATTGGTTGCATTAGACCAGAGGTCTTCAAACTTGGCAGCTTTAAGACTTGTGGACTTCAACTCCCAGAATTCTCCAGCCAGTTATGTTGGCTAGAGAATTCTGGGAGTTGAAGTCCACAAGTCTTAAAGCTGCCAAGTTTGAAGACTTCTGCATTAGACGAAAAGTAGATTGAGGTCAATTCCCCCTTACACTAGTTTATAACTTCTGAACATGTGCTAGTAACCCTTTTATATGCCATGTTCTCATGATTTTGTATGCCTCGCAGCCCAAACAAGAGAAAGTCTCAATCATAAAAGCCACAAGGCTGGGATTGAAGCTCTCCTGTTTTCTGCATACAAGGCAGACCTTTGATTGCATAATCATGGCTGCCATCTTGAATTTTTTTACCACACGTTGCAAACACCCTTGCCTCAAAAATATATAATCCCAACCTTTCTTTGTCTTTTTTCTGGTTTTTCCCCCCCTCTCCCTTCCTCTTTTCTTTCTTTCTTTCAGAACAAATGGATATATTTACAGCCCTGGGCCATGGCTCTTCTCTGCCTTTAAATAAATAAACAAGTGAACAAATAATATTTATGGAGCCGGTATATGACCCGAGGCATCATTGGTAATTAAGATGCTTTGGGAAATTAGTGTTTTGCTTGTGGCTTCCTTTTTTGTTTTGTTTAAAATTAAGCCAATTCTTTTAAACAAAATAATAATCAAAAGTTGAGAGATGAGAAGCATTTCATAAGTGCCTTGACACCTACAGAAGCCAAACTGGAGATCCCAGCATTAAATTTACAGTTGAGTGCCAGCACTGAAGCCATCCTGGGCCAAGTGTCAACATTTTTGTACTTCTGGATCGTCCTCTAATTTCTGTCTCATTCAGTTCAACCGTCAAGATTCCCTCATCAATGGCCCCTCTTCCTGTTATTTTATTTTTATTTCATTTCATTTTAAATTGATTATGTGCCATCAAGTCGTCATTGAATCTTAGCGACCACAGAGATAGATTTTCTCCATCACACTCTGTCCATAACCTGGTCTTTTAAGGTCTTCCAATAGTTTTCAAAAACCAAATCATCCATAAATAGCCCTAAACTCTGTGATTAGTTTACAATAAAACTTATGTCTGTCTGTCTATCCATCATTCTATTCAGTTCGAATTAAAAAATAAAATAAAATAAAATAAAATAAAATAAAATAAAATAAAATAAAATAAAATAAAATAAAATAAAATAAAATAAAGTAAAGTAAAGTAAAGTAAAGTAAAGTAAAATATTAAATTAAATTTAAAAATAAAATAAAATAAAATAAAATATTAAATTAAAATAAAATAAAACATAAAATAAAATATTAAATTAAATTTAAAAATAAAATAAAATAAAATAATAAGAAATGAAATGAAATGAAATGAAGTAATAAAATAAAATACAAGATTACATGAAAAACCAGCTGGGCAACTTTGGACCAGTTCCTCTCCCTCAGTCCAAGCCACCTCGCAGGCATGTTGTTTGGAGGGGAAAATAGGAGGAGGAAGGATTAGTAGGTATGTTCGCTGCCTTGACTTGTATATGAAAAATAAAAAGGAAAAATAAAAATACACTATGCAAACTAGACAGCTGCAAGATGGTCAGCAAATATAGAGCCATATGAATTAAAATAGGATTAAAATGAGAAAATAAAAGGATTTTCGCCTACCATTTGAAATAGTACTAATGCAGGCTCCACTGGAATCTTTCAGGGAGGGAATTCCATAAGTGGTGGTTCCAACAAGAAAAGAGCTCTCCTTCTCTCTTATAATCATTTCTCTAAAAGACAAGAAGGAGAGGAAGAAGGAGAAGGAGGATTCAGAAGAAGGCCCACTTAATTAAAAAAAAAAATACATAATGATATAAGTGCACATATTGCTGCATGCAGCATCCCGCCGAGTTGCAAGTTCTAGGCTGAATTTGGTAGGTCACTTCCAGCTTGGCACCATCAGACAACGGACGGGATGCAGTTTGTCTTTGTGTACAGCAGAGCTTAGGGACTGAAAAGTCCATGCACGTCCTCACCATCTCTCCATGCCACCTGAGCTCCTCAACTAGCTTGTTCTTTGGCCCCTAGGCTAACCTACGGCCCTCCAATTTTGTGAGGAACAGGACAGTCTTGATTGCAAGCTGGGAATCCTGGAAGCTGAAGTCCACCCGGCTTAAAAATTGCCAAGTGTGAAAAAAACTGCTTTAGAGGCACAGCAGTTTCGTTAGAAGAAAACTATCCATTTCAGAGACAGCCTTGATGACGGACGCAATTGCTAATGTCCCTTTATCTGGGCCCCGTGTAGTGTGACGAAGGGCTGGGTGAATTTCTTTTCCTGGATTCTTTAGCTACCTGAAGGAGGAAACAGGCTGAAGAGGTGGGGGATTTCCCCAGTGCCGCTCAAGCTATTTAACCGGCAGAGTGAAGGGCATGTTCTGGAGTAAAGGAAGCTGAGAGACAAGGCGACACTCCTTTCCTCCTCCATCATCTGGCCAAGCATGCTGCTCTCCTTGCTCCTCTGCGCGGGGATTGTGAGCGGATTCCGCCCCAACCCTGAATCGAGAGGGAACCCAAATGACTTCACAGATGCTGACATCACGGAATTGGGGGCGCTGAGGGCAGTAGCCTGGTACATGGAGAGGAACCCCCTTCCTGGAAGATCTGCCCTGGCTCCTGGAGAGCTAGAAAACATGAAGCCATTGAATGCAACCGGGCTCTTCAAGGCCTATTACAAAGGTGAGCTGGCTCTGGGGCCCAAAACAAAAGGATTCATCTTGGTCCAAAGCCCAGTGTCCTGGCCCTCAATTCTAAGACACTGGTTCCCCTTGTCATACTGACAACTAAATTGCATTGTTCTTCCCAAATCTGACCTTTCTCCAACACCACTCTTTCCAGAAAGCTAAATTGTGATTAGCTGTGCTTCATCTCACCTTCCGACCATGAAAGAGTCATCATCTGAGGGAACATTGGGGTATATTGATCAATCTGTATAGAGTCTAGATAGCTCTTCTCAACTCTTTTCAGCCCTTTCTTCCATACAATCAAACATTGTCTGTATTGAGTTGACTTGAATTGGATGAGTTGGGCTCCAATTCCCATATTTCCCAGCCATCTGGAGCGGAAACGGAGGAGAAATATTTTAATGTTATCTCTTTGAGCCTTAGCCCTGGCTAGATCTAGAAGGAGGGTAGCCCTTTTAGAGCTATGCCCAATTGGGTTGCAGATGTGGCATCAGCCAAGATCCTGGGGCAGAGGTGGAGGTGTGGCAAATATTACAGAATAACAGAGTTGGAAGGGACCTTGTCAGTCATCCAGTCCAGCTTTCCTGCGTGAGCTCACCGACTCCATTGCTGGGTTGACAATGGATTTCCCCAGATTTATGGTCTTTAGGGAATTCGATTGTCTTTCTCGAGGAATGGGGCCTGAGGTGGCTTGGGAGTTCATCACCACCACGACAGCCATGAGGCTATCTCAGAGCCAGACATGGAAAAATGGCCAAACACTAGATCTGATGTTCCTGTCAGAGCGCTGGCTCTGAGATCTAATATCGGGGGAGCTTTTGGTGACCCTCTTATCATGGTTAGCTAACACCCTGATTATCAAGGGATTCTCTAGCACCACCACCTATTAGTTTGATCTGCCCCCCCCCCCAGCAACTAATGAACCTTAATAGATTCTCCTCAGGGGTGGGTTCTACTTACCTTTACTACCGGTTCACAACGGGCGCGCACACACACTTCTGCACATGAACATAAGCTTCTGCACCTGCGCACATCATCAATTATGACATCCGGGCAGGTGGGTGGAGGCTTCTGCCGCTTTTATTACCGGTTCGCAAGAATCGGACAAAACTGGGAGCAACCCACCACTGATTCTCCTGGTCTCTGTATGGTTCCTCCAAAGCCCCGTTTGCCGCTTGGTATAAGGGGCCCTCTGAGGCTTTGGATTGGACTCACAACTCCTGCTGAAAGAGCAGGTGGCAGTTTTGGCTAAGAGACCCTTTGCACAGCTGTTGTGTGCCACTTGCACCAGCCTTGCCTCGCCTCCCAGCCACTCGCCTCAAAGGCCTCAACATATCTATAATTCTGTAAAAAAAATTGTTCACCCTTTTTCGACTTTATTATCTGCATCTACATACTATAGATGTACTTCCATGGACCACTGAAAGGAGGAAATGGCTCACATGCTTTGCCCAAGAGTGTGATAGGCAGGTCACAAAACAGGCTTTTGAGGGGATGCCACAAACAAGGAGGGGGCGGCAATATTTATTTATTCATTCATTCATTCATTATTCGTATTTCTATGCCGCCCACTCTCCGAGGACTCTGGGCGGCTTACAACAAAGACAACATGAACAACATATTGCCCCCAACAATCTGGGTCCTCATTTTACCCACCTCGGAAGGATGGAAGGCTGAGTCAACCAAATATATTTTCCAAAGCAACAGAAAGCAAAACAAGAAGCAATGGATGGAAACTGAACAAAGAAAGAAGCAACCTAAAACTAAGGAGAAACTTCCTGACAGTGAGAACAATTAACCAGTGGAACTACTTGTCTCCAGACGTTCTGGGTGCTCGATCCCTGGAAGTTTTTAAGAAAAGATTGGACAGCCATTTCTCTGAAATGGTATAGGGTCGTTCCCCCCACCCCACCCCAGGGTCCCTTCTAAGTGTTATTCTGTTATTCTGACATCTTTCCCAGGCCCTCCACTCAGATTTTGGCATCCTCAGTTTTCCTGCCTGAGCAGGGGGTTGGACTAGAAGACCTCCAAAGTCCCTTTCTGTTATTCTGTTATTCCTGAGCTTAATAGATAAGACCCTCATTGGGATCCTTTCTCTTTTGCTCCCTCTGGACTAATGAGTTAAAGAGCTGCCTCTAGACATTCATGTTAATAAGATTTTTAGAAACCTGCAGTTGAAAGTTCTTCATGTCTCCTTACCCTGAAGACCCAATTTCATTGGGAATTTAATCCCAAGACCTTTTAGCATTTCTCTTGACACTTCTCCAAAATGCACCAAGAAGCCACATCACTTTTCTCTCCCTCTCCCTCTCTCTCTCTCTCTCTCTCTCTCTCTCTCTCTCTCTCACACACACACACACACACACACATTCAATTTAAGCAAATTCCCTTGTCTTGGAGCCTTTAGAATCATAGGCTAGAAGGTACCTTGGAGGTCTTCCTCTTCACCCTTCTGCTCAAGGTAGAAGACCTCATACATCCCAGTCAAATGTTTGTCCAGTCTATTTTTGAAAACCTCTAGTGATGGAGCACCCACAATTTTAAGAGGCAAGCTGTTCCCTTGGTTAATTGTTCTCACTGTCAGAAAATTGCTCCTTACTTCTAAGATAGATCTCTCTTTAATAAGTTTCCACCCATTATCTCTGGTGCTTTGGAGAACAAGACAATTCCCTCTTCTCTCTGACAGCCTCCCAAATACTGGGAGACAGTCATCATGTCCCTCAGCACCAAAAAAAAAAGTGATTTATGACCAGTTTTCACACTTATGACTGTTGCAGCATCCTCGCAGTCATGTGATCAAGACTAGTGATATGCAACTAGCATATATTTCTGAAAGTTGCACTGTCTCGCGATCACCATTTGTAACCTTCCCAAGCTTCCAACAAGCGAAGTCAGTGGGGGGGGAGCCAGATTCAGTTAACGACCGCATGATTCACTTAACAGCTGTGGTAAGAAAGGTTGTAAAATGGAGCAAAACTCACTTAACAACTGCCTTGCTCAGCAAAGGAAATTTGGGGGCCAACGAGAGAGAGAGAGAGAGAGAGATGAGGGAGGGAGGGAAGGAGGGAGGGAGGGAAGGATAGAGAGAGAGAGAGAGATGGATGGAAAGAAAGAAAGAAAGAAAGAAAGAAAGAAAGAAAGAAAGAAAGAAAGAAAGAAAGAAAGAAAGAAAGAGGGAGGGAAAGAAGGATGGATGGATGGATAGATAGATAGATAGATAGATAGATAGATAGATAGATAGGGATGGGTGGATGGATGGATGGATGGATGGATGGATGGATGGATGGATAGATAAAAAAGAAAGAGAGGGACAGATGGACAGATGGAAGGAAAGAAAGAGATGGATGGAAAAAAGAAAGAAAGAAAGGGAGGGAGGGAGGGAAGGATGGGTAGGTAGGTAGATAGGTAGGTAGGGATGGATGGATGGATAGATAGATAGATAGATAAAAAAGAAAGAGGGAGGGACAGATGGGCAGATGGAAAGAAAGAGAGAGAGAGAGAGAGGGAAAGAAAGGAAGAAAGAAAGAAAGAAAGAAAGAAAGAAAGAAAGAAAGAAAGAAAGAAAGAAAGAAAGAAAGAAAGAAAGAAAGAGGGAGGGAGGGAGGGAGGGACAGACAGACAGACAATGACAGATTTTCAAAGAATGGATATTGTATATGCCAGATAGATTGAAAGATCAAGAAGAATACTACTATTGTTACTACTACTACTACTGAGGACAATAATTTTAACTGATCCAGTTTTTTTTTTTTACACAGCTGATGTCTCTCCCAGCCGATTCATAAAAGCCCTCCAGGAAATTATCACTGGAAATAATCTTGTGGAATCGTCTAGAGGCAACAACGACTACTACTTCTACTGTGAACAGATCGGCAAAAGTAAGATGGGATTTATGGTTGTTGCTGCTTAGAAGGAGGGGTATGTTCAGTGGTAGGGAGGGTGGAATTAGGAACTAGAAGAAACTCAGCTTTGACTGGAAACAGGTCAAGAGTCTAACAGAGGCAGTCATTCTAGCCCAATCCAGTAAAAAATCTCCAGCCAAAAAGATGTGCACCCAAGTCCAGGTTATAGACTTGGGATAGAGAGAGATTGCAACCAGTGGGTTAAAGGAAAACAAAATATAAAATGTGATAATTATGCCATGTTTCCAGTTGAGTTACGGTTGACCATGTTTGGTTCATTAGTAAGTATAGTTTTGGCCAATTCCATTATTCATTCACCAGAAATCATTTATCCCGCCGATGAATTCACTACAATCTCTGCAGCAATGGTGGGGAATCTGTGAAATTTCAGATATTGCTGAACTAAAGTTCCCAACATGCCTCACTATTGGCCATATTTGAATTCTGTTTAAAGGGCTAGAGTTGGTGCCTTTGTTCAAAACTGAAAATTGCTCGGTTTTAATTTAGCCACAGTGGATAAAGTTGACGTTATTTGTCCAACACTCCCTTTCCTGCTGTCAGCACGTTTGTGGTTTAATGCTTGTCTGTTATATAAAGGATGGAGTGGCTTTCTTATTGTGTACATCTGTCACTGACCTTCAGGTTCTGTTCAAAGAAAGAGCTTTGGACAAATAATAAAAGTCAATATTTGCAGAGGGTAAGTTTGTTTACATATAGCAGAGACTTTTGATTTCATGAACAAGAGTACGTATTTTTTTTTATTTTTATCTTGCCTTTTTTTATAAACAAGCCAGGGAACATACTTAATACTCCTTACTCCACATTTTTTCCCCACAACAACAACAACAACCCTGTGAGGCAGGGGTGAAATGCTCCTGGTTCGGACCGGATCGCCTGATCCGGTAGCGATGGAGGCAGGTGGTTCGGAGAACCGGTAGCAAAAACCCCTCCCCCCACAATGCCTAGCTGAGCCGCACAATCATCAGAGGCTTTTTTTTTTTTTACTTTTAAAAGCATTTTTTCTACAACCTCTTCGGCCGAAAAAATGCTTTTAAAAGTAAAAAAAAGCCTCAGATGATCGCGCGGCTCAGCTGGGATCATCAAAGGCTTTTAAAAGAAAAAAACCCTTTTTTTCTTTTAAATGCCTCTGATGATCCAAGCTGAGTTGCCTGATCATCAGAGGCATTTAAAAGAAAAAAAGCCTCTGCCGATCAGGCAACTCAGCTGGGATCGTCAGAGCCTTTTGAAAGCATTTTTTTGCAACCTCTTCACCGAAGAGGTTGTAGAAAAAATGGTTTTAAAAGTAAAAAAAAAAAATTGGCCACACCCACACAGTCACATTACCCCCCCCACCAAGCCACGCCCACAGAACCAGTAGTAACAAATTTTAGATTTCACCACTGAGTATAGGTATGAGTGATTAAAGTCGAAGGTATCGAAAAGGTTTCAAAAGCCAGTTGGAAACGTATTTTGAAGTCACACCCAAGCAAAAAACCAGCATTGATTCCTTAGGCTTCCTTGATTCTACCAGTATCCTGAGTTTGATCAATGCCTAACTGGTACCATCCTTCTGGACTGGCACACAGAAAACGTTCTTTGATCAATACCAGCCAAGGGCATATTTGCAGAGCTGGTCCTCCCATGAAGCATAAAATGGAAAGATGGCTGAATCAGGCCTAAATTTAATCCATCCTAACCAGTGGTGGGTTTCAAATTTTTTTACTACCGGTTCTGTGGGTGTGGCTTGGTGGGCATGGCTTGGTGGGCATGGCAGGGGAAGGATATTGTAAAATCTCCATTCCCACCCCATTCCAGGGGAAGGATATTGCAAAATCCACATTTCTTCCCGATCAGCTGGGACTCGGGAGGCAGATTGGGGCGGGGCCAGTCAGAGGTGGTATTTATCGGCTCTTTGAACTACTCAAAATTTCTGCTACTGGTTCTCCAGAACTGGCCAGAACCTGCTGAAACCCACCTCTGACCCTAACACTTCTGGTGTTCAAGATATTCCAGGGAAAGAGACATGACTCAAAGTTTAAATTAGTATCACCTGGCCTAATAGCACTTATATAAACACTCAAGAATTTTAGGAAATAGACTGACAAACTGAACATATCCAAAGGACAGCAATCAAGCTAACAAGGATTGTGGTTGGAAGCCATGGGTGAATTTACCCTGGAGAAGAAGAGTCTAGGACAACTTGCCATGGCCAACTTCCTGAAGCCAACACACCGCAGCCAACTCGCTGCGGGACAACTCACTTCAAGACAAGAGTTACACTAATATCAGACAAGTGGTAGAATAGAATCATTAAAGAAAGAATGCAAAAGGAGGGACAAAATGAATGACAAAAATTAAAATATTTTTTCATGATTTTAAATAATTATATTGAACTGTTGAATTGTGCCTCAGCAAGTTGGCCATGGTGAGTTAGTCCACAGCGAGTTGTCTCATTCTGGAGAAGGGAGTACAAAGAGATATATGAACTCTTGTCCCCAAGTATTGAAGGGCTGTAATCTAGAAAGTAGGATAGAATTGCTCACTATCCTTCCAAAATATAGGACAAAGAAAGAGAGGGTTGAAATTACAAGGAAGTAGATTTTGATCAGCGGTGAAATCTGAAATTTGTTACTACCGGTTCTCTGGGCATGGCTTGATGGGGGTGGTGGTAATGTGACTGGGTGGGCGTGGCCATTTTCATTTTTTTACTTTTAAAACCATTTTTTCTACAACCTCTTTGGCGAGGTTGTTTTTTTTAAAAAAGCCTCTGTCGATCAGGCAACTCAGCTTGGTTCGTCAGAGGCATTTAAAAGAAAAAAAAGGGTTTTTTTCTTTTAAAAGCCTTTGATGATCCCAGCTGAGCCGCGCGATCATCAGAGGCTTTTTTTTTTTACTTTTAAAAGCATTTTTTGGCCGAAGTGGTTGTAGAAAAAATGCTCTTAAAAGTTTTTTAAAAAAGCCTCTGATGATTGTGCGGCTCAGCTGGGCGGGGGGGGGGAGGGATTTTTGCTATCGGTTCTCCGAACCACCCGCCTCCATCGCTACCGGATCAGGCGATCCGGTCTGAACCGGGAGCATTTCACCGCCGATTTTGATTGCATATGAGGAAAAAAAAATCCTGCAGTAAAAATTGTGTTTCAGGAGATAGCAGTTTCCTGATGTAACCTTAGAGAGAATGGTTAAAGTACACGGGTAGTCCTTGACTTATGACCACAACTGAGCCTAAAATTTCTGTTGCTAAATGAGGCATTTGTTAAGTGAATTTTCCCCGTTTTACAACCTTTCTTGTCACAGCTGTTAAGTGAAACACTGCAGTTGTTAAGTTAGTAACACGGTTGTTAAGTGAACCGGGCTTCCCAATTGACTTTGCTTGTCAGAAGGTTGCAAAAGGTGATCACATGACCTTAGGATACTGTAACCGTCATAAATATGAGACAGTTGCTAAGAGTCTGAATTTTGATAATCTGACCATGGGGATGCTGCAAGGGTCGTAAGCGTGAAAAAATGGTCATTGTAACTTTGAACGGTCACTAAAGGAACTGTTGTAAGTGGAGGACTACCTGTAATTGGGCATGTAGCTGTTGAGAAGAATATCAGTAGCCATCTTTCTCTCATTTTCTAGTTTTGTCTACCTTTTTTCTTTTTCTTTTATTTCTCTTTTTTTGTTTTCTCTGTTCTATTATAGTTTTGATAGATGATAGATAGATAGATAGATAAACAGATAAACAGATAGACAGATAGATATAGATGTAGATAGATATAAAATAGATAGATGATAGAGATAGAGTTATAGAGCTGTATAGATTAGATAGTAGGTATAGATTAGATAGCTATAGCTATATATATATATATATATATATGCATATTCTTTCTAGCCAGGTTTTACCTACGTAAACTTAGTTGTTCTACAGCCCTAGGTTCTGTGAAATATATATATATATAGCTATAGATGTAGATAGATAGATAGATAGATAGAGATAGATAGATAGATGTAGATGTAGATAGATATAAAATATAGATAGAGATAGAGCTATATAGATTAGATAGATGTAGATAGATATAAAATAGATGATAGAGATAGATAGAGATAGAGATAGAACTATATCGATTAGATAGATCTAGGTATAGATTAGATAACTATAGCTACAGTTATAGATACATAGATATAGATGTAGATAGATAGATGATAGATAGATAGATAGATAGATAGATAGATAGATAGATAGATAGATAGATAGATAGATAGATAGATTAGATGATGGTGGTGATAGATAGATAGATGATAGATAGATAGATAGATAGATAGATAGATAGATAGATAGATAGATAGATAGATATGTAGATAGATATAAAATAGATAGTAGATAGAGAGAGAGAGAGATAGAACTATATAGATTAGATAGATGTAGGTATAAATTAGATAGCTATAGCTACAGATATAGATACATAGATATAGATGTAGATGTATAGATGTAGATAGATACATAGATATAGATGTAGATGTATAGATGTAGGTAGATAGATATAAGATAGATAGATAGATAGATAGATAGATAGATAGATAGATAGATAGATAGATAGATAGATAGATAGATAGACAGACCAACCGACCGAGAGGTCCAGAAGCAAGATGGCCTTCTGGGGGGGGATCTGTTGTAACCAATATTTGTTCTGGAGAGTTTGTAGGACTAGTTGACTAAGTTCACATTCAGCTCTTCAGAATTTTCATGCTATCTTTTCCCAGGTATTAACCAAATTCGAATTCAGGCCGACTCCATGCTTTCCAGTCTGAAAGGGGAGGTGAACTCCTCTGGTTTGGGAACAGCTCGCCTCAGTGCTGGAAGAGCCCTTCACGTGGTTCAGAAATTCTACAGCAACACCAACTGGGTCGAAATGCAAAAGAACGGCTCTTACGAATACTTGTGTAAGTCACAACGAATATGAAAGCAAAGAACTGGATGCTGCCTAGAGCCGACCATAAAGGGAGGGGACTGAAAAAGTCAAGATGGTGGGAACAATAAGGCGGTAATGACTGTCATTTTGATACGTTTTTATAAATACACACACACAAACACACACACACACACACACACTGCAAATAACCCCAGTACTGCCCTATTTGCGGTAGAGTTTTCTCTACTTTTCTATACAGTCATAATGACAAAGTTGTCCCTTTGTCATTATGACTGTATAGAAGGCTACAAAAGATGTCAAATTTCACATTGAGCTTTGTGAAAAGAACATGGGTTTCAAAAATTCATAATGGTTTGTAAATACCGCAGAGCGTTTTCTAACTTTGGTCCAATGAATATGTTCTGGGTTCCCAATCGGCCATTTTGCTGATGTCTTGGAGACCAGTTCAGATTTTCACAGCCAGCTATGAAGGGCAAAGGATGGTCTCAGGGACATGGAAGACACCAGGTGGCGTAGCAGTTAAGAGTGCAGTACAGTATTGTAGGTTGATTCTGCCCACTGCCTGGAGTTCGATTGATGGGCTCAAGGTTGACTCAGCCTTCCATCCTTCCGAGGTCGGTAAAACGAGGATCCAGATTGCTGGGGGACCATATGCTGACATTGTAAACCACCCAGAGAGTGCTGTAAAGCACGGTGAAGCGGTATATAAGTCTAAATGCTTTTCCTATTGCTATTGGGAAAAATACCATACATACGTATCAATTCCCCTCCCACCAAATTGCAGAAAGCTCTGGTTCTATTTTAATTTATTTATTATTGAAATATTTAGTCCATGTTTCAATTTTTTTTATTAGGTCAACTTCTGGTTGAAGTATCCAATGAAAAGTTTCTGGGTGTTGATGTCTTCATACATACCTATGTTAATGCCAGATGAGCTTTCCTGGTCACCGAGCTTGACTTATGACCATTTTTCACACACATTCACACACCTTCTTGAATGTTTGTACCTATGCATGTTTACACCCACACACCCACAGAAACAAACACACACCCACACACATATACTTGCTTAGGAAAACAAAGCAGGTCTTGGAAAAAGACTATTTCTTGTGTTGCCAAAACAAACGCAGTAATAACTCTACAAAGCCAATGGGAGTTGAGCTCATTTGGAAGGAGACTTCCAATCAGATGTTTTGGGTTTGTGTGTGTGTGTGTGTGCGCTTGTGTGCATTAAACTAGGGGGGTCACTGGACTTCTGCATCAATTTTATTTCAAAGAATACCTCAGGGGCCAATTGAAATTAGAAACCTACTTTGGTATAGTGGTTAAAGTGCTAGACTGGAAAGCAGGAGTCCATGAGTTTTCATCCTCCCTTAGGACCTAAGGAGAAATCCATCACACCCTACTATTTTCCCCAGCACAGTAACTCTGTGAGATGGGTTGAACTCAAAGCCACCAAACAGAAGCCAGTTTGGTGGCTTTGAGTTCAACCCACCTCACAGAGTTGCTGTGCTGGGGAAAATAGTAGGGAGTGATGGATTTCTCCTCAGGTTGTACAATAGTGGGGATATAGATTTGTACAGGGCAGAGGGAATGACCTTGAAGGACAAAAGGAACAGCCACTACCAAGGCAATAGTCAGATAAGAGGGACTTGAGCCTAGACCAAGAATGTAATGTGATAAAGGGAGGGAAAGGAAAGCACATTCAGACTTTCAAAATTCAGTTATCATAGCTTTACAGGAAAAGTAGTATTGATCTTTGTAGTATTAATCTTAATTAATTAATTAATTAATTAATTAAAATTATTAATTAATTAATTAAAAGAATTAAACGCAGTGGCTCAGTGGCTAAGATGCTGAGCTTGTCAGTCGAAAGGTCGGCAGTTCAGCGGTTCGAATCCCTAGTGTCGCGTAACGGGGTAAGCACCTGTTACTTGTCCCAGCTTCTGCCAACCTAGCAGTTCGAAAGCACGTAAAAAATGCAAGTAGAAAAATAGGGACCACCTTTGATGGGAAGGTAACAGCGTTCCGTGCGCCTTTGGTGTTGAGTCATGCCGGCCACATGACCACGGAGACGTCTTCAGACAGCGCTGTCTCTTCAGCTTTGAAACGGAGATGAGCACTGCCCCCTAGAGTCAGGAACAACTAGCACATATGTGCGAGGGGAACCTTTACCTTTAGCATTAATCTCATAGTCTGATCTGTCTTGCAAACCTGGCAAAATCTAAAAATAGCAGTTTCTCCAGCTGAGTCCTGCACTTGAAAGGATGTGTGTGTGCATGCACTTTTGAGCATCATCAGTAGTTTTGTGAAATAAAGACCTCCTTGTATTTTGTGACCGGGCTTCAGAGGCTCCAACCTTCCTTCTGCCTTGTTCTTGGCCCAATTAATGTCAGCTTCCCCAGTTTGCCTTCTAATATTTGTGTGTTTTATGGCCAGCCACCCATAAAAGAACCTTCACAATACCATTAAAATTCTGAAAGTGGGATTGAGCAATTTCAGATTTTAGAGAAGTTCAGCTACATCATTCTAAAGAGAATCTTTCTTCTTTTTATGTTTCCCTCAGTAAATCCAAGTAGTCCTGTCATTCCTACTGCACCAGCTTCTAAGAAGACATGTGCTGACTGTACAAGAATAGGAAGGTAAATCCACAAATGAATTCATCTAAAAAAACAAAGGCTTACTTTCACAAACGAAGGCAAATGTATGTGTCCCAGAATAATGTTGCAGAATCCAATCTGGGTCAGTCACTGGGACCAGAGGTTTTGTATTCTATTCTGAACTTTCACACTCGTGCTGGAGCCCATCTTCAAGGAACGTCTCTCTAGCAGAATGTGCGGTGTTCTGTGTCTGGTATTTATAGTGCCTGTTGTAAGTGGCTTTTTAGATGTTGATTGGGTTGTGTTGATGGCTGGCTTTTAGGTCATTAGCTGTCATTTGTTCGTGCTGCCCAGCCCTCTCCTTCTAAGTACTTGATAGACTGGTGGTAAATCAGCACTCCTGTTGACTGACGAGGGGCCTGTTTCCCAGGCTTCCATCACTTCCCTGGCTGTTTTTGTGCGTGCTCGTCCAACAATCTTAGAAGCTGCAAAATTGAACCTGTGTCCTTGTTCATTGCAGTGTGAGGCTATCAATGAGTTTAAAGGCTTATTTTATCACAATGGATTGTAAAGTTGATCTTCATCTGTAAATAAATCAAGTAAATAAATCAAGTACAAGTAGTTCACGCTTAGCGACCACAGTTAGGGCTGGCAACTTAATTGTTAAACAAAGCAGTTGCTAACCAAAAGAGAGACCGCACCTATGATCTTACTTCAGCTTTAATTTGCTTTACAGACCTGCATAAATGCAAGAACTAGTCGCAAAGTTAGCTTTTCTTCACTTTCCTAACTGCAGCTGGCTAAACAAGCCTGTTGCTAAACAAGAAACTATGGATAGTCCTTGACTTACAACATTTGTTTAGTGACCATTCAAAGTTACAACCTCACTGATACAAGTGATGACCGTTTTCCACATTTACATCACATCCAAATTTTAATCACGTCACCACGGGAATGCTGCATCATTCATAAATATAAAAAACGATCATCGATCACTCTTATCAGCACCGTTATAACTTTAAACAGTCACTAAATGAATGGCTGGAAGTCAAGGACTACCTGTATGGCTTATCTGAATGGGTCTTCCTATTAATTTTTTTTGTTACTGTGGAAAACCATTAGATTTAGGGAACGTGGCTTCACTTATTTTACTCTCCAAAATTCTCGTTTTCACATGCAAGGTGGTTGTAGATTTTTTTTTTTTTAAAAAAAGAAAGGAACATGATTTGGGTGCCTGGCAACTGGCTCACAATAATGATGTCACAGCATCCCGCCAACACATCTGCAACCTCCCCTGCCAGCTTCCAATAAGCAAGACAATGGGGAAGCCTGCGGGAAGTCACAAATGACGATCGTGTGTCTGTGGGCTGTTGCAACTGCATAGGATTCTTCTAAGGATGTTAAGTTGTGGATGGCCACAATTACCATCACAAGTTAGCAGAGTCATGTGACATCACTCTTTACAATCACATTGCTTAGTGACAGAGTCGCCGGCCCCAATTTCCATGGTTAAGTGAGGACTACCTGCGCACACACTTCTCTGACACATCTCGTCTGAAAGATTTGCACAGCTCTAGTGATTGGCACAGGATGTGTTCATAACAGTTCAGTTATGTTTCCTACAACCACCCATACCGCACACCTAAAATTAATGGTTTCTGTTATTTTCAGCATGAAATGCAATTTATTAAATGCAGTTCAGGATAGATTTCTGATTAAGATCAAATTTAAGTTCACAAATCCCACATACCAAAATCTTCGTTTAACAGCAACCTGTTCCAGTGTGAGGATAACATCCTGGTGAATGACATGCTTACAAGTGGATATAAAGTATCAGCGTCCTGTAGACTTAAGCCAACAGGTAAAAATCATCTACGCTTGCTAAATATTTTGATCAGTTCTTCTTCTGTGTTCCAAAGAAACAGAAGGGAGGGAACTAATAATTTTTATATGCTTAGCTGGCCCTAATACCTACAATACAGTGGTGAGATCTAAAGTGTGTTACTACTGGTTCTGTGGGCGTGGCTTGGTGGGGGGGGGGTAATGTGACTGGGTGGGCGTGGCCAATTTTTTTTTTAAACTTTTAAAACCATTTTTTCTACAACCTCTTTGGCAAAGAGGTTGAAAAAAAATGCTTTCAAAAGGCTCTGATGATCCCAGCTGAGTTGCCTGATCGGCAGAGGCTTTTTTTCTTTTAAATGCCTCTGATGATCAGGCAACTCAGCTTGGATCGTCAGAGGCATTTAAAAGAAAAAAAGCCTCTGCCAACCAGGCAACTCAGCTTGGATTGTCAGAGGCTTTTAAAAGCATTTTTTTTTAGGCCAAAGAGGTTGTAGAAAAAATGCTTTTAAATTTTTTTTTTAAAAAGCCTCTGATGATTGCACAGCTCAGCTGGGCATGGTGGGGGGCAGGGATTTTTGCTACCAGTTCTCCGAACCACCCACCTCCATCGCTAATGGATCGGGTGATCCGGTCCGAACCGGGTGCATTTCACCCCTGCTACAATATAAATTGGCAATGAAGTCCTTTCAGATTATTTTGAACTAAGCTTTTAACAAGTCTTAGCAATATGCTAATCCAGTTATGGTTAACCTTTTTAGTGCCAAGTGCCCAAAGCACGTGTGCATGCCCCAATCCCCAAAATGCAATGCGAGTGTCCCACGCGCATGCGCCCCCGCACGCACACCTGTCCCCCACGCCCCATTTTGACTTCCAAGATCTCCGCAGTTTCCCCCCCCCAGCGTGTCCTACCTTTCTCCTCCATTTCTGCCACCCGTGCCTTCCCCGATCTCCACAGGTTCCCCCCAGGGGGGAAACTGCGGAGATCAGGGAAGGCTTCGCTCCACATGCACGCTCAGCAGAGAACCCGAAGACCAGCTGGCTGGCGGGAGGCATGCACGTATGCACCGTGAGCTGGGCTGGGGCAACGGCTGGCATATCTGCAGCGAGGGCTCTGCGTGCCACCTGTCGTACACCTGCCATAGGTCCGCCATCACAGTGCTAACCTAAAGGTCTATCTCACTGTTTCTCAATCTCACCAACTTGAAAATGTGTGGACTTCAACTCCAGAATTCTCCACCCAGCATGCTCCACCCAGAGTGACAGTAAAATGTAGGAATCCCGTCCCATTCGTGTAGGAGCAGTAGTGGGTTTCAAATTTGGTCACTACCGTTTTGCTCGTGGGCGCGCGAATTCACAGAGACATCTGGGTTGGTGGGCGGAGCTTCCCGCCACCGCCGCTATTGGTTCGCCCAATCCGGGGTGAACCGGTAGAAACCCATCACTGTGTAGGAGACACTGTTTAAGGAGCTCCCAGGTTGAAAGGATTAGCCGGTGACATCACCATTGCTTGGGGGACATCCTTAGCAGCTCCTAACATATTCTTGAAAGGAGCTGGAGCAAATGATAGGAGCTCACCCAAACACGTAGCAGCTCTCTGGTTTTGAACATTGAATTGCTAACCTCCAATGCAGCGTTCTAACCATGTGAGCTAACACACACTCCAATGTAAGCATTATCACAGACTATATATTTGCCCTTGATAAGCCAAGGTAATAAGCCAAGTGCCTTTTCCTTCTTTTGTCTGTATTAAAGGCAAATGTGGGCATGGTGGGAAATATGATGTGGCTCAACATACCCCTCCCACTGGTGGCATCAACAAAGAGACGTCTAATCGGGACTTTTCGCCACACTATCGCCTGCATCAGAAAGCAGCGGAATTAGCCATCGAAGCAACCAAGAGCTTTTTTGTCGGAGATGGTAAGGCTGTGTCCTCGGTTTATTTATTTTTATTTAGTTATTTATCACATTTGTAAATCACCCTATCCCAGGTGGAATGACGTGCTAGAAAATTTCTCCCAACCCTGTTCTGCCCAGCATAAAAAGGCTAGGCATACTCCTTAGGATAACCTGGTTATTCCTCAACCTGGTGCCATTTACAAGTATCGGACTCAATCGACTGACAGTTTTAGTACAGGTAGTCCTTGACTTACAACAGTTCATTTAGTAACCATTCAAAGTTACAACGGCACTGAAAAAAGTAATCTACCCACTTCTGGCCATCGCAGCATCTCCATGGTCATGTGATCAAAACTCAGATGCTTGACAACTGACTCATATTTATGACGGGTTCCAGTGTCCCGGGGTCATGTGATCTCTTTGAGACAAGCAAAGTCAACGGGGAAGCCAGATTCACTTAGCAACCATCTGACTCACCTGCAGTGATTCACTTGACAACTGTGGCAAGAAAAGTCGTAAAATGGGAGAAAACTCACTTAACAAATGCCTCACTTAACAACTGAAATTTTGGGCTCAATTGTGGTGGTAAGTCAAGGACTACCTGTAACATCTGTCTCATGCATCTGCGAGGCTTAAAAAGGTGGGCATTTATGCAGTTGTGGCTTTTGCTTTGCAAATCAAGCAATGTAAACTGTTGCCACTCGCAGCAATTTGAAACAAGATATATTGTAGTACAGACATAACTCCGTCCTACTGTTGGACATCCACTGATCTGAAATGGTATCGTCTCTCTTGCTTGAGTAGGGGGTTGGATTACAGCAAGGGTCCCCAACGGCCTACCTCTGGGCCTTGAGCCATTCAGAATCAGGCGGCAGAAGTGGCTGGCGACCACACGTACATATCCCCACGCGTGCTCGCCTGCCACTCTTCCCCTGCCCCCACCCCCCATCCAGAGGTGAAATCTGAACCGGTTTGCTACTGGTTTGCTGGCCACGCATGCACGCTGTGAGCCAAGTGCACGCTGCTCTCGCACATGCAGATCAAAATTGTGCTGCGTGTGTGCAAACGTGCTGTTCTACTTACCTTCCCATGTCTCCTTTTGGTCTGTACTGCATATGCAGCGAGGGGGGAGATCAGCTGTGCTGTGCAGTTTAGCTTAGCTAAAAAGCAGGAAATCCTGCTTTCTAGCAAAGCTAAACCGTGCGGCACAGCTGATCATTGGATCGTAGTTTTTTTTAACTACCAATTCACCCGAACTGGTTTTTTTTTACTACTGATTCGTCCAAACTGGTAGTTTTTATCACTACCGGTTTGTCTGAACCGGAGCGAACTGGTAGCATTTCACCCTTGACCCCAGCCAGTCAGCAAAGCCAAAAAAGTTGGGGAACTCCGGACTAGAAGACTTCCAAGGTCCCTTCCAACTCTGTTATTCTGTTCCGTTCTTTTATTTGTTCAGGTTTCGGCCTCTTAAGTAAAGTGGGAGACGATACTTTTAAGAAGTTTTTCAACCTGGATGGTTATTCCCTCACCTTTGCGGTGGACACGACCGGCAGCATGTCAGACGACATCAATCAAGTCAAAATCAAATGCATCGAACTCCTCCGATCGTATTCTGGCTCTCCGGATAAACCTTTTAATTACATTCTTGTGCCCTTTAATGACCCCGGTAAGGAGGCGTAGAAGACTGTGATTCCTTCTGATTTATTATCTCTTCTAGGCTGGAATTGCCCTTTTGCTCAGTTTTTTCCCCCAGAGAATCCAAGCAATGTTATGGCCAACTAGAAGGGATTATGTGATTTAACAATAAGGAATGCAGCTTCTTCTTTTCTTTTTCTTTTTAAATAAGAACAGGAGCAATTACATCTCTGCTGGGCTGACCAGTATTAAAGTGACAGATTATCCTTCAGTGGAAAGTGAACCAAGATCTCACAAAACTCTCCTGGTATCTCATTATTTGTTGCCACTTAGTGCAGAGGAAGGAGGGAAATGAGAGGAATAATCAGCAGGAGGATTAAAAACTTGAATTCTTCCCTTAAATGGGGAAGTTAATAGTTGGTCTTTTTGAGAACGTTTGCATTTGCAACTGAAAGAGAAAGAGTACAGCACATCTTCAATTATTAAGGTCATGTGGTTTATAAATCAATAGTAAAAATGAATCATTTGTTGGTTTTTAAAATATAAAATAGTAGTTTTCCACTACTACTTTTATTTTTCTTTGTATTTTATATTTTGAAAAATCAATAAAATCATAGATAGATAGATAGATAGATAGATAGAGAGATAGAGAGATTAGAGACAGAGATAGAGATTAGAGATAGAGATTAGAGTTTAGAGAGATTAGAGATAGAGATTAGTGATTAGAGATTAGAGATAGATTAGAGATAGAGATTAGAGATTAGAGATTAGAGATAGAGATAGAGATAGAGATAGAGATAGAGATAGAGATAGAGATAGAGAGCCCTGGTGGTGCAGCAGACTAAAGCACTGTTATTAACATCAGCTGCCTGCAATTACTGCAAGTTCAAATCTCACCAGGCTCAAGGTTGACTCAGCCTTCCATCCTTTCAAAGGTAGGTAAAATGAGGACCCAGATTGTGGGGGCAATAAGCTGACTTTGTTTAAATATATACAAAAGTATGAAGGCTATTGCTTAACGCATTGTAAGTCACCCTGAGTCTCCGGAGAAGGGCGGCATATAAATCAAATTAAAAGAGGGAGAGAGAGAGAGGGGGGGGGGGAGAGAGAGAGAGAGAGAGAGAGAGAGAGATACTGTATATATAAATAGTAAAAATGAATGAAACTAACTTCAAGCTACAGGTAGTCCTTGATTTACAACCATTCAGTTAGTGACCATTTGAAGTTACAATGGCACTGAAAAACAGTGACTTAAGAGCGATTTTCGCACTTTTACAACCATTGCAGCATTCCCATGGTCATGTGATCAAAATTTGGATGCTTGGCAACTGCCATGTATTTATGACGTTTGCAGGGCCATGTGATCACCTTTTGCGACCTTCCGACAAGCAAAGTCAATGGGGAAGCCAGATTCACTCAACAACTGCAGTGATTCACTTCACGACTGTGGCAAGAAAGGTCGTAAAATGGGGGTAAAACTCACTTATCAACTATCTTGCTTAGAAATGAAAATTTGGGATAAAATTGTGGTCATAAATCAAGGACTACCTGTGTTTTGGAATACTGGGTCTAGTTCACAATCTGAAAATGATGTGATACCAAGATGGTGGAAGGACTGGAAACCTCATTTTCTGAGGAGCTGAATTTTCCTCCTGATCCGTGCTCCTGTAATTGCATCCTGTTCTGACAGTCATCTTGAAATGTCCTTTAATCACTTAGCTTCTTTCTGAGACTGCAGAGCCATCTGTCTACAATGCTTAAGCTGCTCCAAGCAAGTGGGGTCAGACTGGTTGACCTCTGAGATCCCCGCCAACCCTATGATTCGATGGATTCAGTGATACTTGCCCTCCCTGTGCAGAAAGCAGTTATAGACCCAGAAGTCAAAGGAGGAAACTTCTAAATCAGGGGTGTCAAACTCAAGGCCCCCCCCCGCCCCGGGCCGGATTCCGGATTCATGGAGTGCTTAGATCTGGCCCAGAGGGCCACCCTGGAAAGCGCAAAGGACTGGCCCATGCTACCAGTGAAAACGGAGCTCTTCCGTTTTTGCTGGCAGAGGGTTGCAGGAGGCGATCGCAGCCAAAAACGGAGCTCAGGCCGTTTTCACTGGCAGAGCGCACGGGCTGCCGCAGGCCTCCCCAACAGGAGTGATGTCGAGCTAGCCACGCCCACCCTGGCCACGCCCATCCTACCCCCTGAGGTCAAACACAACCCTGATGTGTCCATCAATGAAATCGAGTTTGATACCCCTGTTCTAATCAAACTTTTAATGAGGCTTCTCTTAAATGAATTATACATCTGAACCAGTGGTGAAATCCATTTTTTTTTACTATCGGTTCTGTGGGCGTGGCTTGGTGGGCATGGTGTGGCTTGGTGGGCGTGGCTTGGTGGGCGTGGCAGGGGAGGGATACTGCAAAATCCCCATTCCCTCCCCACTCCTGGGGAAAAGATATTGCAAAATCTCCATTCCCACCCCACTCTGGAGCCAGCCAGAGGTGGTATTTGCCGCTTCTCCAAACTGCTCAAAATTTCCACTACCGGTTCTCCAGAACCTGCTGGATTTCACCCCCGATCTGAACTGATATTGTGGTAAACTCTCAGCAGTTAGACTGTCTACTGCTGAATAAACTAAACAATCTGAATTGGGACATGTGGAAATCAGGTGCTAGTCTTATTATTTCAGAAACAGGTAATGGTGGTCATCCTTAATTACTTAAAAGGAAGGTATTGGGAAAAATCTCCTCAGAGCCTCAGGAAAGGCAAAAAAACAGAATTAACATAATAAAAAACAACAACAGAGATGCCGTCTGAAACTGTGGCCCCTGGCTGGCCTTCTTCATACTATCACGGTTTAGTTCCCACCTAGATCTATCTTTGCAGATGTTGGACCCGTCATTAAGACCCAAAGTGTGGACGAATTGGAATCCGCAATCTCTCGCCTGACTGCTACAGGGGGTGGCGACTGCCCAGAAATGTCCATGTCTGGCTTGAAACTGGCTTTGCAACAGAGCATGCCAAGGTGAGAAGCGTCCGGGTTGAGGGGCCTATTCTCTTTCTGCCCATATCTCTCAATACTGTACAGATAGTCCTCGAATCACAGGTAATCCTGTATAATATACCAGGGGTCTCCAACCTTGGCAACTTTAAGCCTGGCGGACTTCAACTACGAGAATTCCCCAGCCAGCTTGTGACCTAATCTAACATAAAAGTGGCATGTAGGAGCAGAACAGTGGTGGGTTTCAAAATCTTTTACTACTGGTATTGTGGGTGTGGCTTGGTGGACGTGGCATAGCCTTGGTAGTACAGGGGTTTAAGGCACCCTGTTATTAAGCTGGTTATTAAAAACCAGCTGCCTGCAATTACTGCAGGGTTCGAATCTCGCCAAGGCTCAAGGTTGACTCAGCCTTCCATCCTTTCTAAGGTAGGTGAAATGCGGACCCAGATTGTGGGGGCAATAAGCTGACTTTGTATAAATATACAAAAGGATGAAGGCTATTGCTGAGCACATTGTAAGCCGCCCTGAGTCTCCGGAGAAGGGCGGCATATAAATCAAATTAAAATAAAATAAATAAAAAATAAAAATAAATAGCTTGGTGGGCATGGCAGGGGAACGATACTGTAAAATCTCCATTCCCTCCACAATCCAGGGGAAGGATACTGCAAAATCCCCATTTCCTCCTGATCAGCTGGGATTTAGGAGGCAGAGAATAGATGGGGACGGGGCCAGTCAAAATTTTTACTACCGGTTCTCTGAACTACTCAAAATTTCCGCTACCGGTTCTCCAGAACTGGCCAGAAACCCACCTCTGGAGCAGAACATATCCCAGATGCTGATTGCATCATCAATGACATCACCAGTGAAGTGTCCTCCATCATGTCAAGATCAAATGTGTTAAAGATAATTCTATGCTGCCTCAGCTCTGGGCCGGGAATGAGAGAAAAGCAATGGCTTGAGGACATGGGATTTAAAAACAGGTATTGAAGCATGACCACACTGCAGTTATAGAGGGACCTGAGGATAAGCCTATAGCCCAGTGGTGAAATCTGAACCGTTTTACTACCGGTTCGTTAGCCAGTCATGCGCCAAACATGCACTGCACATGCTCATGTACAGTGCACACCAAATGCAAGCTGCGTGTACGCACACGCAATGCACATAAAAATCAGGCCTGGGAAAGTAAGTAGAACAGCGTGCAGGGAGGGTGATCAGCTGTGGTGCACGTGGGAACCTTTTTAAAAACCTTTTAAAAGCATTTTTTACTACCGGTTTGGGCAAATATGTAGTAAAAGATGCTTTAAAAAAGTAAAAAAAAAAAAAGGGTACGACAATCGTGCGGGACAGCTGTGATCATCGGAGCCTTTTTTTTTTTTTTTTACTTTTTTAAAGCATTTTTTTACTACTGATTCGCCCGAGCCGGTAGTAAAAAAATGCTTTTAAAAGGTAAAGAAAAAAGGCTCCGACGATCACAGCTGTGCTGTGCGATCATCGGAACCTTTTTTTTACCTTTTAAAAGCATTTTTTTTACTATTGGTTCTGGCCAATAGGTAAGTAAAAAAATGCTTAAAAAGTTTTTTTAAAAACGTTCTGATGATCGTGGGTCACTCAGCTGATCATCGGAACTTTTTTTTTTTTACATTTTTTACTACCGGTTCGGCAAACCAGTAGGGTTTTTTACTATCGGTTCGGGCGAACCAGCCTGAACCAGTAGCATTTCACCCCTGCCATAGCCTAATACATTTTACATGTTTTGAAATTGCCCTAAGATACTGTCTAGGCCAGGGGTCTCCAACCTTGGCAACTTTAAGCCTGGAGGACTTCAACTCCTCCAGCCTTAAAGATGGCAGGTGTTGTGGGAGCACCTGCCATCTGGAACGTGCTCCCCCGCCCCCGGAGCTCCCCCCCCCCGGAGATACGGAGGATTACAGACCTGCGCGCTTTCCGCCGTGCCCTCAAAACATTCCTATTCAAGCAGGCCGGCCTGGCCTAACCTCTTTTTTAAACTGTTTTTAAATTTTTTAAATTTTAAATTTGTCTTATAAATTTGGGGTGTTTTACATTTTGTTTTCTGGGCCAAATTATTTAATTGTATTTTAATGGTTTTTTAACATTTGTATTATATGTATTTTATCTTTTGGCTGTTCACCGCCCTGAGTCCTTTGGGAGTAGGGCGGTATACAAATAACAATAACAATAACAATAACAATAACAATAACAATAACAATAACAATAATAATAATAATAATAATAATAATAATAATAATAATAATAATAAAATAACTCCCAGAATTCCCCAGCCAGCTTTGCTGGGAGTTGAAGTGCACCAGGCTTAAAGTTGCCAAAGTTGGATACCCCTGTAATATACAGTGTATATTCCACCCTGCTAAGGATTTATTGATCTGGTCTGACAGAGGCAGAATCTGCACCAATTCGGTGTGAGGGAATTCCTCACTGATTCGTAGGAAGGGGGAGTTGCCTGGAGAAAGGCCCTCCACTTTCAGTAAGATTCTCTAGAAGGAAAAAAATGGAGAAATTACTATTAAAAATCTTCCACATTGCTCCTGTGCATACTTATGAATTAAATGAGGGACATAATTATAGGTAGTCCTCAACTTACAACAGTGCATTTAGTGACCGTTCAAAGGCACCGAAAAAAATGACTTAGGACTGTTTTTCCACAGTTACGAACTTTTGCAGACTCCTCACAGTCACATGATCAAAACTCAGATGCTTGGCGATTGGTTCATACTTACGACTGTTGCTGTGCTCCAAGGTCATGTGATCCCCTTTTGCGACCTTCTGACGAGCAAAGTCAACAGGGAAGCCAGATTCACTTAACAACCGGGTTACTAACTTATCGACTGCAGTGATTCACTTAACAACTGTGGCAAGAAAGGTCACAAAATGGGGCAAAACTCACTTAACAAAGGTCTCGCTGAACAACAGAAATGTTGGGCTCAATCGTGGTCGTAAGTAGAGGACCACCGGTAACATCCGTCTCATGCATCCGCTGTCAGCACTAGAGTAAATGCAGCTGACATCCTCAAGGTTTCAAAAGTGGGCATTTATGCAGTTATGGCTTTTGCTTTACTGATTGTTCAGAGGGACAACGGCAACCCAAAAAATTTACTTAGGATCGTTTTTCACAGTTACAACTTTTGCACCTTCCCCACAATTACCTATATTAAAATCAGATGCTCGGCAACTGTCTCATATTTATGACGGTTGCAGTATCCTGGGGTCATGCGATTCACTTTTGCAACCTTCTGACAAGCAAACTCTATGGGGAAGCCAGGTTTACATAACACCCATGAAGGGCTCTATAGCAGAGGTCGTATTCAGCAGGTTCTGACCAGTTCTGGAGAACCGGTAACGGATGTTTTGAGTAGTTCGGAGAACCGGCAAATATCACCTCTGACTGGCCCCGCCCCCATCTATTCTCTGCCTCCCAAGTCCCAGCTGATCGGGAGGAAATGGGGATTTTGCAGTAAACTTCCCCTGGAGTGGGGGGGGGGAATGGAGATTTTACAGTATCCTTCCCCTGCCACACCTGTCGAAGCGTAAATCAGCCTTGTTTTCCTCCTGGGATAATTGCACTTAATTAGAGACGGATGGATCTTGTTTTCCATGCTGTATACTTTAAAGAAAGAAAAACCGAAATATATATTTTCTAATAAGGATTTTATTATAAAAATAGAAAAACTGGCTAACTACATCTTTACCGGCAGCTTATCACACAGACGAACAAAGGAAGTATAAATCAGGAAGTTAGAAAAGAAAAGAATTTAGACAGTAGCTCAAAGTTTCACAAGACTAGTCTTATCTCTGTTGCTATAGATACGTGATAAAGTTCTCTGGCAGGCTACCATAAAGCTCAGAATGGACACTTGGCTAACAAACACATAACGCAGTGACAACGCCCACCAAGCCACGCCCACCAAGCCACTCTACGCCCACCAAGCCACGCCCACCAAGCCATGCCCACGCCCACCAAGTCACACGCACAGAACCGGTAGTAAACAAATTTGAATCCCACCACAGCTCTATAATTAAGAACCACACCTTGACGTCTACTTGGGAACTAACTGGCATCCAGCGCAGTTCACGTAGCAGCACAATAATCACATGCGTTTACTTTTCTGCACCAGCTGCAGCTTCCAAGTTGTTTTGAAAGGCAGGTAATAAGAGTGCATTGCAGTAACCCAGGCTCTGCAACTCTAGGGTGTGAATAATCATCGGGAGGGCCCAGGCAATTTACAATGCGGTCTCTCAAAAGCTTCTCGGTCTATGAACCAACTGTCACCACCCTTAAGCAACTCTTTCCTGAAATCATTTGTCTCCTTGTTTCCTCTTCTGCCGCTTTATAAATGGAATGTCTTCGCAGATTTAATGAGAGAAGGAAATTGTTTCTCACAGGAGGTTAACGGAGTAGAACAGGCCTTAACGTTCTAGCTTGCGGTTTAGCATTTGAACGCTTAATCTTTCTGACTCGAGGAAGGAGCAAGGCAGTCTTTATGGCCTGAAACCATCAGTGACTTTATCCCACTCAAATTTGTCAGATCCCACGCAAAAAAAAACCACCTTCTGAATGGTCAGCTTTCCCTCATTCTGAAGTCTATAATGGGCTGATGAGGTACTTTTCTTTTGTCTAGCCAACATTTCCCATCCTAGCCTCAAGGGTCCAACTTTAGATAGATGGGGCTCAGGAAAAAGGACTTAAACAAAGACTGGGAGACTTGTATGGTCTTTGTGTTGAAAGAAGAAAAGGCTAAATTGAGAATGTATAGAATCTGAGTATTTATTTATTTATTTATTTTATTTATAATTAAATTTATATACCGCCCTACTCCCGAAGGACTCAGGACGGTGAACAGCCAAAAGGTAAAATACACATAGTACAAACGTTAAAAACCATTTAAAAATACATTAAATACTTTGGCCCAACAAATTTAAAACACCCCAATTTATAAAACAAATTTAAAAGCAATTAAAAGGGAGGTTAGGCCAGACCAGCCTGCTGGAATAAGAATGTTTTGAGGGCACGGCGGAAAGTGCACAAATCCGTGATCCTCCGTATCTCCGGGGGGAGCTCGTTCCAGATGGCAGGTGACCCCACAGAGAAGGCTCTCCCCCTGGGGGCCGCCAGTCGACATTGTTTGACCAACGGCACCCTGAGAAGACCCTCTCTATGGGAGCGTACTGGTCGGTGAGAGGCTACTGGTGGCAGAAGGCGGTCTCGTAGGTACCCCGGTCCTAAGCCATGGAGCGCTCTAAAGGTGGTAACCAAAACCTTGAAGCGCACCCAGAAGATCACCGGGAGCCAGTGCAGCTGGCGCAGGAGGGGAGTCACATGGGAGCGCCATGTCACTCCCATAACCACCCGCGCAGCCGCATTCTGGACCAGCTGGAGCCTCCAGGTGCTTCTCAAGGGGAGCCCCATGTAGAGAGCATTACAGTAATCCAGGCGGGAAGTGACGAGGGCATGAGTGACCGTACGTAACAAGTCCCGATCCAGAAAGGGACGCAACTGGCGGATCAGGCAAACCTGATAAACAGTCCTCCCAGCCACAGCTGTCAAATGCTCTTCTAAAGACAGCCGTGAGTCCAGGAGGACACCCAAGTTGCGAATCCTCAATAGTCAGTGATGGCACCAACTGACTATATCGGGACGTCGGAAACTACAGCCACTCGGTCTTGGATGGGTATTAAAAAGGGTCGAAGAAGAAGGGGAAAGAATATTGCTTGATATAAAGATGGGTGGAAATCATAATTCTATATTGTCTTCCTTCCTTCCTTCCTTCCTTCCTTCCTTCCTTCCTTCCTTCCTTCCTTCCTTCCTTTCTTTCTTTACTTACTTACTTACTTACTTACTTACTTACTTACTTACTTATAGATTTATTTATTTCCAATATGGTATTATTTTGTTGTTGTTATTGTTCTTTTAATTTTCTATGCTTATGTTTAAACAGATAGAACTTTAAGGCAGGAGTCTATTTCCCTTTTTTTAATTTCTAAAGTATCAAGTATACAGTATAATCCAGGAATGAGCCGTGGTGGCACGTGCAGTGGTTGGAATACAATACTGCAGCCTACTTTTGCCAACTACCAGCTGCCAGCAGTTCGATTCTGACCGGCTCAAAGTGGACTGAGCCTTCCATCCTTCTGACGTTGGTGAAATGAGGACCCAGATTGTTTGGGGGCAATATGCTGGCTCTGTAAACCGCTTAGAGACGGCTGTAAAAGCACTGTGAAGCGGTATATAAGTCTAAGTGCTATTGCTAATGTAGGCACAAGCATCTGCAGGGGGTGTCAGAGGAAGCAAGGGATAAATCTTATTTTTATTTATTGGTTTACTCTGTTTATGCAGCCAACCATCTCACATATGTGACTCTGGGTGGCTCACAGAGATAAAAGAAATCACAAATCAAGAGAATCCATATTATTAAATAGCCAAAAACAACAATAAAAACATTAAAAACAAGTTTAAACTATTAAAAGCCATAAAATAGGGAAGAAGACCAACCAGTAGCTTACAAACAATACAACCACCTCACAGATTCCATACAGGTAGTCCTCGACTTACAACCAGTGGTGGGTTCCAAATTTTTTACTACCGGTTCTATAGGTGTGGCTTGGTGGGTATGGCATGGAGTGGCTTGGTGGGCATGGTAGGGGAAGGATACTGTAAAATCTCCATTCCCTTCCCACTCCAGGGAAAGGATACTGCAAAATCCCCATTTCCTCCTGATCAGCTGGGACTTGGAAGGCAGAGAATAGATGGGGGTGAGGCCAGTCAGAATTTTTACTACCTGTTCTCCGAACTACTCAAAATTTCCACTACCGGTTCTCCAGAACTGGTCAGAACCTGCTGAAACCCACCTCTGCTTACAACCATCTGTTTAGTGGCAGTTCAAAATTTCAACACCACCGGAAAGAGTGACTTATGACCAGTTTCACACTTACGACCGTTGCAGCATCCCCATGGTCACATGATTAAAATTCATCCGCTTGCCAACTAGCATGTATGTATGAGCACTGTCCTGGAGTCACGTGATCACCATTTGTAACCTTCCCAGCCAGCCTCCAACAAACAGTCAATGGGGAAGCCGGATTCGCTTAACGACCATGTGATTCGCTTAACAACTATGACAAAAAAGGCCATAAAAATGGAGCAAAACTCACTTAACTGCTTTGGGTTCAATTACTTCCACAGGATGCATGTATGGATGATGATGTATGGATGATGATGTAATGAAGGGGCTTTGGGCAATTCCTATTATGGCTCTGCTTGAAGGAGGTAGATCTTTGTCGTGTAGAATAGACTGGCTCAGGCCTTAATGGCCCATTGACAAAGGTGGGGGGCTGAGTTTCTGCCTCCCTTTTAGGGGAAATATTCTTCCCATTTAATATTTCCTAAAATATCTCATTTTCCTAGGAGAGGGGTGGGTGGTAACTTCCTACAGTTCTATAGGGGAACAACTGTGAGAAAGGTACCTTCTTGGCAATCCTACTCTCACATTACTTTTCCCCTAGCACAAACTTCCTAAAATCCTTTGTGTCCCTCCAGATCCAAGATCTTTGTCTTCACTGATGCGGGAGCAAAAGATGAGCATCTGAAGGGAGAAGTGGAAATTCTGATTGATTCTACTAAATCCACAGTGAATTATCTCCTCACAGGCTATTGTTCCAGCAGGAAACGCAGAAGTAAGTCAATCTCCATAAAGAAAATATTCTGATGTTCTCTCAGGCAGAAAGAATAGAAAATTGCCTGGTATTAAGTCTTGTAAATAATCCCATAAATGTTACAAGCCTGCATCCTTTTTTGTTCAACCAGCTTCCTCAGTGAAAGTACCATATTTTTCGGAGTATAAAACGCACATGCCAGAGCTTTCGACATTCTTGAAATAACAGACAAAGGAACGGAGTTTCTGCACTGCCTCAACTTGAAAATCAGGCACGGCAGCCAAGTTTTCTGGGCTTGATTTAAACATGACACCGAGCTGGCTTATGTTGCTGATCAGTTTCCAAGCAGGCAGGCAGTTTTGGATTTACTTTTGGATTTAACTGAAAGCAAATGTAGCCGCTGGATCGTATAACACTCTTGCGGGGATGATGATGAAATCTCCAGCAGTTTGCGGCTAAGGGAAACAGCTTCTGAAGAAGGGGGTGCAGGGGGTGTGAGAGTGATTGTTTTAGGGGCCAGTGGCATTCCAACATCACGGATCAGATGCCAGCTTTAAAAAGTTGTTTTCTCTGCCTCCAGGAGAGCCAAAAAAAAAATAAACAAACAAAAGGTTTCTTAAAAAGGAGCCTGCTTTTCATCCACGGGTTAGTAAATATTTACAGTAAAAAGGTTGAGAAGCTTTTGCTAAAAAATAAAATAAATAAATAAATATATAAAAGCCCCTTAAGCCAAAACCCCCCAAAAAGCACCCACAATATTGATTGTTTCCTAGTATGATTTGATTGCTTATGTGTACCCTATGACTATCATTAAGTGTTGTACCTTATGATTCTTGACGAATGTATCTTTTCTTTTTATGTACACTGAGGGAATATGCACCAAAGACAAATTCCTTGTGTGTCTAATCACACTTGGCCAATAAAGAATTCTATCTATCTATCTATCTATCTATCTATCTATCTATCTATCTATCTACCTACCTACCTACCTACCTACCTACCTACCTACCTACCTACCTACCCACCTACCTACCCACCTACCTACCTAGCTATCACCTACCTACCTACCAACTACCTACCTACCTACCTAATTGATAAGAATAGATCTATCTATCTTCTGAGGCTGCTTTCAAAGGGAATTTTTGTAATTTAATAAAAAAGTAGGACGAGGGATAACATGATAGCAGTCTTCCAGTATTTGAGGGGTTGCCACAAAGAAGAGGGAGTCAATTTATTCTCCTGTGGGAAGAAAACTCCAATCCAATTTCAAGCCCGGAGAAATGCGCTGGAAATAATAAGTAGGCTAACTGCAAGGAAAGAAGGTTTATTCGAGTTCCAGAAACTTCACTGACAGCTGCAAATGTTTCTGGGGTGGCTGACAAAATGGCTGAGTGAGTGGATGGATCTTTATAGGGTTCTGGGGGTTTCTGTTTGAGATGCTCCAGAGGGTTGTACAATGTAATGAGCCTGGTGTCTTTTGCTATTCTAATCATGGTAGGTTAATCCTATTATGTCCTAAAGGTCCAGTCCTGTCCTTAGAACCTGGGTGGGGGGGTATAAATTCTTAATCCCATCAACTGTAGCTGAAGGCATTTTGTTTATGAATAGATTGACCCAGTCTTTCCTAAGGAGGTACAAAATATCCATCTCTAAAGACTTGAGGCTTCTGCTTGAGGCTATTAAGAAAGACTGAGGCTGCTTTCTGCCTTTGTTAAGATTTTTCTCAATTTCTCCTTTGGGGAAATATAATATTCTGCCTCTTTTTAATATTAAGAATAAAGAATATTTTAATCGGGGGGGGGCTTCCTACACTCCAAAGCACCGAAGGCAGAACAGGAAGTAATGGATGGAAACTAATCAAAGAGAGATGCAGCCTAGGCCAGTGGTGGGTTGCTCCCAGTTCGCACCGGTTCGCAAGAATTGGTAGTAAAAATTTGTAGTAGTTTGGAGAACTGGTAATAACATTGGCGGGTCACGCCCCCGAACCGGTCCCCGGCCCGGTCACCGCTCGCTTACCCTGCCCATCTCATCAGAGTCTTTTTTTTTTTACTTTTAAAAGCATTTTTTCTACAACTTCTTCGGCCAAAAAAATGCTTCCGGCGGTGATGTCATCGTGGAGTGGGTGAGGAAGCGGAGACTTACTTACCTGGCAGGAGAGATACCTTGATTACGAAAAAATGCTTTTAAAAGTAAAAAAAAAAAAAAGCCTCTGATGATCGTGCGGCTCAACTCAAATCGTCAGAGGCTTTTAAAAGCATTTTTCAGCCAAAGAGGTTGTAGGAAAAAAAAATGCCTTTAAAAGCCTCTGACGATCCCAGCTGATCGTCAGAGGCTTCTAAAAGCATTTTTTCCTACAACCTCTTAAGGTTGTAGAAAAAATGCTTTTAAAAGTAAAAAAAAAAAGTTGGCCACGCCCACCCAGTCACATTACCCCCACCACCAAGCCACACCCACAAAATAAGCCACACCCACAGAACCAGTAGTAAAAAAAATTAGAACCCACCCCTAGCCTAGACCTATAGAGAAATTTCCTGACAGTTAGAACAATTAATCAGTGGAACGGCTTTAAAACCGGAGATTTTCAATAAGAGATTGGACAACCATTTGTCTCCTGCTTGCGGAGGGGGTTGGACTAGAAGACCTCTGAGGTGCCTTCTAACTCTTGTCATTCTATTAATTCTCCTCCACAGGTGCTCCTGAGGTTAGGCCTAAAACATTTGCGAACAGCTATGAAGAACTGGCAGTTTATTCTGGCGGATTCTATGTGCTCACTACAAAACATCAGCTTTCACAGGTCCTGGGCATAATGGAGAAGTCCTTGAATGCTGCTCCTGTTAAATTGATTGATGGCCAAATGTATACTTCACAATTCTCCATCCCTGTAGATGAAACGCTCAAAGAATTGACCATCTCTGTCAAAGCATCAACTTCCTTCAGCATGACTGTGTTCCAACCTTCAGGTAAGGGGCAGTGTCACACGCGGCATTTCCTCAGGAGCTACCGATAGCATCTTCTAGAGCAGCGGTTACCAACTGGTGGTCCGTGGACCACTGATGGTCCGCAAGAAAATTTTGGTGGTCCACAGGAAAATCATTTGCATTTTTTTATATTGCACTAAATCAGGGGTCCTCAAACTATGGCCCCTGGACCGGATACATGCAATGAATGCTTGTGTTACTGCAGAGAGTCTTCCCCTTCAGGGATTTTTTGTGCGGGTTGGAGGGGGCAGAAATTCTGACTTGAGGTCTGGTTCAGCCTCCTGATGCAGGGCTTTGGGTGAAGGCTGGAGGGAAGGGAAGCACCGTTGGTGGCGAAGAGCCAGAGGGCCTTGTTCCAGGCCTGGAACTGACTGACCATCTTAGCCCGCTGAGCCTCCAGGCGCCAGTACCTGGCCTTGCACTCCTGCAGATCTTCCCTCTGCTTGGAAAGCCTATGCTCCTAGTCCTGGGTGCTTCTGCTGAGCCTCCTTCTCGGCCAGATCCCATTTGAACTCAGCCAGCTGTTTTGCCAACTCTTTCTCGTGGTGGCCGCTTAGCTCCAACAACTGCTTTCTGTTGGGGCCCTAAGGAGCCCGGGTGGGGAGGCGAGGAGGGGGCTGGCAGGGGAGGGGCGAGTAGAGGTAAGGTTCCCCTCAACGTGAGTGACATCAAGTTGGTGACGCCCACTCAGTCACATGACCACCTAGCCACACCCACCCAGCCGGTCATTAGGCAGATCATATTAGTGATCCGTGGGATTTAAAATTATGAATTTAGTGGTCCCTGAGGTCTGAAAGGTTGGGGACCCCTGTTCTAGAGCACTGTTTCTCAATGGTGGCGATGTGAACGGGTTTGGACTTAACCCCTAGAAACCTCCAGCCAGCATGAGTTGAAGGCCACACATCTTCAAGTTGCTATGGTTGAGAAATATTCTTCTAGACAGAACACGATGGCTCACATGGTTGGAACGCTGGGTTGGAAGCAGTGGTGAAATGCACTTACCTTTGCTACCGGTTCAGAAATGTGAGCGTACACACCTCTTCTGCACATGCGCAGAGGGTCAAAAACGGCCCTACCGGTTTGTGTGAGCCGGATAGATCTGGCCGGATTTCACCGCTGGTTGGAAGTTAGCAAGCTTGTGTTCGAGACCTGAGTGCTGCTGTGTGTTGGGGTGAGCTCCCGTCACTCGCTCCAGCTCTTTGCGGGAACATGAAAGGAGCCTCTATGGCCATTCCCCAAGCAACAAGGATGGCACCGGTTGATCAAACAAAACGAAATGAAATTCAATGTAGAGAAAAAGTAAAGTCTTATACTTAGGCCAGAAAAACCAAAAATACACATATAGATTGAGGGAAACCAGGCCTAATAGCAGTAACTGCAGGAGGGATCTTGGAGTCTTACTGGACAACCAGTTAAATATGAGCCAGCAGTGTGTGGCGGCAGCCAAAAAAGCCAATGCAATCATAAATTACATTAATAGAGGGATTCAATCAAAATCACATGAGGTACTAATACCACTATAAACCCTTAGAAAGAACACATCTAAAGTACTGCATCTAGTTTTGGTCACCACGATATTAAAAAGATGTTGAGACTCTAGAAAGAGTACAGAGAAGAGCAACCAGGATGATTAGGGGACTGGAGGCTAAAACATATGAAGAACCAGTGCAAGAACTGGGCACGGCTAGTCTATTGAAGAGAAGGACCAGGGGTATTCTAATATTTGAGGGCCTGTCACAGAGAAGAGGAGGTTCAACCTATTTTCCAAAGCACCTGAAGGCCAAACAAGGAATAATGGATGGAAATAATCAAGGAGAGATTCAAGTTCAACTAGAAATAAGGAGAAATTTTCTGACAGTGAGAACAATCAATCAATGGAACAGTTACCTTCATAAGTCGAGAGACTGAAGAGACTGAACAGCCATCTGTTAAAAATGGTATAGTATAAGTATAATTTTATTTCTATACCGCCCTTCTCCCGAAGGACTCAGGGCGGTGTACAGCCTGTTTAAAAACACAAGACAGACATCAATTAAAAATTTAAAATTATTAAATAAATTCGGCTCAATTTAAAACCCCAGAAATTTAAAATACCCCAATTTAAAATTATTATGTTGATAGCCCGGCCTGGCGGAACAACAGGGTCTTCAGTGCACAGCAAAATACCCGGAGGTCGGAGATCTTACGTATTTCCGGGGGCAGTTCATTCCACAGGGCTGGGGCTCCCATAGAGAAGGCCCTCCCCCCTGGGTGTCGCCAGCCGACATAACTTGGCCAATGGCACCCTGAGGAGACCCTCTCTGTGGGAGCGTATAGGGTCTCCTGCTTGAGCCAGAGGTTGGACTAGATGACCTACAAGGTCCCTTCCAACTCTGTTACTCTATTCTATTCTATTCTACTCTACTCTACTCTACTCTACTCTACTCTACTCTACCCTACGCTATCCTACCCTACCCTACCCTACCCTGCCCTACTCTACTCTACTCTACTCCTTTCAACCCAGAAGTGCCTTGAACAGTGCCTCCAACACGAACAGGACAAAACTCTTCTAGAGGCATCCAATCATCAGGAAATGAGGACAGACTTTGTATCACTTCACTGAAAGCTGGATAATGCTTTGAAAACCTTATAAATCTGCTGCCCCCAACTATTCCGGCTTTGCGGGCTGATGGGAAGCGGGAAGAGGAGATGGTTCTCCTGCATGAGTGGCGGGAGCATACGCTTGTGCAAATGAGCCTTCACACGTGTGAATTCGCCTGCTGGCACTCGCCCAGCATTTCCACACCCCGGTTCTGAATTGGGCCGTGGAACAGGGGTTGGGGACCCCTGTTATAAATCACTAGCAATTAGAATTAGGCATACAGGACAGAATAACGGGATTGGCTGCAGACGGTTAATGGGAGGGGGGAACTTTCTTCAAATTCTCACTTTGTTTACATCTGCTCTTGGGTCTGTTTATGTGTCACCTCATGGCAGGTTCTCAATTGGGATCCCTGAGCATGTTGATCAACACGGAGAAGCAGAAGGTCGTGAAGATATCGCCTATCCCCGAGCCAGGATCCTGGACCGTGAATTTGGCTCCCATAAACTCTTATATGATACTGGTTGAAGGCAAAAGTTTGCTTGACTTTCATTACCAGATTCTGCAGAAGGAGGATGACTATGTGCTTCCGGTCCAAGGACGACCAGTGCAAGGTACCTTTTCGCTTGTAAAAATACAGGGAGTCCTCGACTTACAACGGTTCGCTTAGTGACCATTCAAAGTTACAACGGCACTGAAAAAAGTGACTTATGACCCTTTTTCACTCTTACGACCACTGCAGCATCTCCATGGCCACATGACCGAAATTCAGATGATTGGCAACTGACTCGTATTTATGACGATCCCAGTGTCCCGGGGTCATGTGATCCCCTTTTGCGACTTTCTAACAAGCAAAGTCTCAACGGGGAAGCCAGATTCACTTAACAACCGTGTTATTACCTTAACAACTGCAGTGATTTACTTAACAGCTGTGGGAAGAAAAGTGGTAAAATGGGGCAAAACTCACTTAACAAATGTCTCCCTTAACAACATAAATTTTGGGCTCAGTTGTGGTCGTAAATCGAGGATTAACTACATAAATGAGAAGGAAATTAAAGGGCCTTAGTAGATTTGGAGATGTATGGCAGGGAGGGAGGGAGGGAGGAAGGAAGGAAGGGAGGGAGGAAGAAGGGAAGGAAGGAAGGGGCAAAAAGGAAAAGGAAGGAAGAAAGGAAGGGGCAAAGAGGAGGAGGAGGAAGGAAGGAGGGAGGGAAGGGGCAAAGAGAAGGAGGAGAGGAGGGGAGGAGAAGGAAGGAAGGAAGGAAGGGGCAAAGAGGAAAAGGAATGAAGGAAGGAAGGGGCAAAGAGGAGGATGAGGAGGAAGGAAGGAGGGAGGGAGGGAAGGGGCAAAGAGAAGGAGGAGAGGAGGTGGAGGAGAAGGAAGGAAGGAAGGAAGGAAGGAAGGAAGGAAGGAAGGAAGGGAAGGAAGGAAGGAAGGAAGGAAGGAAGGAAGGAAGGAAGTTGTATTGTATCTTGACTCTTCTGCATCTCCTTCAGGGTTGAACTACACAGTCTCCATGAAGATGATGGGAGATGCTGCCGGCATGCAAATCCAGCGCCTGGTGCCTCTTTCTGAAGACGGAACCCCTCTAGAATCTATACCTTTGAACCAGTCCTTTGATGCTTTAGGCAACCCCTTTGCATTTGGACCTGTTTCCTTGCATGGCCCAGTACGTATCCTTTCCTACCAATTACCTGGTAAAACGCAACTCCTTTTTTACTTAGTCCCAAGTCAGCTAGTGACCCTCTTCCCCCCACACCCCCAAATATTTTTATTTTTTAATTATATAAAATACAAAGAAGAGAAGGAAAAAAAATAGGAAATTAGGGGAAGGAAAGGCAGCAGGGAAAAGGGGATGCAAGATACAAGAGGAAAGAGAAAAAAGAAGGAAAAGGAGGCATTAACTTCCAGCTCTTCTTTTGCACAGTACACGATAAACACACTCCAACCTCAACTTTTTGCTTTTACACATTAATATATAAGCTAGTGACCATCTTGATTGAGTAGGGACTTGAAGCTGAGGATGCCCAACTCCAGTCCAACAATTTAGCCACTGCCTTTGACTATCCTTCTCTGTGGGGGCACCTACCCTATGGAACCAGCTGCCCCCTGAGATAAGGAGAATCCAAGACCTTGGTGCCTTCCGCCGTGCCTTCCGCCGTGCCCTTAAAACTTTCTTTTTTCATCAAGCCGGGCTGGCTTAACATATTTTTAAATTTTTAATTTTTAATTGGTTTGTCATTTTAAACTGGGGCCAAATTAATATATATTCTTTTAATTGTTTTTAATGTTTGTATTGTATGTTTTTATCTACCTGAGTCCCTTGGGAGAAGGTGCGGTATATAAATTCGAAATAAAATAAAATAAAAAATAAATCCCTTGGCTACTATTCAAAAATGATGGGAGAGATGCACCTTAACATACCCAAAGGGTGATCAGTAGTCAGTTAGAAATCCTCCATTTTAGAAACACCAAAAGCCGAGTCTGTTCTGAAACACCAAAAGCCGGGTCTGTTTAGAAAGCCAGGTCTGTTCTGTTTGTTTCGCAGAAGCAAGAAACAGATTCCTTGCAAAGACAAAAAACCCTCTTTAATTACACATTGGGAATTAACTGCAAACCTCAGTTCTGGCAAGGCAGTCTTTGTCCCATGAAACACACAAGGAGCAAACTTTCTAGAAATGCGAACGGTTCTCTGCGACAACCAAACCACTCCCCTTTCCTCCTATTTATTCGCCAGCCAGGGAGGGGCCAGTCAGCGTCCCAGGGGTGAAATGCTCCTGGTTCAGACCGGTTCGGATGAACCAGTAGCGATGGCGGCCGGTGGTTCGGAGAACCAGTAGCGATGGCGGTGCGAGGCTCCGCCCACCCGCCCGGTCGTCGTTACTTCCTGGTTTTAACCAGAAAGTAACCTGTGTTTTACCCTCTGTGCATGTGCAGAAGGGTTTGCACATGTGCGGAGGGTCCAAGCGCGTGCACTTCCAAACTGATTGGGAAGGTAAGTAGATTTCACCCCTGCAGTATCCACATTTGTTTGCTTCCCAAGACAGCTCATTGTCCTCTGTTGTTCACCTATCCTATCTGCTCTGCGCATACGTGCATCTGGAACAGGCCCCAGCTGTTCCTCTTCCTCACTCACCTCTGACTCCAAAGGCAGCTGCCTCTCTAGCTGGGAAATGCCAGAACGGCCCTGCCTCTATCTCTGTGTCCGATGCTGAGCATCCATCAGAGCCTTCCCCAGGCTCCAGAACTGGCCCAAGTTCCTCCCCAATCTCCTCATCGTCCGAGTCTGCCGCCAGCTCTGCTGGCAGCTGGCAGGCCACAACAGGATGCTCCATACTGAACTTTCACAGAACTCAACGCTCATGGCATGTCATAGTGAGGCAAAAAAGTAAGATGGGGGGGGTGTCACCATTAAAGCCACACCCCTCCATTTAAATGCCTCACATGTTAAAAAAAAAAAGGTCACAGCAATAGCACTTCAACTTATATACCGCTTCACGGTGCTTCGTAGGCCTCTCTAACCGGTTTACAGAGTCAGCCTATTGCCCCCAACAATCTGGATCCTCATTTTACCAACCTCAGAAGGATGGAAGGCAGAGTCAAACTTGAGCCAGTCAGTATCGAACTGATGGCAGTTGGCAGAATTAGTCTGCAGTGCTGCATTATTTCTAACCAATGCGCCACCAAGGCTTTGATCATGTAGTTATGGCTACCAGTTCGACTTTTTTCACACACTCCCTTCCTCACAGACCCTCCACCCGCAGCCAAAAAATTGGGATCGATGAGGTGAGTTTACACCTGAAAGCAGGTGTCTTACTACAGATCTACTGAATTTTTGAGAGGAGGTTCCGATTGTTTGCAAGTCAGGTAGTTTTTGACTTATGACCACAATGGAGCCCAAAATTTCCATCGTTAAATGAAACATTTGTTAAGCGAGTTTTGCCCCATTTTGCGACCTTTCTTGCCACTGTTGTTAAGTGAATCTGGCTTCCCCTTTGACTTTGCTTGTCAAAAGGCCGCAAAAGGGGATCGCATGAACTTGAGACACATAACGGTCATAAGTATGAACCAGTTGCCATGCAGTTGAATTTTGATCACGTGATCATCATGGGGATGTTACAAAAGTTGTAACTGTGAAAAATGTTGCTTTTTTCAGTGCCCTTGTAACTTTGAATGGTGACTACATGAACTGTGGTAAATCAAAGATTACCTGTAATACGTCTCAATTAATTCATCAATAGGCACAGGAACAATGTGGAAGATTTTTTAATAGTAATTTCTCCATTTTTTCCTTCCAGAGAACCTTACTGAAAGTGGAGGGCCTTTCTCCAGGCAATTTTCCTTTCGTAAGAATCAGCGGGGATTCCCTCACCACCGAATTCGTGCAGATTCTGCCTCTGCCTGAGCAGAACAGTAAGTTCCTAGCAGGATGGAATATATCAGCAATAACACCAGATTAGCAGTTTTGCTTTTGGTTCAGTTTCTAGCATTTTTTTTTTCTTTATTTAGTCCGGGTCTTGTCAAAAAGAAAAAGGAAAAAAAAGTTTACTTATGAATTTTCACGTGTATTTCCTCTCAACGCTTGCATTTTCAATGCTTTTCCAGAATGGATGAATAGGTGGCTACGTTAACCCACATTCCCCAAACACACCCAGTCCCCAGCGGTGAAATCTGAAAACAGTTTGCTACCGGTTTGCTGGCCACGCATGTGCGCAACTTGCCAAATGCATACTGCAAGCGCATGTACAATGCACACCAAACGCACACTGCGCGTTTAAAAAGCTACCGGTTCGACCAGTAGTTAAAAAAAGCTACAATCCGACGATCAGCTTTGCCTCGGGGTTTGGTTTTGCTAGAAAGCAGGATTTCCTTTGCTTTCTAGCAAAGCTAAACCGTGTGGCACAGCTGATCCCGCCTAGCTGTTCTACTTACCTTCCTAAGCCTCCTTTTGGTGTGTGCTGCACGCACGCATGCACAGTACACACCACAAGAAGGCTTAGGAAGGTAAGTAGGAAAGCTGGGAGGGATCAGCTGTGCCGCACAGTTTAGCTTCGCTAGAAAGCAGGATTTCCTGCTTTCTAGCAAAACTAAACCGCACAGCACAGCTGATCGTCGGATCATATCGACTGAACTGGTAGCTAACTACTGGTTCAACTGAACCATTTTTTGTTTTTTTTTTATTACCGGTTCACTCAAACCAGTAGTTTTTATCACTACCAATTTGCCTAAACCAGAGCGAACCGTTAGCATTTCACCCCTCACAGTCCCCTACAAAGTTTCTTTAACTAGTTTTGCATCCTGTTCTCTTTCTGTTTCCTAAAATGTCGCCAAAACTGTTGCTTGCTTCTTCAAGCTTATTCCTACCTCCACATTTATCATCAGAACAGCTTCTGCTTTCTAGATTTAAATCAAGAATTCCACGAAAACGTGCTAGCTGGCTGTTTGGTGGCATGCAGATTACCTGCATCTCAAAATATCTGTATCTCAAACATCCCTCATCCAGGATTTCCTGCTACCTGTATTTGGCTGGCTTTTGGCTGGGCTATCAAACATTTTAATGCCCTGTTATGTCTTGGTCCAATAATAGAAAGGGAAGACAGATAGTCCCTCTCTGTACTCATGAGAGATGTTGCAGAATATCCAAGGTAGTTCCACTGAGTACTACCATGATATAATATGATATATTATTTATATTGTATTGTATATGATAGATGAGATGAGATGAGATGATATATGAGATGTGATATGATATATATATTGTTCTGTCCCCGTCTCACACACGCACACAAACAGACAGCCAGGGGTTAAATAAACTGGCAGACAACCAATTCTTCTGATAAGAAGCTTGGCAGCAACCCAGTAGCTGCTTGCCAAGAACTTTACTCACAAACAAAATACACACAGTTAAGAATTGTCCAGTTCGTAAAATAAATCCAAGGCCAATAATGTTGTTTCCAAAGATGCAATGTGACTTCATAGTAGTTAGTTTTGTCTGTCACAGAGTCTGAATGGCCACCTCACCCCCTTTTATACCCTGTGGGGTGTGGTCCAGTGACTCAGCTTAATCTCTGGCACGCCTTTTCTTCTGTTGCACGCGCTTATCTCTGCGACGCTGCTGAGGATCCAGCCAAGACTCATTACCCTCATCACTGTCCACCTGTGGCTGCGTGGACATGCTTGGCCCCGGCCCTATCTCTTGCCCTTCAGCGGACACCGAAGGCATTGCCAGAGAGGAGGGTCCTGGAGAGGAAGGCCTTGCCAACTCCTCTCCTTCACTCTGGGAGGCCTCTCCTGCCGATGACACAGGCTCAGATAACGGAGCCACAACATATATATTGTATTGTATATGATATATATGATATGATATGATTTGATATGATATATTATATGATATATTATATTGCATTGTATATGATAGATGAGATGAGATGAGATATGAGATATGATATGATATATTTATATTGTATTGTATATGAGATATGAGATATGATATGATATGATATATTTATATTGTATTGTATATGAGATATGAGATATGATATGATATATGATAGGATGATATATGATATGATATGATGTATGATAATATTATATTATATTATATTATATTATATTATATTATATTATATTATATTATATTATATTATATTATATTATATTATATTATATTATATGAGTATCTGGTTTCCGCCATTGACTTTACTTGTTAGAAGTTGGCTTGGAAGGTCACAAATGGTGATCATGTGACCTCAAGATGCTGTAACCATTATTATTATGGTTTGTTGCACAGTCAGCCAAATGTTCGGGCTGGATTATTTGTATTTATTAAATTTATATGCCCCTCATCTTGCTGTCAAGAGCGACTCATAAACAACTGTCCTATGTACAGGTAATCCTTGATTTACAGCAGTTTTTAAATATGTGAAATTAAAGGAAGATTTATGTGGGACAGTTTTTTCCTATGGTATCTCACAGATAATTGGTATTTCAGGTACAGGTAGCCCCCGACTTACAACAGTTCATTTAGTGACTGTTCAAAGTTACAACGGCACTCTAAAAAGTGACATGACCATTTTTCACTCTTACAATGGTTGCTGCATCCTCATGGTCACAGATCAAAATTCAGACATTTGGCAACTGACTCATCTTTATGACATTTGCAGTGTCATGTGATCTTCCTTTGTGACCTTCTGCCAAGCAAAGTCAATGGGGGAGGCGGATTCACTTAACAACCGTATTACTAATTTAACAACTGTGGCAATTCACTTAACAACAGGGAGCAAGGAAGGTCGTAAAACGGGGCAAAACTCCAAACTTAAGAACTATCTTGCTTAGCCACTTGCGATCGTAAGTCGAGGACTGTACTATGCTTGTACTATGACAATATTTTACCTATATTGTGAGCATATTGCCATTTTTCTCCCCCCCCCCCCCCCAGGCACCATGGCACCTGGTGGGACCTTGAAAGTCTCTGTGCTGGTAGTCAACCATGGAGCAGCCAGAACATTTGCTTTTAAAGTTTGGGATGATCGGAGTTTCATGAGCAGCTATGAACCAAAAGGAAGTTTCCTGAACACAGGAGAAAATATTACCCTGACGGCAACCTTTATTGCACCCGTTGCCAATGAGAGCTTTGCCTCCAGGTAGGTTAACACAGCTGTGGTAGATATCCAGAATCCTCAAAGATGGAGATTCCAGAGAATATCCAGAATCCTGGAGATTTGTGTTCCCTTTGATGAATGAAAAATGCCTAGCAGAAATGTTTTCTGGATAAAGAGGGAACGTAGATATGCCTTATCTAGCTAAATAACAGTGTCATGCTTAAAGGCATTTGGACGAGGGCAGTGGTGAAATCTAAAATTTGTTACTACCGGTTCTGTGGGCATGGCTTGGTTGGGGGGGTGTAATGTGACTGGGTGGGCATGGCCCATTTTTTTTTTTTTTTACCTTTAAAACCATTTTTTCTACAACCTCTTTGGCGAGGTTGTTTTTTTTTAAAAGCCTCTGTCAATCAGGCAACTCAGCTGGGATCGTCAGAGCTTGGATCGTCAGAGCCATTTAAAAGAAAAATGCCTCTGATGATCGTGCAGCTCAGCTGGGCATGGGGGGGCAGGGATTTTTGCTACCGGTTCTCCGAACCACCCGCCTCCATCGCTACCGGATCGGGCGATCCGTTCCGAACCGGGAGCATTTCACCCCTGGACTAGGGGAAACCTGAATTATAGCTTTGCCCTAGGCACAGAACTAGCTGGGGGACTTCGAGCCCATCCCTCTCTCTCAACCCCAGGAAGAAGAAGGCAAAATAAATCATTTCTGAAAAATATCGCCAAGAAAACTCCAAGGACCTGTTCAGGTAGTCACCAGGAATAACAGAATAACAGAGTTGGAAGGCACCTTGGAGGTCTTGTAGTCCAACCCCCTGCTCAGGCAGGAAACCCTGGCCTATACCATTTCAGACAAATGATTGTCCAATTTCTTCTTAAAAACTTCCAGTGTTGGAGCATTCACAACTTCTGGTGCCATGTTGTTCCACTGGTTAATTGTTCGAACTGTCAGGAAATTTCTCCTTAGTTCTGGGTTGCTTCTCCCCTTGATTAGTTTCCATCCTTTGCTTCTTGTCCTGCCTTCAGGTGCTTTGGAGAACAGGTTGACTCCCTCTTCTTTGTGTAATAATGCAGCAGAGTGGAGCAGGATTACAGAAGGGAGAAAACATGTGGTTTGTTGTTAATGAATTCACGAATGTTTTTTTCAGCGTTGTGACATTCACTGCAAGCAGCGGTTCTGCCCAGAACTACCTGAAACTTCCCATCAGTGTCATTCCTGAAACAGCTTTGGTAAGCCTGAAATTAATCCTCTGGGAACACTTCTGTTCTTCATCCCCATTCTCACGTGATCAAAAATGTGCTACTTGGCAACTGATTCATATTTATGACAGTTGCAGTGTCCTGGGGTCATGTCATCCCCTTTTGCGACCTTCTGACAAGCAAAGTCAATGGGGAAACCAAATTCATTTAACAATCGTGTTACTAACTAAACAACTGCAGTGATTCGCTTAACAAAGAGCCTTGGTAGTACAGTGGTCTAAGGCACCCTGTTATTAAGCTGGTTATTAAGACCAGATGCCTGCAATTACTGCAGGTTCGAATCTCGCCAAGGCTCAAGGTTGACTCAGCCTTCCATCCTTTCTAAGGTAGGTAAATTGAGGACCCAGTTGTGGGGGCAATAAGCTGACTTTGTATAAATATACAAAAGGATGAAGGCTATTGCTTAGCGCATTATAAGCTGCCCTGAGTCTCCGGAGAAGGGCGGCATATAAATCAAATTAAAAAAAAAAATGTAGCAAGGAAAGTCGTAAAATGGGGCAAAGCTCACTTAACAAACGTTTCACTTAGCAGCAGACATTTTGGGCTCAATTGTGGTCGTAAGTTGAGGACTTCCTATATTACTAAGGACTCACAAACTGATTTCTGCAGCCTAGGATAAACAAATATTGTTTCTTCTGCTAGGTTTAATGCTTGCATTTAGCAGCATTGGAGAGTAGCAGAAACTATCCCACCATGGAGACTTCCCCGTACTTTATACAGTATTTATATTTTAATATAAAATATAATACTTTATATTTTATGTTATTCATTATACAAAAACAGCCAGCGGTTGTCATTTTCCCACCAAAATGGCATAAATTCAAAGCATTTTATATAGAAAAGAGGCACGAGAGCTTCCTTTTTTCAAACAAGTCCAGAGAGATAAAAGTCAAATTGAGAATGATCTAAGGAGAGTCTATATCTAATCCAGGGATCCAGGTAACACAACTGCATTGTGATGACCCTGGCGTGGCACAAAGGTAACACAGCCAGAGAACCGGTATGAATCCCTTTATTGGTGAAAAGTTCTCCCACGAACACTGTAAAACAGAATGACTGCACTCAATCACTCCAGCAGGGCAAGATAATGAGTCCCAGACGGGAAGAATAATTCCAGCAAGACAAGATAGGCACACAGTAGCACGGCAGTAATTCAAACAGTCAGGAGAAGATGCCAGGAATGCAGGCCACAACTCTCAACACCAGATTAATTCAGCGTTTGTTCCTGACAAACATCCCTCCCAACTGCCTCTCCTTTAAACTCCATCCCCAGGTGTGCCTTGTGAAGGGAATCGGGGCCCTTTCCTTCCTCGTAAACCACGCAATCCACGTTGCTCTCTTCTGCATTCTTCCCTGCGCACCTTAGGATGAGGAGGGGGTAGACCTTGGTCTTCATCTGAATTCCCTCTCCCTTATTCTACCTCTCCCCTGCTCTATCCAGCCTGAGTTTGCCCTTCCCCAGTTTCCTCCACAGCCAACGGAGCAACTCTCTGCTCTCTGTCAGCTGTTCATCTTCCATCTCAGGGTCAGACTCTGACAGGGGCATGACATGCGTATAGAGAGAGTCACAGGAATGGGAATGAAACATTAGTTGCCACAAACAGCCAATCATAAAAGCCTCTCTTTTATACAGCTAGTCCTTCACTTACAACCACAATTGAGCCCAAAATTTCTGTTGCTAAGCGAGACAGTTATTAAGTGAGTTTTGCCCCGTTTAACAACCTTGCTACAGTTTTTTTTTAATTTGATTTATATGCCGCCCTTCTCCGGAGACTCAGGGCAGCTTACAATGTGCTAAGCAATAGCCTTCATCCTTTTTGTATATTTATACAAAGTCAGCTTATTGCTCCCACAACTGGGTCCTCAATTTACCTACCTTAGAAAGAATGGAAGGCTGAGTCAACCTTGAGCCTGGCGAGATTTGAACCTGCAGTAATTGCAGGCAGCTGTTCTTAATAACAGGGTGCTTTAGACCACTGTACTACCAAGGCTCCTTAAGTGAATCACTGCAGTTGATTCGGTTGTTAAGTGAATCTGGCTTCCCCATTGATGGTCAGAAGGTCAGAAGAGGTGATCGTATAACCCCAGGACACTGCAACCATCATAAATACATGCCAGTTGCCAAATATCCAAATTTTTGCTCATGTGACCATGGGGATGCTGCCATGGTCGTAAGTGTGAAAAACGGTTGTATGTCACTTTTTTTAGCACCATTATAACTTCGAACAGTCACTAAAGGAATGGTTGTAAGTTAAGGACTATCTATATGTATATCCTTCACAGGGGAGAGTCAAAAAGCATGTGTTCCATCTACACGTATACATCAGGGTGCAAATGTAGAAGGAGGTATCCTAATGTTAGTCATTTCTCCATTGCTAGTTATAGCATCTTCAGTATTTCTCAACTTTGGCACTTCGAAGACTAGTGGACTTCAACTCCCAGAATTCTCCAGCCAGCCATGTTGGTTGGGGTACTCTGAGAATTGAAGTTCATACATCTTCAAGTTGCCATGGTTGAGAAACACGGCTTTAGAGCATCACCCAGCCAGCTGTTATTACTGTTTTATTTATTTATATTTCACTTCTAAACCGCCCATCTACCTCAAAGAGGGCTGTTCCTTTGGTATCATGGTTAGATGATTCTAAATAACAAATTGTTATGAGGAAATGAGAATCATGTAGGAAGAGTGATAGGCCAAGACCAAACTTAGTTTAAATCATTTAACTCTGCATTTTATGTCTGCACTCACCATTGTCAGGGTTCCAAGTAACACCCCCAATGAAAGAAGACTCTGAGGCTTGAAGTTCCTCAAAGTTCCATTTTATTAAAGATGTCATATTGGCACATCTAGGAAAACCCAAATCTGAAAGCTTCCAGGTTTTCCCCACCCAACAGAAAATCGAAGACCCTGCCCAGCATCCACAAGTCCATCACATGGCCCAATCAAAACACCGTCCCAACTGGAGGGTCCTCCCAATTCCAACCCTCCAGGTGCAGGGCAAGATGTCCTTGACTCTCTGAGAAAAGAATGTTATTATGACTATATATCACCCATTCTCCATACAATCCCCCCTCCCAGTTTCCCACAGTAGCAAACATGGCAGGCCTGAAGGGAAAAATGCAAAAGATGGCTTCCAGGCCTGACAACCATCCCTTCTGGCTAGCAGGATGTAAGATACTGAAAACTCAGTGCCATTCCAACCAATCCAGTTTCCAGGATTCTCAGGAAGTTGGCTGAGAATTCTGGGAATTGCAGTCCTAGTATAGGAGAAGGAATGGCAGAACCTGGGGGTGGAGTAAAATGAAGGATCAGCCTAGAATCCCTACATAGCCACAAGCGGACTAAATCCAATTCCCCACTGAATTCAGTTGACTCTTATTTAACTCCAACCAAGTGAACCATTAGTTGAGAAGTTTCCTGTGTATTTAGGCATTTTAGCAATAAATCAGTTTAATTAAGAGCCTTGGTAGTACAGGGGTTTAAGGCACCATGTTATTAAGCTTATTAAGACCAGCTGCCTGCAATTACTGCAGGGTTCGAATCTCGCCAAGGCTCAAGGTTGACTCAGCCTTCCATCCTTTCTAAGGTAGGTGAAATGAGGACCCAGTTTGTGGGGGCAATAAGCTGACTTTGTATAAAATATACAAAAGGATGAAGGCTATTGCTGAGCACATTGTAAGCCGCCCTGAGTCTTCGGAGAAGGGCGGCATATAAATCAAATTAAAAAAAAAAAATTAGACCTTCACTGGGGACCTGATCTTTCACACATGACAGCTATGTATCTATATTGGCTGCTATATTGGGAAAAGGGTGATCTATGTGTCCTAACAGGGACGCGGTGGCTCAGTGGCTAAAATAAGCTGAGCTTGTCGATCGAAAGGTCAGCAGTTCAGCTGTTCGAATCCCTAGTGCCGCGTAATGGGGTGAGCTCCCATTACTTGTCCCAGCTTCTGCCAACCTAGCAGTTTGAAAGCATGTAAAAAATGCAAGTAGAAAAATAGGGACCACCTTTGGTGGGAAGGTAACAGCGTTCCGTGCGCCTTTGCCCTTTAGTCATGCCGGCCACATGACCATGAAGACGTCTTCAGACAGTGCTGGCTCTTCGACTTTGAAACGGAGATAAGCACCACCCCCTAGAGTCGGGAACGACTAGCACAAATGTGCGAGAGGAACCTTTACCTTTATGTGTACTTGCATTTGCATTTTAAATTCATGTACTCATGTATTATGGCTCATTAGCTTTATTACTAACCGACACATTTGCTCTTCAACAGGAGACCGATGAGATCCCACCTGTGTACAAACTCAGAGAATTTTACATGCCTTGTAGAGGCAACCTCCAGAGTGAACCAGTCTGTCGTGGTCATACTTGGCAAATGTCATTCACAGCCGTGGATGACCAAAGTGCCGTCACCGTCACAATCAATACAAATCCTTCTGGTCTCACTTGCACTCCAAAAGGAGGTGATGTGAAGAATGTAATATGTGAATATAGGTAGGTATACATCCATTGTTCTGAAAAAAAAAAAATCAATCATAAAACCTTTTTCCCATTTGCATTGACAATTGCCCAGTCTTGTCCAACTTTTACATGCAAGAGCCCTAAACTGAGTTATGCCAGTGCAAATTGCTGAACCTCCAGAAATATAAAGTCTTCACCTCTAGGACATCACACCACTCCCGTTAGTTTTTAGCAGTGACTAATTTAAAGGACCTAAAGCCCCTGGGAATGGACATTAACAACTGGGAAACCTTGACCTCCAATCGTTCAGCTTGGAGGCTAAAGACGCAGTATGGCCTTCTCCAATTCGAAGAGACACTCGTTCAGCAGGCTGAGGCAAAGAGGCAGTCCCGGAACCAGCGAAATCTGGGGGCTGGGCAGGGGACAGAATGTATCTGCCCTCAGTGTGGAAGGGATTGCCACTCTCAAATTGGCCTTTTTAGTCACACTAGATGCTGTTCCAGAACACGGTACCATAGTCTTTTGAGACTGAAGGATGCCAATGAATTAAAATAATGCAGAGAAAATTAAAATGATGGCATCCCACCCTGAAAACAAAAACTAAGTTTCCCGCAGTTTTAAACCTATTCTTGTCTACGTAACAGAAACTTAAATATTTCCAATTCAATTTTACTTGACCTTCCTTTTGTTTTCTGTGAAAGTTCCTTTAATCTGGAGCTGAAGGAGAACAACTGAGAGCCAAGTTGGTTTAGAACCGTGATGGCAAACTATGGCATGCCACAAGTGGCACACGGAGCCATATCTGTGGGCATGCAAGCGTTGCCCTAGCTCAGCTCCAACGTGCATGCGTGCGCCAGCCAGCTGATTTTTGGGCCTTCCAGGCCCACTGGAAGTTGGGAAACAGGCTGTTTCCAGCCTCCGGAGGGCCTCCGGGGGTGGGGAAGGCCATTTTCACCCTCCCCAGGCTCCTAGAAATCCTCTGGAGCCTGGGGAGGGTGAGAAATCGGCCTACCGAGCTCATCGTGCCATAGCGTGCCAAAAGCAGGGGAGCGGGGGATTTGCACGCATGCACAGGGGTGGGGTGCATTGAATTATGGGTGCGGGTATGTGCATGCGTGACAACACACACACACACACACACACACACACACACGCTTTTGGCACGCAACAGCAAAAAGGTTAGCCATCAGTAGCTAAGTGTTGGAATTCATTTTTGGAATGTATTTCTATGTAACAACTACAGTAGTATTCAGCCAGTAGATGGCACTGTTTACAAGTTTGGATTTATGGTATATACTCTATGCTCTTCTGTTTTAAATAGAGCTTCCTGTTTCCAGTTACAGTTAAACAGTTGAGCAGTAAAGCACATAGTGACTGTACTCTTTATTTGCTCTGTGGTGCTATATATAAACAGAATTTCTAACATTAAGGCACCAAGTTAGAGACAAGGAGACTGTGAGTTCTAGCTCCACCTTAGGCATGAAAGCCAGCTGAATGACTTTGAGCTAGTCCTTCCCTCTCAGTCCAACCCAGCTCATACGGTTGTTGTTATGGGGAAAAGGGGAGGAGAAAGGAGTATTAGGTATCTTTGCCTTGAGTTATTTATAAAAGTAATATTAATAAAGGTAAGATATAAATACAGCTAATCCTCGATTTACAGCCAATCATTTAGTGACTATTCAAAGTTGCAACAGCACTGAAAAATGTAACTTCCTCACACTTCAAACCGATGAAGCAACCCCATGGTCACGTGATCAGAAATTGATTGCTTGGTACCCAGCATATCTTTACAATGGTTGTAAGGTCCTGGGGTAATGTGATAACCATTTACAACCTTCCCAGCAGGCTTCCGACAAACAAAATCAATAGGAAATTCAGGTTCACTTAATCTGAATTCATTTAAGTGAATTCACTGAAGTGATTGGCTTGAAAGCCATGGTGGGAAAAGATTGTAAAATTGGGCATGACTCATTTAACAATCGCTTCGCTTAACAACCGAAATTTTGGTCTCAGTTGTGGATGTAGGTCGAGGACTACCTGTACATGTAAGCGCAAATAAATCTCAGCTTTCTCCTTCTCTGCCCTGGACTTTTACAACGTGACCCCCACAAAACTCGTTTCGTCCCTTGCCTGCCTTACGAATGTGCAAGATCCACTTTTGAGCACACAATAGCTCTCAACACTAGCAAGAGTCTTTATTATTGGCTGAGCTTCTTATTATACGTAAAGAACTAGCCAAATAATTAATCGTTTATAACAGTTAGGACGCTGGTTGTGTGCTTCTTCCTGGGTATTTGTGAAAATCAGCAGGCTTCTAATTATTCTGAGATAGGCTAAGAGTGCCCTCTGGAGTTCACAAAATTTCCGGCAAAAATAGAAAACAAAGATGCAAAAAGATGGTTGTTTTTATTCATTTAATCCCCAGCTATGAAATATCTTTTCCCCAGGGGAAAATAATTCAAAATTAGAGTGATGCTTTTATTAGTTTGAAACCCCAAAATTACAAAACACACAGATTTTTAGCCAGATCTTTATTAGGTAAGAAGTAGCGAAAAAATTTGGTGCTAAACGAGACAGAATGTGCAGTTATTAATATTAGCTCATTTCAGGTTTGAAATTAGGTAGTATTTAGGAAGAGCATATATTAAGTATGTTTTAATTTTATTTTTTCTTGTTTTAAAACTCCAGGTTTTTAAATTTATGACAAATTTATTTTAATTTTCTGTGCAATGCAAAAAAAAAAAAAATCAAAGCATACAATTACTTTATTTTTTTATTAATAACAAAAATATCAGTGGTTATATAATAGAAATCCTACATGCATTACAAGGATTAAAGCAAACTGAACATAATGGGAGAAAAAATAAGGAAAATGAAAAAATGACAATATATGAAATTAATTTGGCCCTTAAACCTATTAAATCTACACTATTTAGAAAAAAAATGCTCCATCTTCTCATTTTTAGAATGTATCTATAATTCCAAATAATAATATCCAATTCCATTTTTGAGAAAAATGGACGTTCTAAATTCCCAATTACCAAACTGAAATTCTGAACGTAAAGAAAAAAAATATTAAATATATTAGTACCCAAAAAATGTATTGACTATATTTAGATGTAATCTGAACAAAATTTCATTTTTTGTCATGCCCTGACATGTTGCTTTTGAGGGATCCTGTTCAAACCCCAATTTTAGCCCTGAGACTAAAAGCTACAGACCAGCTGCAGAACACTAGTCTATATTCTTCCTTTTCTTTCTTCATTGATCGAGGTAAAATAATGCATGCTTTTATTTCAAGGAAACTTTACAACCAGGCTGTGTAGCATAAGAAACTAAGAGCAATTAAGATGATCAAAGGCCTGGAGACTAAAATATATGAACAGCTTCAGGATTTGAGTTTGGCTAGTCTAGAGAAAAGAAAGACTAGGGGGTGACATGATACCAGTAATCCTGTACTTGAGGAGCTGCTACAAAGAAGAGGGGTGCTTCTCCAAAGCACCAGAGGGCAGGACAAAAAATAATGGATGGAAACTAATCAAGGAGAGAAGCAACCTGGAATTAAGGAGAAACTTCTTGACACTGAGAACAATTAACCAGTAGAACAACTTGACTCCAGAAATCATGGGCACTGGAGGTCTTTAAGCACAGACTAGACCCGTGATGGCGAACCTATGGCACACATGCCACAGTTGGCACACGGAGCCATATCTGTGGGCATGTGAATGTTGCCCTAGCTCAGCTCTAGTGCACATGCATGTGCCAGCCAGCTGATTTTCAGGCCTTTCAGGCCCACTGGAAGTCGAGAAACGGGCTGTTTCCGGCCTCCGGAGGGCCTCCGGGGGGGTGGGGAAGGCCGTTTTCGCCCTCTCCAGGTTCCTAGAAAGCCTCTGGAGCCTGGGGAGGGAGAAAAATGGGACTTCCGGTCCCACCGGAAGTCAGGAAACAGGCCATTTCCAGCCTCCAGGGGGGTGGAGAAGGCCATTTTTGTCCTCCCCAGGCTCCAAGAAAGGCTCTGGAGCCTGGGGAGAGTAAAAAAAGCACCAGCCCATCACATGCCGGAGGCGGGGGGAGCACGGGGGGAGGGGTGTCACATGCTCATGTGCAGGGGTGGGGCGCATGGAATTATGGGTGTGGGCACGTGTGCACATGACCCCTCCGCGCTCCCCCACTTTTGGCACACGACGGTAAAAAGGTTAGCCATGACTGGACTAGACAGTCACTTATCTGAAATGGTATAGCTTATTCTACTTGAGCTGGAAGCTGGACTAGAAGACCTCCAAGGTCCTTTCCAGATCATTCTATTCTATTCTAAAAATATAAAAGTACAGGTCATTCTTAACTTACAACCACAATTGAGTTCAAAATTTCTACAGCAAAGCATGTTGGTTTTTAAGTGAGTCGCACTCAAATATATGACCTTTTTGCCACAGTTGTTAAGTGAATCACTGCTGTTGTTAAATGAGTCACACGGTCATCCAGATTACAGTCATCCATTGACTTTGCTTGTTGGGAGCTTGGCTGGGAAGATTGGAAATCACATCGCCCTGGGACACTGCAGCCATCGTAACTACATGCCACATACCATGACTCTGAATATTGATCATTGTAGGGATGCTACAATGTCATAAATGCAAGGATTGATCGATTGCAGTTATAGTTTTGTTGTAAGTTTGAACACTCACTAAATGAATGGTTGTAAGTCAAGGACAACCTGTACTACACCTTGATGAAACATGTTAACCGCGGAGTTGCCTTGGTGAACTGACCATGCCCTCTAAATCTTTCACTGCTTACAGAACTCTTTCGTTCTGGCGTCCTTGTTTAAAGTCCCCCCCCCAGCTATAGTTTGTAGCTATTCAAACTCTTCCTCCTTCACCCTCTCCCGTTATTTATCCGCCTTGTTATTTTTGCTCTCCTCCGTAGGTCAACCTGCTGCAATCCTTTTGCAGAAGTTTTAATCAGTGATGAGGATGGGAACACGAGCAGTTTCACGATGGACTACAGAAACTCTAAGCCTCCTGCAAGCTATTGAGTTAAGCAACTGAAGCTGCCAACCCACTCATTATCTTTCTCTATAGTCAAAACTAGACGACCCATGAGCCTGGGTCATAAATAAGAGATGTTTTCTTACCAGATTCTTCTTCAGTGCCATCAACAATGGTAGACAATGGCAGACGTAGGAGATGACCAGGCTGAGGGAGGGGTCAAAAATGTCATCAGTCATGAATCCCTTTGTGACCACAAGAGATCTAATTCCAGCCCACCTTGAATTCCTTTGACTTGTATCTCCCGCCAATCTGCTTTGACCGTTAGTAGTTCAGGTTCTTGTAGCGAGCAATAAACCTTTACACTCATTTGAACTGGCTGGATTTTCTGATTTTCCTGGTGCTTGACAGCAGAGCTTCGAATGCACTGCTGCTTTCGCTACGGATGTTCTTTAAAAATTAGGGATGTATATGTCTTGAAAACAGCCAGTTTTGAACTGTATAACAGTGGGCCCCCAACATTTTGAGCACAATAGCACTTCGCACTTAGACTTATATACCGCTTTACAGTGCTTTCACAGCCCTCTCAAAGCAGTTTACAGAGTCAGCATATTGCCTCCAACAATCTGGGTCCTCATTTTACCCACCTCGGAAGGATGGAAGGTTGAGTCAACCTTGAGCCGTTGAGATTTGAACTGCCGAACTGCAGCTAACAATCAGCTGAAGTAGCCTGCAGTACAGGGGTGGGTTCTACTTACCTTTACTACCGGTTCGCAACGGGACCGTGCATGCAGAAGCTTCCTGACGACGTCTGGGTCGGTGGGCGGAGCCTCCCGCCGGTTTTACTACCGGTTCTTGCGAACCGGTCCGAACCGGGGGCAACCCACCACTGCTGCAGTACTGCACTCTAACCACTGTGCCACCTCGGCTCGGCTCACAAGGGACCAATTCTGTGGAAAACAATTTTTCCACGGACTGATGATGTGGTGTGTATGTGGTTTCACACACTACCTAGATTTCACACACGCACAGATGAAGTTTCGCTCGCTTGCACAGTCCAATTCTTAACAGTCCAAGGACTGGTGCCAGCCTCCAGTCCAGGGGGTGGGGACCCCTCTTGTATAGTACAGTCAAACCTCAGCAGTTGACCGTGGGAAATCTTTAAGGACATTTTGTATTGTGTCATAAAATGCTTTATGGTCATTTTGATGCCCTGAAATGCTTTTATAAAATTTGCCAAATTTCAGCTCTGTGGGAATCAGGGGGCCCAGATTTTAGGAAGGACCTAATAGCCAAAAGTACTGAATCCAGTCAGAACTATTTGGAACACTGTGTGTATATAACAAAACAGCAATTAATTTTTTTAAAAAAAAAATAATATGAATCTGGAAGACGTATCTATCAGCCCCTTAAGGTAGACCGGGTGAAGGAATAGATTGCATCAGACATCCTGGAGCCCACTTTATTGATACACTGCAGTGTTTTTCAACCTCAGCAACTTTAAGATGTGGGGACTTCAATTCCCAGAATTCTCTGATGCATCTTAAAGTTGCTGTGGTTGAAAAAAGTAATACGGGGATGGCAAGTAAGGAATCTTGAAAGCTGGTGGCATTTTCCCTCTATTTCTCCTTCCCTCCTGCTTAGACCAAAGAGAGTTAAGATGGATCCAGGGGGATAAGGAGCTCTGGTAGCGCAGCAGACTAAAGCACTGTTAGTAAAGCACTGCCTGCAATTACTGCAAGTTCAATTCTCACCAGGCTCAAGGTTGACTCAGCCTTCCATCCTTTCTAAGGTAGGTAAAATGAGGACCCAGATTGTGGGGGCAATAAGCTGACTTTGTATAAATATACAAAAGTATGAAGGCTATTGCTTAGCGCATTGTAAGCCGCCCTGAGTCTTCGGAGAAAGGCAGCATATAAATCAAAATAAAATAAAAAAATAAAAAAAATAATGAGAAAATAGCACAAGCAGTGTGACAACATCACAACACAAGCACCGCCCATTTTCTATGCACTTTGCAATATCACATGCAGAAAAGTGTAGATCTACTGGAACAGACTTTGTGAGCTCTCCTAAGGAGAATACAACACCATTTTAAAGGCCACCTGCAACCACATTGTAGTTTTTGTTTCTTGACACACCAGCCCACCAAGCAGAGAATTACCAAGGTCAAAGAAAAAGGATTAAGACCCACAAAGCAATAGATTTTCTCTTGAACAGCTTGTGGCCAATGTAAATTCAGCAGGTGCATCTTCTCCCATTGGCCCTTCTCGGCACTAGAATTCAAACGGCACCTGCTGAATTTCAGCCTTACATTTCTCAACCGTAGCAATTTTAAGACATGTGGGCTTCAACTCCCAGAATTCCCCAGCCAGCCACGTCTTCAAGTTACCAACGTTGATAAATGCTGTATTTTTTAAAAAAACAATAAAAGTTACTAGCCAGAAAGCCAGGGCTGCTAATTTTTCTGATAGACTTATGGATAAGATTTGGGGAAGGGAGATGATGAAAAATACAAGGGCCTGCTGGCTCAGCAGACTGATAGCATTGTGATTAACACCAGCTGTCTGCAATTACTGTAAGTTTGAATCTCACCAGGCTCAAGGTTGACTCAGCCTTCCATCCTTTCTAAGGTAGGTAAATTGAGGACCCAGTTTGTGGGGGCAATAAGCTGACTTTGTATAAACATACAAAAGTATGAAGACTATTGCTTAACACATTGTAAGCCACCCTGAGTCTCCGGAGAAGGGCGGCATATAAATCAATTTTAAAAAAAAAAGAAGAAAGCTTACATTTCTCACACCGATTCCTTTGTTCACTTTCACTCCATAGAGATGACCTACCCTGAAGGAATGTCCTGACGCAAAATGGATCTTATTTCTGGTCCCTGAATGTCCCTTATACTGAGATGATAATCGCCAAACGGTAGTAGCCTTGCCCCATCTCTCTGGTGGATCCAAATAAAACTAACTTCAGAAGCACCTGTGTCTGTTGAGAGTCTCTATTTATTTATTTTATTCTCTTCAGAAAATCTTTTGTTCCTTTGCCTCACTGGACTTCTTGCTTTGAAGCCATTGTGCTAACAGCGTTTTGCTGGACTACTGGCAGTAATTGCTGCTGTATGAGTGAGCGCTTTGCTCTGGGACTTGCCATAAACATGGGAGCGTTTTGGGCAGCGGTGAAATCCTACCGGTTCTGTCCGGCTTGCGCGAACCGGTAGCGGCGGCAGCGTGTGGTTTGGTGAATCAGTAGCGGTAGCAACGTGAGGCTCCGCCTACCCACCCAGACATCATTACTTCCTGCTTTGAACCAGGAAGTAACCGGTTTTTGGCCCTCTGCGCATGCGCAGGGGGTCAAAAATTGCACATGAAAAAGCACTCGCATTTCCGAACCAGTAGGGAAGGTAAATAGATTTCACCCCTAGTTTTGGGGAAAGTTGGAGCAATAAAGGGGAGTTTGAACAATCAGCTGGCTGTGTTGCCTCTGTGCCTTGTCCCAGGTCATCACAATTGCACACCAGCTCGGTCTGGGGGATGTTATTCCATAAAGAGGTAAAGATGGGGGGGGGGGAAATCACCAGAACCAGGGGACTCAAAGACCAGAGTTACTTCGTCTTGCCAGGGTGAGTTGTAACATGCTGCCTCCCATCCAGACTCTCACAGACTCCAGATCCTGGCTAAGATCCTCAACAGCATCACTTGTAGAGCCAGTGACATTCTTATGACCATCTAGATTTCTACACTCCACAAAGGGTGAATCAAAAGAGGTCAACCTCTTCTCCAAAGCACCTGAAGACAGGGCAAGAAGCAATGGATGGAAACTAATCAAGGGGAGAAGCAACCTAGAACTAAAGAGAAATTTCCCAACAGTTAGAACAATTAACCAGTGGAACAGTGGTGGGTTTCATTTACCTTTGCTATCAATTCTCCCCAAACCGGGGCAAACCAGGGGTGAAACACAGCAGGTTCTGGGGAACCGGTAGCGGAAATTTTGAGTAGTTCGTAGAACCAGCAAATACCACCCCTGGCTGGCCCCAGAGTGGTGTGGGAATGGAGATTTGGCAATATCCTTCCCCCAGGAATGGGGAGGGAATGGAGATTTTGCAGTATCCTTCCTCTGCCACGCCCACCAAGCCACGCCCACCAAGCCACACCACGCCCACCAAGCCATAGAACCGGTAGTAAAAAAAATTTGGATTTCACCACTGGGGCAAACCGGTAGCAACCCACCACTGCAGTGGAAGGGCTTGCCTCCAGAAATTGTGGGTGCTCCAACAGTGGAGGTTTTTAAGAAGAGTTTGGACAAATGGTATAAGGTTTCCTGCTCGGACAGGGGATTGGACTAGAAGACCTCCAAGGTCCCTTCTAACTCTGTTATTCTACTATTCTGTTATCAGAAGGGTGCATTGTGCTCTTGTGCTGGAAACCCTTAGAAATGACAAGATCTCCGAGACACAATGTTTTCAAAAGCAAATCCACCGTGAAAGGTTTTTAATGTCAAAGTTGAAGTACGCACATCCTTAAAGTTGCCAAGGTTGTGAAACACTGATCTAAACAAACAGGACTCACATACTTTCCCCTCCACCCCCACCCCCCCACCTCTTCAACCCATGGCGCTTCAGCAAACACCAATCTGGCAACTGGTCAGAAGCTCTATTTGCGATGTTCCTCTTTGCAGCTGGAAGGTAGGATGCTGACTTCATTAGAGAGGCAGATTCAATATGGAAAAAAAAAAAGAAGAAGATGAACAATTGGCAGCTGTTCGTTATCCTCCCCCCCCTCCCGTGTAACTTCAGCTATTAAAACTCCCACAGCCAAGGCAGGCAGGCAGAGGTTGTGAGGCAGACCTGAGGGAAAACTCTCTCTTTTTTTAAAGTTTTTGTCCTGTCTACCCAAGTCGAGCCACAAACTATGCTCTGGGCCAGAGAGCTTCCTTTGCTTCTCTGCGTGGGGCTTGTGAACGGGTTTTATCCCAACCGTGAATCGGAGGGCATTGCATCAACTGATTTCACCGATGCCGACATCCCAGGAAAGAAGATGAGGCAGGCTGTCATGGAGAAAAACCTTTTGCCTGGAAAACATCTCAAGAAAGGTGGAGCGCTTAAAGAGGAGAATGCAACAGAACCATTTCAAACCTGTTTTGAAGGTAACCCATGGGAGGGTGGGAAGGTCTTCGTAGGATGTGTCCTGCTTTCACCTCCAGGCTCAAATAGATCCTCCACCGTTTCCCTTATGGTGAAATCCTGGGGAAAAAAAACAGGAAGCTTGGTATGACATCAGAAGGTCCATTATTTCCATCTGCCATGGTATGATTGGGTTCTCTTTAGGACTGGGGCCGTGTAATTAGAATTACAAGATGGTAACCAACACAGAGAAACCAAGATAGTGGAGGCTTTTATGGACTTTCTTTGCTGTGTACAGCAAAACTATTTACAATAGATATCATTAAGTGTTGTACCTTATGATTCTTGATGAATGTATCTTTTCTTTTATGTCCACCGAGAGCATATACACCAAGACAAATTCCATGTGTGTCCAATCACATTTGGCCAATAAAAAATTCTATTCTATTCTATTCTATTCTATTCTATTCTATTCTATTCTATTCTATTCTATTCTATTCTATTCAATGCGATTCAAGGTGTTGGTTACCACCTTTAAAGCGCTCCATGGCATTGGACCTGGGTACCTTCGAGACCGTCTTCTGCCACCAGTAGCCTCCCACCGGCCAGTCCGCTCCCACAGAGAGGGCCTCCTCAGGGTGCCATCGGCCAAATTATGTCGGCTGGCGACACCCAGGGGGAGGGCCTTCTCTGGGGGAGCCCCTGCCCTTTGGAATGAACTCCCCCCAGAAATTTGTAGAATCTCTGATCTCCGTGTATTTCGCTGTGCCCTCAAAACCATATTGTTCCGCCAGGCTGGGCTATCAATATAAAGATTTTAATTGGTTTTAAATGGGATTTTAAATTTGGGGTTTTATAAATTGGGCCTATTATTTAATAATTTTAATTATTTTTAAATATTGTCTGTCCTTGTGTTTTTAATTAGGCTGTACACCGCCCTGAGTCCTTCAGGAGAAGGGCAGTATAGAAATAAAATTAATAAATAATAAAATAACTAAAATTCAATTCAATTCGATTCGATTCTACAATAGATATTAACAGGTTCAGTATTCTTCTTCAGTCTCTCTCCTAGTGACTATTCCCCTTTAACTTCCTTCAGAGAAACCACCATATATTTTTCTTCTCCAATGGAGAACCAACTGCTCCACACACTCATATCAAATGTATTCTCCACCTTTTCTCTCTTCTTACTCCCTTTTAAAACAACCTTTGTAGTTCTTATTATCTCTCCTCGTTTCTCTCACGACTTTGTCTCTTCTCTCTCTCTAGTTCCGGGCCAGACCAACAGCATCTCTCCAGGGGTGGGATTCTACCGGTTCGGACCAGTTCAGGTGAACCGGCAGCTCTGACAATCAGCTGGGAGTGAACCAGTCCGCTCCAACAATCAGCTGGGCCCACCTGTCCACCGCTAAGCTTTACTTACCTATATCTTCACAGTTGATTAGTGCAGCAGAGCGGTTTGGCACACCTCAATTCCCTAGCACTAACACGGGTGATTTTTTGTTCAATTGTGCACATGGGCGTAGCGCGCATCTGGTGTGGGCGCGCGCAAAGCGTACAATCACCAAACCAGTTGTTAAACTGGTAGGATCCCACCACTGCATCTCCCCCATGCATCTGAGCAGATAGGTATTCTAGAAAACACAAATAAGACATAGCTTAGTTGTCATATTTCAACAGGCCAGACAAGTCACATATACTTAAAACCAATTTTTCTGGGGTACAAATTTCCCCTTCCTAATTTTTAACTACTAAATTTCAGAGGCATTGTTCTTATTATATATATATTTCCTCCAGAAAATAAGCAAAATCGAAAGGTATTCAGCCTGTACAAGGCATCACGGGTATATTGTATTTAGTATTTTGTAGACATTCAGGTGATGTCACCATGTTTTCATTACCAATTGGTCACCACAATTATGACTGACTGACAATGCAAATCATCGTCTCTCTGAGCTTGGTTTTTTTTCTTGCAGACGCTTCATTACCCAAACTAGGTAATATCATCAGTGCTAATCCACTAGTCCACATTACCCAATCTAATCTGGATAATGAAATGTCTGCAAGAAAGCAACAAAAGCTCAGGTAAGTTGTTTAGATATGTCACAGCTAGCATGCATTTGAATTCAAGTTTCAGCACTTTCCTTTCCACATTTCTCACTAGCCACCATAGCTGTGATCAAGTGACATCGGGGAACAGATGGATGGGGGAGTTGGACAGGAGTGAAATGCTCCCAGTTCACACCGGATCACCCAATCCGGTAGCAATGGCGGTGGGTGGTTTGGAGAACCAGTAGTAGAAATCCCTTGCACCCCTCTCCCATGCCCAGCTGAGCCGCGCGATCATCAGAGGCTTTTTTTTAACTTTTAAAAGCATTTTTCTACAAATGCTTTTAAAAGTAAAAAAAAAAAGGCTTCTGATGATCGCGCGGCTCAGCTGGGATCGTCAGAGCCTATTAAAAGCATTTTTTCTACACCCTCTAAGAGGTTGTACAAAAAATGCTTTTAAAAGTTTTTTTAAAAATTGGCCACACCCATCCAGTCACATTACCGCCCCCCCACCAAGCCACGCCCACAGAACCAGTAGTAACAAATTTTACATTTCACCACTGGAGTTGGATATATTATACTTGTGACAGAATATAGATTAAATGTTTCTTAAATTGAAGAGAGGTGGAATTCAACTCCCAGAATTCCCCAGACACAAATCTTAAAATTGCCAAGGTTATGAAACTCTAGTTTAGAGGAAGCTGAAGAAGCTTCAGAGTTGAGATTTCACGATACGCTTTTGTGTTAAGGGAAAGCATGAGGTTTGAACTTATTGGTCAGGGATTTAAGATTTTTCTATAGCTTCTGGGTTGCCAGGATTTAAATGTCTCTTAGCAACAGCTATTTCAGCTGCAATATTTGAAGTTCTTTTGTCTGTAATATCTGGCCAGGAACAATAGGGGCTTTATGACCATTCACTTAGTCTATCATTTTTTGTTCCCTTTTCCTCCACGTCAATCATCTGCTCACAAACATTCTCTGGAGCAGCACTTTCTAGAAAAAGAAATCAATAATTTTTCATTGGTTTTTGAGATTTGATGTACACATTTGATGTACATTTTGGCAAGAGATCATAGAATAGTCCTTTCTATTTGTAACCAACACGAGGATGATCTGATGTTTGAATGCTTTCTATTGATCTGGGGATCTCAGCCAGGCTAAGAATTTTAAAAAAATTAAATAAGAATGTATTATTATTATTATTATTTTATTATTTATTGAATTTCTATACCGCCCTACTCCCGAAGGACTCAGGGCGGTGCACAGCCATGAAATAAAACACATAAATATACAAAATTTAAAATCGAATAAAATGAATTAAATAAATTTGGCTGAATTAATAATCAGGTAGCATGTAAATTAATTAATTTACATGCTACCTGATTCTCAACAACTCCTGATAGCTCACAACAATCAAACAAAGAAATGAAACTTTTTAAAAAATTAAAGAAAAAATATGGTAAGAGCAAATATGTCAGGGATCTATTTCTTTGTTTTTTCTATATTCATGACAACTTTAACAGAGATGTAGAGAGTAAAAAAGATGGTTTTGAGGGAAGACACACAAACTCCATTATCAAAGAGATGAGGGGGAAAATATCTAAAGTCCACAATAGATAGATAATATTCAGCAGAGACCTAGATAAATACCTGAGTCGCAGGATATAAGAAAGGAGAGTGATCAATTAGACTTGTAAAATACTGTTATTATAGTCAATTTCAATAGAAAATAGTTTTAGCCTTTCTCTTTATTGATTTCCTGATCTGGTCTACCAGCTTACAGCACTGAAATATCTCTTATATAGAAAGGTTGCTCTATCAGAGAAAAGTGAGATAGGTTTCCAAATTAAAAGAATCCAAATAATTAGAATAGTTGTACTGTTTGAAAAGTTTAAGCTCTCATCAAAGTGTCCAGAATTTATAAGAAAAGTAAGTAATTTGTAGAATTTAATTTAATGGATTACAGGATGCTGCAACCAGTTGTAATTGCAACTATGTGACTGCAGGAGTGATGCTATATGGTCATAAGTGCAAGGAAAAGCCATAAATCATTTTTTCTGCAGCTGTCCTAACTTGAGGATATTTGTATCTGTAATGATTTTGGAGAAGGCAGCTAAATTAAAAAAACAACAACCAGTTATTCCCAAAACATGACCTATTACTCACTTCATATTAATTCAAGAAATAGACTCTAGCTAGGGAAACAGCTGATGAGGCTCCAAATTCAACAACCAAATACCAGTTCAGGTGGCAAAATGGCATTTTCACTTTTTTAAAAAGCAGGAGTGTTCACAAGACGTTCAGAGTCAAGAGAAGAGATGTGGTGATTTAATGGCCAAGTGCCTGGAGGTTATAAGGTCTGGATGGGGAAGAATCAGCTTGAATTCTGTTGGAATGTATTTCTATGCAACAACTACAGTAGTATTGAGCCAGCAGATGGCAGTGTTTAGAAGCTTGGCTCTATGGTGTATATACTCTATGATTTTTTGTTCTAAGGAGAGTTTCCTGATTCCTGTTACAATTAAACAGTTGAACAGTAAAGCACATGGTGACTGTACTTTTTGTTTGCTATATATAAACAGAATTTCTAACGGATTCAATCCTGGCAAGATGGAGTGGCTTGGGATTTTGCCCCCTCCCCAGGCCCAGATGATTCCTTTTTTTTGGACTCTGGGTGGAGAAGGACTTCCCCAGACTGAGTTGGTGCTCAGTTTGGGGATCTTCTGGAGTCAGGTCTGTTCAAGAAGTAGGTGGCAGCACTGGCTAGAGGGAGTCTTTGCATAGATTCACTTGGTGTGTCAATTGTGCCCCTTTCCTGGACTGGGAGGCCTTGCTCACTGTCACTCGTGCCTTGGACAACTGTGGGAATAACTGCAATTTGCATGGGGCTGCCTTTGAAGACCACCTGGTACTTTTAATTGATCCATAATGCAGCAATGTGCCAGTAAAAAGTGGGTGCATAGGATTGGATCTGCTGTTTCAGTGTGTGGGAAGCCCCCTCCTAGAGAATGAAGTATTTTGGGTAATATTAAGAGGTAGAATATTATATTTCCCCAAAGGAGAAATGGAGAAACATGTTCTTAGAGGCAGAAAGCAGCCCCCAGTCTTCTTAATAGCCTATTTTGTGCCCATTAAGAAATCCTGGGCCAGACTAGTCACAAACAAAAGACCTTCACCTCCAGCGATGGGATTAAAATTTACATTCTCCTCCACCCAAATTCTAAGAAGGGGACATGACCTTTTAGGACACAACAGGATTAACCCACCACCATTAGAATAGGTAAAGACACAGCGCTCACTACATTGCACTACAAGTGCCCCTAGGGGCACTTCAGACATTGCACAACGCCCAGCAGCATCACAGAAACCTAGAAAGATCCATCCACCCATTCAACCAATTGGTCAGCTGCCCCAGAACCACATGTCGTTGGTGATTCTGCTTCCTCAATAAACTTCCTTTCCAATCAGCCTCCATTTTATTTCCAACGACTTTCTCCCAGCTTGGAACTGAACCAGATGGATTTTACTTCCTACAAGAAGAAGTGCGAACCCTTTGAGACCAGACCAAACAAGAACTTTGATATAGAAACAAAAACTCAATTTTACTCGGAGCCTATTTCTTTCCCTTTAGTTAGACTTTAAACATCTTCAGACATTGGGACACGACCAGAGGTGGGTTTCAGAAGGTTCTGACCAGTTCTGGAGAACCAGTAGCAGAAATTTTGAGTAGTTCGGAGAACCAGTAGTAAAAATTGCTGACTGGCCCCACCCCCATCTATTCTGTGCCTCCCGATCCCCAGCTGATCAGGAGGAAATGGGGATTTTGCACAGGGGTGGGTTCTACTTACCTTTACTACCAGTTCTCAACGGGATCATGCAAATCACTGATGACAACATCCGGGGTGGTGGGCGGGGCCTCCTGCCAGTTTTACTACCGGTTCTTGAGCACCGGTCCGAACCGGGGGCAACCCACTACTGATTTTGCAGTAACCTTCCCCTGGAGTGGGGTGGGAATGGAGATTTTATGGTACTTTCCCCTGCCATGCCCACCAAGCCACATCTACCAAGCCACGCCCACAGAACCGGTAGTAGAAAATTTTGAATCCCACCACTGGATCCCATAGTCAGCGTGGCCCAGAATGTTGATGTATAATTAAGAATTGCTACTGAGGAAGGCGTACAAACCACTAAAGCTCAGTCCAGATAACACCTCTGTTGTGTGAACTACACTAGCTTCCTGTTTCTCTGCAGGTACAATTCAAGGTGGAAATCATAACCTTTAAAGGCACAGGGCTAGATTAGCTGCAGGACATCCTTTCCCTAAGAATATTGATTCATCCTACAAGGTCAAATAGGATGGACACACTCCTAGTCCCTTATCCTAACACTTTGCCCCTTGAAGTTTAGTAGATCTTCACCATTTTCACCTTCTTTAAGGCTTTAAAGACCTGACTTTTCCCTCAGGTGTTGGGCGAAATATTAGAGAATGGCACGTTATCATGCGTTGTTGCCAGGTTTTTGTTCTTTTTCATGTTTTATGTCTTAACTGGTTGAGCTCTATTGTTCTTCAAAGTAATTCTAAATGACTTTTAATTTTTGACTGGGAGCCACCCAGAGCTAGTTGTAAGATGGGCAGCTATATAAATGTTTTAAGTAATTAAAAAAAAAAAAAAAAAACAGCCGCTACAACTACACAATGAAAAGCACTGCCCTTTTTTTAATGTGCATTTTTATCATGTTTTTTTTTTCCCATGCAGGCAAATGTGGACATGGCGGGAAAAATGTTGCCACCAAAGACCCGTCCTCTCCTGGGAGCAGCCATAAAGAGGCAACTGACCCCCTGCTCTCCTCTCATTCCTATTTGCACAAGGAAGCTGCAGAAATGGCCACTGAAGCCACAAAGAAATTTTTTGTACGAGATGGTAAGGCAGAATCCCTGTGTCAGGGTTCCAAGTAAGAAACACACACACACACACACACACACACACACACACACACACACACACACGAAAGAGGACTCCAAGACCAGCGGTTCCTCAAAATTCCATTTTATTAGAAATATCATATTGGCACATCTGGGAAAACCCGAATCTGAAAGCTTCCAGGTTTTCCCCACCCAAAAGAAAGTCCAAGACCCTTCCCCTGCATCCACATGTCCATCACATGGTCCAATCCAGGGCTGCTATTCAGCAGGTTCTGACAGGTTCTGGAGAACCCGTAGCGGAAATTTTGATTAGTTTGGAGAACTGGCAAATACCACCTCTGGCTAGGCCCAGAGTAGGGTGGGGATGGAGATTTTGCAATATCCTTCTCCTGGAGTGGGGTGGGAATGGAGATTTTGGCAGTATCCTTCCCCTGGAGTGAGATGGGAATGGAGATTTTGCAGTATCCTTCCTCTAGAGTGGGGTGGGAATGGAGATTTTGCAGTATCCGTCCCCTGCGACGCCCACCAAGCCACACCCACAGAACCGGTAGCAAAAAAAATTGAATTCTACCACTGGTTCAACCAATGCACTGTCCCAACTGGAGGTGCCTCTCAGTCACACCACTCCAGGTGCAGGCCGAATGTCCTTGACTCTCTGAGAAAGGAATGTTATTATCGCTAGATACCCCTGTGACTCCATGCAATCCCCCCTCCCAGTTTCCCACAGTACTAAATGTGGCAGCCCTGAAGAAAAAGATGGCCTCCAGGGCTGACACCCTGGTGAACTGATGAAACATCCTGAAGAAAGGCCTTGCTACCAATGGCATCTCTAATTATTGAAGAAAACTACCAGGGGTGGGTTCCACTTACCTTCGCTACCAGTTCGCAACGGGAGCGTGTGCGCGCGTGATCGCAGATGCGCAGAAGCTTCCGGGCGGGTGAGCAGAGCCTTCTGCCACCATTACTACCGGTTCGCAGGATCCGGACCGAACCAGTAGCAACCCACCACTGAAAACTACAGCAAATAGATGGAGAATGCATTTGAGGATGGATCAAATGGATCTTTTAAAATAAAGAGATTTTAGAAAAAATGGAAAGGGAATTAAAAGAAATATGGACGATAAATGAAGAGGGAGGTAGTAATATAGGTATAATATGAGATGCAATCAGGAGTGAAATCCAGCAAGTTCTGTCAGGAAATTTTGAGTAGTTCGGAGAACCGGCAAATACCACCTCTGGCTGGCCCCAGAGTGGGGTGGGAATGGAGATTTTGCAATATCCTTCTCCCAGGAGTGGGGAAGGAATGGGGATTTTGCAGTATCCTTTCCCTGCCACGCCCTCCAAGCCACAGCACGCCTACCAAGCCACACCCACAGAACCTGTAGTAAAAAAAATTGGATTTCATCACTGGATGCAATGAAAGCAGTGGTGAGAGGTTTGGGGATAAAATATTCTTATAATATAAAAAAACAAAAAGAGAAACATATAAAACGGTTGGAGGAGGAAATCAGGGAATTAGAGAGTAAATATATAGAAAGTAGAGAGAATAGGATTATGCTAGAACTACCAGCTAAAAGAAAAGAGTTGCAAAATATTGAGGCAGAACAGGTTCAAAGAAATCTAATATACCTAAATAGGGAATTTTATGAAAATAGTAATAAAAATTATAGAATGCACTTTTCTAAAACAATTTTCGTTTCTTTGGTAAATTCCGGAGGAGCCACTTAAAAAAAGAAATGTGTATTTCATTTTTTTGCAGAAGCTGTTAAGAGGAATGCTAGAGCTGCTCGGAGAGCTTATGATAATGTCTATGAAGAATTAGCATCCTTTTCTGGTGGCTACTACCTGAACACGAAGAAAAGCCAACTTTCTAAGGCCCTTGGAGTACTGGAGCTGTCCATGAATGCCGCTCCTGTTAAAATAGCCCATAATCGTGTGGATGGATCTCAGTTCTCCTTCCCCGTGGATGAAACTCTCACCGAAATATCAGTCTCAGTCAAGACTTTAAGGCATGAGAGATTCAACTTTAATATCTGGCAACCTTCAGGTAATTGAACTGAGTAAAAATGGATGGAAACTGATCAAGGAGAGATTCAACCTAGAAATAAAAATAAATAGACAGTGAGAGCAATCAACCAATGGAACAGCTTGCCTTCAGAAGTTGTGGGAGCTTCATCACTGGAAGCTTTCAAGAAGAGAACGGACTGCCATCTGTCAGAAATGGTGTATGACAGAGGTGTCAAACTCAAGGTCAGGGGCCCGGATTCAGCCTGCAGGATGCTTAGATCTGGCCCACAGGACCAACCTGGAAACATCGAAGGACCAGCCCATAGTACCTCCGCAAGTGAAAGCGGAGTTCGGGAGGGCTACCCACAGCCCTCCCGAGCTCCATTTTCACTGGCGGAGGGTTGTAGGAAGCCGTCACATCCAAAAAAGAGCCTTGGTGGCGCAGCAGACTAAAGTGCTGTTAAGTAGCACCAGTTGCCTGCAATTACTGCAAGTTCAAATCTCACCAGGCTCAAGGTTGACTCAGCCTTCCATCCTTTCGAGGCAGGTAAAATGAGGATCCGGATTGTGGAGGCAAGCTGACTTTGTATAAAAAAGAACACCGCTTAGGGGGCCCAAAAGCCCTACTAAGCAGGTATATACAAAAGTATGAAAGCTATTGCTTAACGCATTGTAAGCCGCCCTGAGTCTCCGGAGAAGGGCGGCATATAAATCGAACCAATAAATAAATAAATGGAGCTCGGGAGCCCGTTTTCACTGGCAGAGCACTCAGCCCACCACAGGCGCTCCCAACACGAGTGATGTCAAGCTGGCCAAGGCCAACCTGGCCCCCCCCGAGGTCAAACACAACCCTGATGCGACCCTCAATGAAATTGAGTTTGACACCCCTGGTGTAGGGTCTCCTGTTTGGGCGGTGGGTTGGACTAGATGACCTACAAGGTCCCTTCCAATTCTGTTAATTGGTTATTGAGTATACAGAAGGTCAAAAAAAAGGCTGCTACTCTGAGCAAGCAAACACTTTCCCTTGTCTGACATGGGATACATGTTAAAAAAAAGGGTGGGGGCTTCAATTGCACGATCGTGGATGTCTGGAATTGGAGGAAGCCATATTGTCAGCCATTTTAGTCTCTGCAGGCAGTCTTTGACTTAAAAGAGTTCATTTAGTGACCATTTAAAGTTACAACATCACTGAAAAAACTGACTTTATGACCGTTTTTCACCTGTAGGGTTGAATAATCGATGGTCACATAATCATTTTAATGATTAATTAAATTAATTAATTAAAATTTAATCACTGATTAATGAATAATCAATGGTCACATAATCAAAATTCAGACGCTTGGCAACTGACTCGTATTTATGACGGTTGCAGTGTCCAGGGGTCACGCGATCCCCTTTTTGCGACCTCTTGAAATGGGGAAACCAGTTTCACTTAACAACCGTGTGACAAATTGACCAACTGCAGGGATTCGCTTAACAACGGCGGCTCACTCAATAGATGTCTCATTTAGCAACAGAAAATGTGGGCTCAATTGTGGTCGTAAGTCGAGGACCACCTGTAATGCAATTCATTCCTTTTTGTGATGTTCCACGCTAGGTGACCCATTCAGAAAACCTCATATGATGATTGACACAAGGAATCAAAAGGTCGTGAAGGTATCTCCTCTCCCTCAGGCAGGCCGGTGGACTGTATCTATGACTCCAAGGGGCTCTTATGAGGTGGAGATTAGAGGCAAGAGTTTGCTTGACTTTACTTACCGGATAATGCAGAAGCAGAACGACTACATGCTTCCAATTCAAGGACAGCCTATGAAAGGTAAGTCTTCTAGACTTACTGGTCCCTTTCGGACCTCAGGGACCAGTAAATTCATAATTTTAAATCCTGCGGACCACTAATATGATCTGCCTAATGACCAGCTGGGTGGGCGTGGCTAGGTGGTCATGTGACTGGGTGGGTGTGGTCAACTCAACATCACTCACATGGAGGGGCGCTTCGCCAGCCTCTACTCGCCCCTCCCCTCCCAGCCACTCCTCTCCTGCCCGCCCGGGCTCCTTAGGGCACCAACAGGAAGCAGTTGTTGGAGCTAAGCAGCCACCATGAGAAAGAGTTGGGAAAACAGCTGGCTCAGTTCAAATTGGATCTGACTGAGAAGGAGGCTCAGAAGAAGCACCTCACTCAGGACTACGAGCATAGGCTTTCCAAGCAGAGGGAAGATCTACAGGAGCGCAAGGCCAGGTATCGGCACCTGGAGGCTCAGCGGGCTGAGATGATCAGCCAGTTCCAGGCCATGAGGCAGTCCCACTGGAACAAGGCCTTCCGGCTCTTCGCCACCAGCGGCACTTCCCTCCAGCCTTCGCCCAAAGCCCCATACCAGGAGGCTGAAGCAGACCCCAAGTTGGAATTTCTGCCCCTCCACCCCGCAGAAAAAGACCCCGAAGGGGGAGACTCTCTGCAGGAACACAAACATTCATTGCACATATCTGTCCCAGGGGCCGTAGTTTGAGGAGCTCTGATTTAGTGCAATATTAAAAGTGCAAATAACTTTTCTGCGGACCACCAAAATTTTCTCGCGGACCATCAGTGGTCCATGGACCACCAGTTGGTGACCACTATTCTAGAGCGTCCTGTTGTAACTCTGAGCTTAAATCCTCCATTACCAACATCCATGCTAAAAAAAAAAAAGTCAGGCAAACATTTTAGGTGCTAAGCGAAATCCACTTCAGAAGAAAAAGTCTATAGAGATTCTCAGTCATCCAGGTCATGGTTGTCCTAAAGATGCTTTTTTTTTCAGGAGGCAACTGGACTTTTCTTTTGAAGATGTTTCACTTCTCATCCAAGAAGCTTCTTCAGCTCTGACTGGATGGTGGGGGATGGAAGGATGAGAAGCGAAACGTCTGGATGACCTGGATGACTGAGGATCTCTATAATATAGACCTTTAGCTGTACAATTTGGGATGAACACCCTTCGAATAGCAATAACACTTAGACTTATATACCGCTTTACAATGCTTTTACAGCCCTCTCTAAGCGGTTTACAGAGTCAGCCTATTGCCCCCAACAATCTGGGTCCTCATTTTACCCACCTCGGAAGGATGGAAGGCCGAGTCAACCTTGAGCCTGGTGAGATTCGATCTGCCAAACTGCTGGCAGCTGGTGATCAGCAGAAGTAGCCTGCAGTACTGCACTCTAACCACTGCGCCACCACGGCTCATGGTGTGGGAGTAGGAATGGATTTCCAGAGGAAAAAAATTGCAGACTACAGGAACCATTTGCACTACTCAGATGACCCTGAGGACACAGATAAACCTCCAAGTGCTTCAATGACCCTCTAAAAGGATGAAGATGACCCGCTGCCTGCAAGGAATATAAATCCTTCCATTCCCCACCGTCCAGCCAGAGCTGAAGAAGCTTCTTGGATGAGAAACGAAACGTCTTCAAAGAAAAGAGAATGTCCAGATACCTCTTGAAAAAAAAAAGCACCTTTGGGACATTTCAGAAGAAGAGAGTATTGAGGAAGAGGCAGGATTCTCTGCTAACTTTGGTCCCAAAGGTAGTTTTTTCAAGAGACAACTGGATTTTCTTGTTTTTCTTTGAAGATGTTTCTCTTCTCATCCAAGAAGCTTCTTCAGCTCTGACTGGATGGTGGGGAATGGAAGGATTTATACTCCTTGCAGACAGCTGGTCGTTATTGGAAGGAATATAAATCTGCAAGGAGTATAAATCCTTCCATTCCCCACCATCCAGTCAAAGCTGAAGAAGCTTCTTGGATGAGAAGAGAAACATCTTCAAAGAAAAACAAGAAAATCCAGTTGTCTCTTGAAAAAAACCACCTTTGGGACAACTATGATGACTGAGAATCTCCATAGACCCTCTGTTAACTTTCTACATTTTTCTCAGGATCAAACTATACCATCTCCATAAAGATGCTGGGAGCAGCCAGAGGTACCCAGATGCAGCGTCTGGTCATTTCTGATGGACTAGGAGGTCCTATTCACTCCATCGTTTTAAACCAAACATCTGATGCCCTTGGCAATATCTTGGCCTTTGCTCCGATTCATCTGGATTCATTGGTATGAACCACAGTTATTTCTTCATCTTCTGATTTGACTCCATGTTGCATGACCGGTTAGAGCTTCCATGGTAAACCATGAGGAGAATGTTCTGTCTAAGATCTGGGTTATATTAATCCATATACAGGTAGTCCTCAATTTATGACCACAATTGAGCCCAAAATTTCTATTGCAAATGAGAGATTTGTTCAGTGAGTCTTGCCTTGTTTTACGACTTTTCTTGCCACCATTGTTAAATTAGTAACATGGTTGTTAAGTGAAGCAGACTTTGCTTGTCAGAACATTGCAAAAAGTGATCATGGGACCCCAGGACACTGCAGCCATCACGTGTGAGTGTGAGTCACTTGTCAAGCATCGGAATTTGGATTATGTGACCAAGGGCATGCTACAATGGTTGTAAGTATGAAAAACGGTCATTAAGTTACTTTTTTTCAGTGCCGTTGTAACTTCAGATGGTCACTAAATGAACTGTTGTAAATTGAGGACTACCTGTAGAGTGGCTGTAGCAGTGGTGAAATCCAGCAGGTTCTGACAGATTCTGGAGAACCGGTAGCGAAAATTTTGAGTAGTTTTGAGAACCAGCAAACACCACCTCTGGCCGGCCCCAGAGTGGGGTAGGAATGGGGATTTTGCAGTGTCCTTCCCCTGGAGTGGGGTGGGAATGGAGATTTTGCAGTATCCTTCCCCTGGAGTGCGGTGGGCATGGAGATTTTGCAATATCCTTCCCCTGCCACGCCCACCAAGCCACACCATGCCCATCAAGCCATGCCCACAGAACCAGCAGTAAAGAAATTTGGATTTCATCACTGGGCTGTAGTATTGTTGCTTATCGTTCTTATTCTTTATTTCCCCCTTTTATGATTATGATTATTATTATTATTCTCTGTTGCTTTGCATATACACTGAATGCTTCTGAATGTATCGGAGACACGTTCTTTGTGTGTCTAAGCACACTCGGCCAAATAAGGCATTCAATTCAGTTCAAATCAAATCTGCAAATCTTCTCAGTGGGAACCATTCTGGACAGCCACAGCTTGCTCCACAAATGCCAAACATAGCCACTGAACCGTAAAGGGAGCTCAGCGTTCACTGTCTAGTTTTATCAAGTCAAAGGAATCCTAGTTTTGAAGATCTAATTGCTCAGTCACTCAAACACTCTTCACAGCCATAGAGCAGGAAGGCCTTTTGGCCTGGACCTCAAGGCCATTCCAGAATAACAGAATGTAACAGAGTTGGAAGGGACCTTGGAGGTCTTCTAGTCCAACCCATTGCTCAGGCAGGAAGCCCTATACCAGGGGTGTCAAACTCGATTTCATTGAGGGCCGCATCCGGGTTGTGTTTGACCTCGGGGGGGAGGAGGGGGAGAGTGAGCATGGCCAGGGTGGCCATGGCCGGTTTGACGTCAGTAGTGTCGGGGTGCCTGTGGCGGCCCGAACACTCTGCCAGAGAAAATGGGCTCCTGAGCTCTGTTTTCAGCTGCGACGGCCTCCTGCAACCCTCTGCCAGCAAAAACGGAGCTCGGGAGGACCTGCGGGCGGCCCTCCCAAGCTCTGTTTTCTCTGGCAGAGGCACCGCGGGTCAGTCCTTTATTGTTTCCAGGGTGGCCCCGTGGGCCAGATCTAAGCACACACACACACACCGGGCCACATCCGGGCCCCGGGCCTTCAGTTTGACACACCTGCCCTATACCATTTCAGACAAATGGCTGCCCAATCTCTTCTTAAAAACTTCTAGTGTTGGAGCATTCACAACTTCTGGAGGCAAGTTGTTCCACCGATTCATTGTTCTAACTTCAGGAAATTTCTCTTTGATTCTAGGTTGCTTCTCTCTTTGATTAGTTTCCCTCCCTTGCTTCTTTGTCCTTCCTTCAGGTGCTTTGGAGAATAGGTTGCCCCTGAGATATCAGAAGACTGCTACCATGCCAAACCCAGTCTTTCTGTTCATTAAACTATACGTCAGGGGTGGGTTCTAAAATTTTTTACTATCGGTTCTGTGGGCGTGGCTTATTTTGTGGGCATGGCTTGATGGTCATGTGACAATTGTTTAGGATTTAGCAGAGGTACTGGTCTACCAGGCTTTTAACTGCTTGCAGAGCTGTACCGATCTACCCATTTATTTTTTGCAGGCACTGATCTACTCATGTATTTTTGCAGGCACTGGTCTACCCATTTATTTTTGCAGGCACTGATCTATTCATGTATTTTTTCAGGCACTGGTCTACTCATGTATTTTTGCAGGCACTGGTCTACCCATTTATTTTTTGCAGGCACTGATCTACTCATGTATTTTAGCAGGCACTGATCTACTCATGAATTTTTGCAGGCACTGGTCTACCCATTTATTTTTGCAGGCACTGATCTACTCATGTATTTTTGCAGGCACTGATCTACTCATTTGTTTTCTTTTAACACTGATCAGCTGTAGGGCAGCCCTTTGAAGCTCCCCCCCCCAAGCAAGAGTTTAAACAGTTTTTTTCCCTCTAGCCATCAGCTGGAACTCAGGAGGCAGCAATAGATTGGGGGTGGGGCCAAATAAAAGGTAAGAATAATGCGGGGGGCGGGGGGGCAGAACCGGTTCGGTGACGTCATATCGTCACTGCTACCGGCTTGGGAGAACCGGACCGAACCAGGAGGAACCCACCACTGCTATACATACCCAATTCCTGCAACTATTCATCGTATGTTTTAGCCTCCAGTGCCCTAATCATCTTTATTGCTCTTCTTTCAGTAGAATAGAATAGAATAACAGAGTTGGAAGGGACCTTAGAGGTCTTCTAATCCAACCCCCTGCTTAGGCAGGAAACCCTATATAGGGGGTTGGACTTCTCTGCACTCTTTCTAGACTCTCAACGTTCAAAGGAAGGGGGCACCAATATTTATTTATATCCTAATTTCTACTGGCCTTTACCAGCTTTCTATTGAAAGTACAATAAAGCTAAATTGTTAGATATTGACAGGATAGTTCTCCCTCTGGTCCGCTGTTTGGGCAGGAAGAATGCTTGAATATGATTGGCTGGTTTCCCTGACAGCTCCCTATAAAAGGGCTGGCTGTTAGAGTGGCTGGCTGCTGGATTGTAAATAGTGGTTGAATAAAGAGCTGTTGTCTGAAGCCTGTCTTCAGTTTCTTCAATCCACCTATCTAACATAAATAATAAACAATTGTAAATAATTAACAATAAAGCTAAACCAGCAAAACTCTAGAAAGAGTGCAGAGAAGAGCAACAAAGATGATTAGGGGACTGGAGGCTAAAACATATGAAGAACAGTTGCAGGAACTGGGCATGGCTAGTTTAATGAAGAGAAGGACCAGGGGAGACATGATAGCAGTCTTCCAATATCTCAGGGGCTGCCACAAAGAAGAGGGAGTCAAGCTATTCTCCAAAGCACCTGAGGGCAGGACAAGAAGCAATGGGTGGAAACTAATCAAGGAGAGAAGCGACTTAGAACTAAGGAGAAATTTCCTGACAGTAGAACAATTAATCAGTGGAACAACTTGCCTCCAGAAGTTGCGAAAAGTTGTTTGTCGTGAAAAAGCTATACAGTTAGTTCTTGATTCGGTTTGTGCCCATTCAAAGTTACAACAAAACTGAAAACAGTGACTTATGACCGTTTTTCATACTTAACAACCGTTGCAGCATCCCCATGGTCACATGATCAAAATTCAGATGCTTCGTAACTGACTTGTACTTACGACGGTGGCGGTGTCCCTGGTCATGTGATTCCCGTTTTGCGACCTTCTGACAAGCAAAGTCAATGGGAGAGCCAGATTCACTTCACAATCGTGCTACTAACTTAACAGCTGCAGTGATACACTTAACAACTGTGGCAAGAATGGTTGAAAAGCGGGGACTCATTTAACAACTGTCTTGCTTCGCAACAGAAATTGTGCGCTCAGTAGCGGTCGTACGTTGAGGACTACCTGTCCCTGTACAAAGTTACAAAGTTTATAAATATCAAATCGGACCAAAAGGATCAAGAAGGACCAAATTACTTTTAAAATAAATAAGAGGCCATTCCTGATCATCATATTATCTTTTAGTACCCGTATCAGTCTTAACGATTACTATTTTAATGTTTTAATGTTATCTTGTTTTTACTGGGTTGTAAGCCATTTTGGCGAGATGGGTGGCATATAAATTTAATAATAAATGCCTTCTCTATTATGGGAATATAAGCTAGTATGGGGCAGTGGTGAAGGAGCTCAACTAGGAACTGGGGGACCCAGGTTGTTGTGGCCCGTCAGCGGCCTGTGCAGATTGTAGCCGATTCCGACGACGAGGAGACTGGTGTGGTGCTGCACCAGCAGCCAATGCAGCTGGCGCTCGAGTCGGACAGTGAGGAGGCTGGAGAAGATGTGGTGCCAGAGGCGGGGATTCAGCCAGGGCCTTCAGAACCTCCAGAAGCTCCTTTAAGTGAAGAGGAGGAGCTCCTTTAAGTGAAGAGGAGGAGCCTCTTCTCAATGCACGAGCGCGCAGAGCTGCCAAAAGGCAGGAGTGGCTCCTCAGGAGGAGGTCTCCTCGAGAATAAGGCTTGAGGCTAATTGGCCACTCCCTTAGCCTATTTAAGAAAGAACGCCGCTTGCAACAAGCTGTAGAGAACAACTTTAGTTCACTCTCTTTCGTGTCTGCAAAACTGCTGCTGGGATTTCTGCCAACTCTAGTAAGACTGTGATTACCTTATCTTAGAATTCTGGTAGGCTGTTAAGAGTTCATTAACAGCCTTTGAATGATAAAGACTAAGTTATTTTGAGTAAATAAGCTTTATATAGAGTTTGTGTGTGCTGCGTTCTTTGGGGTCCGTAGCTGAGGCAGAACACAGGGTATAGTCCCCCTACACAAAAATTCCCCTGGGCAAGGATGTTAAATATATTAAATAAATAATCAACCAAAGAAATGCAGTCATAATGTAAAACAGCAGCATTAAAAACAAAATTCAGATTGCTCCAATTAAAACTATTCATACAAAGGATTAAGATAAAATGAGGGGGGGGAAAGGAGAGCGGAAAAAAGCAAAGTCAAGGTTTCCTTCTATAGCCAGCTACGGTATTACGAACAGCAAAAATAACTATAGCTATAATTTCTTAAGCCTTTAAGGACTTCGTTTATCTTTATTTTAAAAAGAAGCTTCTCGGCATCTGAGTTCAGTTATCTTACCCGGAACAGCAGAAACGATTGGAATAATCTCTTCTCTGTTCAAGATGCAAGAGACAGACAATGTAAAATCCATTAATTCCCCCTTTTTTTTAACTTTCCAGTCTCCGATGCTAAAAGTAGAAGGCCTGTCTCCCGGCAACCTGCCCTTCTCACGTCTGAACATCAATCCTATCCATGTGGCGTCAATAAGGATTCTACCCTTGGCAGACCAAGAAAGTAAGTCCCTGGCAACAGTACGAAAATTTCCTTCGCCATTTTGATCCACCTAAGTCAGGGGAGTCAAACTCGATTTCATTGAAGGCCGCATCAGGGTTGTGTTTGATCTCCAGGGGGTGGGGCGTGGCCAGGGGGCATGGCCAGCTTGTCGTCACTCATGTTGGGCGAGCCTGTGGTCGCCCGAGCGCTCTGCCTGCGAAAACAGACTCCCGAGCTCCGTTTTTGGCTGCGACGGCCTCCTGCAACCCTCTGCCAGCGAAAACGCACGCAGCCCTCCCAAGCTCCATTTTCACTGGCAAAGGCACTCCGGGCCGGTCCTTCACTGTTTCCAGGGCAGCCCAGTGGACCAAATCTGGCCTGTGGGCCTTGAGTTTGACACCCCTGAGCTAAGTCGACTACTAGAGCTGTGAGCCAAAAGCAAATGTCCACCAGATGGCACAGAATATATATGCTATATGATAGGGACCCGGTGGCTCAGTGGCTAAGACACTGAGCTTGTCGATCGAAAGGTCGGCAGTTCAGCAGTTCGAATCCCTAGTGCTGCGTAACGGGGTGAGCTCCTGTTACTTGTCCCAGCTTCTGCCAACCTAGCAGTTTGAAAGCACATTAAAAATGCAAGTAGAAAAATAGGGACCCCCTTTGGTGGGAAGGTAACAGCGTTCCGTGCACCTTTGGCATTTAGTCATGCCGGCCACATGACCACGGAGACATCTTCGGACAGCACTGGCTTTTCGGCTTTGAAACGGAGATTTCAAAGAGTCGGGAACGACTAGCACTTATGTGCGAGGGGAACCTTTACCTTTACTCCCCCCCACCCCCCCCCCCCTCTCTCTCTCTCTCTCTCTCTCTCTCTCTCTCTCTCTCTCTATATATATATATATATATATATATATATATATATGACTTGCAAATCTGGCTTTATATATATTTGCTGCCACTTATTGATCATTTGAATTTTTGCAAGCCAGATCTAGTGAACCCAAAGGTGTTTTTTTCAAAAGGCAATTGGACTTCCTTGGTTTTATGTCTAACATTTCGCTTCTTCAGCTCTTCTTCACTTCAGAACTGAAGAAACGTCTTGGATGAGAAGCAAGATGTTAAGAACCCCCGCCCCCAAGAAAGTCCAGTTGACTTTTGGAAAAACCACCTTTGGGACAACTATGACCTGGCTGATGGAGAATCTCCATAGACAGATCTAGTGGAAGTACATCTACCTATGGAGTCCTTGGTTGTTTGTTTGCAGACATTTTGTTCCCCGATTAGATAACAGATGCTACCAACTAAGTAATTAGATCTTACCTAGTAAGGCAACAAAACATCTGCAAGCAAACAACCAGGCAGAGAAAGCCTCAAGGACTCCACAGTTCAACCCACAAAACTACATAGATGCTCTTCAATTGGTGCTACATCTACCTACCTTTACTTCAGAACCCACAGACGTAAGGTTCACTTCAGAACCTTAGAACCTTAGGTGCACTTCAGAACCTAAGAAGTAAATCTATGGAGATTCTCAGTCATCCAGGTCATGGTTGTCCCAAAGGTGCTTCTTCCAAAAGCCAAATGGACTTTCTTTGTTTTGTTTGAAGACATTTTGCTTCTCATCCAAGAAGCTTCTTCAGTTCTGACTGAATGGTGGAGAATGGGCGGATTTATATTCCTTGCAGTCATCTGGTCGTTAGCGCTCTCTCTGAGAGCCATTGAAGCTACTTGGAGGTTTATCAGTTCTGACTTCAGTCAGAGCCGAAGAAGCTTCTTGGATGAGAAGCGAAACATCTTCAAGCAAAACAAAGTCCAATCGCTTTTGGAAAAAGCACCTTTGGGGCAAGAATGTTGAAACCAGCCAAGGGTGTATAATGACATTTTTCAAACTTGGCAACTTCAAGACCAGTGGTGAAATTCAATTTTTTTTACTACCGGTTCTGTGGGCGTGGGTTGGTGGGCATGGCAGAGGAAGGATAGTGCAAAATCTCCATTCCCACCCCACTCCAGGGGGAAGGATATTGCAAAATCTCCATTCCCACCCCACTCTGGGGCCAGCCAGAGGTGGTATTTGCCGGTTCTCCAAACTTCTCAAAATTTCCGCTACCGGTTCTCCAGAACCTGTCAGAACCTGCTGGATTTCACCCCTGTTCAAGACATGTGGACTTCAACTCCCAAAATTCCCCATCCAGCTTCCCTGAAGGTTCCCATTAATTCTCATCCCAGAAAAAAAAAATGGGAGGAGTCTTTACAAAAAAAAACAAACAAACAGGAGCATTCTCCATTTTACTATTCAAAGCGGGCAAACCTGTTGATATAAATACAATGCCTGCAAACCCCAGGACCAGCACATCTGTTGGCTATTCAGGAACCAAATAGCTGGCTTTCCTTTTTCCGTTTCCTTTCTTAGCAGTTACTGAAACAGAATGAAAAGAGAAGTCGGCATGCTGTAAAACCTGCTCCCAGCCTCTAATATCTGCTTTGTTTCCAACGGTATTTCAGCGCCATGGAAACCTGCAAGTCAGCCTTAGAAAATAAAAATTATGGATGCCCAGTGAATGTGACTGTCTTCTCAGAAAAACGAAACCACGGTAGCCCTCAACTTATGACTGTCATTGAACCTGTCATAATCACCATGTGATTATGCCTCATTTTACAACCTTTTTTGTGGCGGTCTTTAAGCAAAGCTGGCAATCGTTGCCAGCTTTGAACAAACCCATTTTCTCCAATGGGCTTTTTTTTTTTTTTTTTTGCTGGAAACCAGAAATGCTGGAAACTGCCCAGTGGTGGGATTCAAATCATTTAACAACTGGTTCTCTGCCCTAATGACTGGCTGGGTGGGTGTGGCCCTGGTGGGGCGTGGCCAGGGGATGTGACAGGCAGCACTCGGCCTCCTGCACCCGCCTGGGAGCAAAAAGGAAGTCACGGGGGATGCCAGCCCCCTGTGCCCCATTTTGGGCCTAGTAGGCCTCCCTGTAGCCTCCTGGGAGCAAAAACAAGCCGCGGGGTGACTTCTGGAAGGGGCGGGAAGGGGAGGGGTGGGGCCAGCCAGCAATTTAACAAATAGTTCTGCCGAAGTGGTGCGAACCGGTTGAATCCCACCACTGAAACTGCCCCAAAACACTGTCAGGTGCCTGCAGGATCCTGCAAACGGCCATAAATGTGAGCCGGTTACCAAGTATCCATAATGCAATCATGTGACTGTCTGGGGGAAGTGGCCATCTTAACTTTTGAAATCAAGTCAAAAGTCCTTCGGTGGCGGTCCATTGTAACTTCAAACGGTCACTAAGCCACAGGTCGTAAAGTGAGGACTACAGGTATCCTCGGCTTACAACAGTTTATTTAGTGACCGTTCAAAGTTACAATGGCACTGAAAAAAGTGTCTTATGCCCATTTTTCACAGTTACGACGTTGACAGCATCCCATGATCATGTGATCAAAATTCAGACGCATGACAACTAGTTCATATCTATGATGATTGCTGTGTCCCAAGGTCACGTGATCCCCTTCTGCGACCTTCTGACAAGCACAGTCAATAGGGAAGCCAGATTCATTTAACAACCATGTTAGTATCAACTGTAGGAATTCACTTAACAACTGTGGCATGAAAAGTTCGTAAAATGGGGCAAAACTGACTTAACAAATGTCTCGCTTAAAAACAGAAATTTGGGACTCCATTGTGGTCATATGTCGAGGACTACCTGTAAGGGACAGGAGGATGGAGAGAATCCTGAAAGGATGAAGAAATTGGGAAAGCTTGCCTTCTAATAAATGAATTTGGCATTTGATAAATACCGGCCAATAAATGGTTATTTTGTGACTGATGATCCCTCAGCCCCATAGGAGTCATTTGGGTGTAAGGTTATTCCTCCCCTATGATAATCATTGTCTTTCAGCACCTATAACAGGTTAGCACTGACAATAGCAGGTAAACTTATATACCGCTTCACAGTGCTTTAGAACCCACTCTAAGGGGTTTACAAAGTCAAGCATATTGCCCCCAACAATTCGGGTCTTCATTTTACCAACCTCGGAAGGATGGAAGGCTGAGTCAATCGTGAGCCGGTCAGGATCGAACTCTTGGCAGTGGACAGAGTTAGCATACAATACTGCACTCTAACCACCATGCCACCACAGAAAGTTCAATGGAGTCATCTGCACCAAATGTTGAGAACCACCAATATATGACAACTCAAAGTTACTTTTAATTGCAAGTTATCCCCATTTTCAATGTGCCCTATTGCGGGGTGTCAAACTCAATTTCATTGAGGGCTGCATCAGGGTTGTGTTTGACCTCGAAGGGCTGAGGGAGGGGGCGTGGCCAGGGGTGTGACATCACTCAGCCTCCTGCATCACTCTGCCAGCCAAAATGGGGCACAGGGGTTAATTACAAAATGTGGGCCTGATCCAGCAAGCTAGGGGTGTGAACTGCACAGAAAATACAATTTTGTTTGGTTATGAAGAAATATCCCCAAAATCAGATGTAGACTAAATGTAGACTGACTTTTAGTTACACACCTTCCCAGCAAACAGCAAATTTTGAAGCGCCTCCCCCCCTGCCCCATTTTCACTAACAGAGGCACTGCGGGCTGGTCCTTTGCTAATTCCAGGCCGGTCAGGGGTGAAATCCAGCAGGTTCTAACAGGTTCTGGAGAACTGATAGCGCAAATTTTGAGTAGTTCAGAGAACCGGCAAATACCACCTCTGGCTGGCCCCAGAGTGGGGTGGGAATGGAGATTTTGCAATATTTATTTATTTATTTATTTATTTATTTATTTATTTATTTATTTATTTATTTAATATAATTTGTATGCCGCCCTATCTCCGTAGGACTCAGGGCAGCTCACAACAAATAAAAACAAACCCAATAAAACATAAAATACATAAATATGCATACATAAAATACATAAATGCATAAGTATATAATTTAAACATATATTAAAACCCATTAAAATAATCAAAAAACCCCTCAGTCCAGGCTGGGCGATGTGAACAGCCATGTTTTTAATTCGCGGCGGAAGGTGCGAAGGTCAGGATATCCTTCCCCTGCCACGCCCACCAAGCCACGCCCACAGAACCCCTGAGGCTGGCCCCGCGGGCCAGATCTACCGGTAAGCACCCCACAGGCTGTATCCAGCCCACTGGCCTTGAGTTTGACTCACCTGTCCTATTATATTTCCAAGGTACGTTGTTGCCTGGTGGGAACCTAGAGTTCTCTGTACAGGTGGTGAATGATGGATCAGCTGCAACGTTCACCTTTAATGTCCGAGATGACCTGGGCTTCATACAGAGCTTTAGACCTGTACAAGGTTTCCTGAGGACAGGAGAGAGCACCGTTCTCACGGCAACATTTGTGGCCCCTGCCAAGAGCTCCAACTTTGCCTCAAGGTAGGATAGCAATACCAACTTTTTAGAAATCGTGTGTCAGGTCTGCCATCTTCAGCTTCTTCACTTTGCTGGCATCCTGCCATAAATTGCAAGGGAGTGAGGGGAGGAATTTGGGGCAGTAATACGTGGCCTGGGAATGAGAAGGCAAACAGCGGAAGGGATGATGACACGTTGACGAGAACCAGAAGTGCCAAACTGGAATAAACCAGCTTCCAAGGACACCTAGCCTGGGAACCAAATGCAAAACTGCAGGGAGAGGCGCCAAGTTCTGAGTCGTTCCCAAAACATCCACAAGGCATCCTATTGGATACTGGTCAAGGGCGGGGGGGAGGTCCAGGGAAAGAGGGGGAAAGTGTAACCTTTACATGGGAATGTTCAGATCTAGATTTACAGTAGTGGCCAAAATTGTGGAAGCCTTTTGGAAAAAGTGTATTTTCTAAAACTAGCTAATAACACCACCTTTTTTTTGGAGTAGTGCCATAAAATTATATATCAATGGAAGGATAATTAAAATCAAGAATTTTATGAAGGATTTGCTATTAGAATAGCAGTTACAGTATAAAGAAGAAAAGTGAAACACATAGAAAAAATATGAGATATACAAAAATTTTCACCACAGAAAAAATGAGATATACAAAAATTATTACCATGTTAGTTAATACTTAGTTAGGTAACCTTTAGCATGAATTACAGCCTAACAACATCTTCCCATGGAGTGAACCAAGTTTTTTAGTTCTGCAGCTGTTATAATGTGAAACCAAAATTGAAGGATTGCTTCTATTAACTGGGTTTTATTGCTGGGTCGCTTCTGACTAACAAGTTTCTTTAGTCGGCTCCCTAGATTTTCAATTGGGTTAAGGTCTGGGCTATTCGCAGGCCATTCCAGCAGTGGATATGATTATCTTGAAACTCTAAAAAAAGTGGTGTTATTAGCCATCAAACCTTAAAAAAATACTTTTCCCAAAAGGTTTCCACAATTTTGGCCACTATTCTGCAACCACTTAACTTTAGTAAAAGAACCTATCACTTCAATCAAATGGAGTCAAGGGTCTTTCTTTCCTAAATGTCTAAGTTGCGGCAGGTTTGATAATGTGTTGCTAACTTAAGAACTGCATTTAACAGCTGTGGCAAGAAAGGTCCTAAAATGGGGCAAAATTCACTTAACAGTTCTCATTTAGCAACAGAAATGTTGGGCTCAATTGTGGTTAGTAGCTTTCCCCTCCTTCTACTGAATCCAATTTCTAAACCATAATGGCTGGGTTTGGACAGCACATTAAGCCAAAACCCAATTACATTATGGTTTAGTGCAGGGGTAAAATGCACTTACCTTCGCTACCGGATTGCAAATGTGAGTGTGTGCACATCTTCTGCGCATGCGCAGAGGGTCAGCACACGGGACGTGATGACGTCCGGGTGGGTGGGCGGAGCCTCCCACCACTGACTCTACCGGATTGCACGAACCGGATAGATTCGGCTGGATTTCACCATTAGTTTAGTGCAATATATAAACCCAGTTGTTAGAAAACCACTTCCTGCCTCAATCATTCATGCCCTCTTTAGGCAACCTTCCATTTATTCCAACATTTATCTATTATTTATCTATTATTATTTATCTAACACTATCTTATTTATTGACTTGGATTAAAAGGAAAGATTCCTTAGAGGGAATCTTGAAGCAGGTAGGATTGCAGTTCCAGTACTTAATCTTGGAGAGAGACAGTCTGAAAGCCATGTTTTGTAACTTTCTTGACTCCTTTCAATTATTATAAATTTGAAATTGGGTCGGAGCCAGCCCAGAATAGCAATGTAAGTGCTGGGTTGTCTAAAGCAGTGTTCCCCAACCATTCCGGCTTTGTGGACTGGTCGGGTGGGGGTAGAGGAAATGGACCCGTGCGAGCGGCAGGTACACACACAGCTCAATTTGCATGAGCAGTGGGCACTCGGACGCACGCGTGAAGTTCCATTTGTGCTGGAGTTTCATGTGTGTGCACAAGTACCCACTGCTCACACAAATGGAGCTGCATCCATGCACTTGCCCGCAGCTTGTGTGACCCAGTTCCAAATAAGGTCACAGCCCAGTACTGGGTCACGGCCTGGGGGTCGGGGACCCCTGGTCTAAAGGTTGGGGGGCTTTTCATATCACCCTTCTGTCAGAGTTTGTTGCAGCACACACAAGCAGACTATTAAGCAGGATTCAAAACGTCTTTATACACATAACAACCCATAAGGCATACAATACCCTTGTAGGTTTTGCCACGTTGTAGAGAAGAGAAATAGCAAGTACAAACACAGCATAAAATGGAAGCACAAAATGGAGGAGGCAAAATGGAGGAGAGGAGAAGCTAATGCCATCAAGCTTATATACAGAACAGTTAAGCCACGCCCAGGCTCCAAACTGTCTCTTATTCAACAAATACTATGTTTCAGTTACCAAACAGCCCTCATTGGCTGACCTGTTGCTATGCCCTATTCCAGTTCATGAATATACTCTGACACCTTCCAAATATATGCCTGCATTATTAACAATCACCATTAATCTTTCTTTCAGTCTTGCAACATTTACAGCGAAAACCAGTTCATCGCAAAACTACATGACTCTGCTCATCTCTGTCATTCCCAAAACAGCCTTGGTGAGTCTCCTTTACTCTCAGGGTTTACTCTCAAACTTCTGAAAATGTCTTTGTGTGTGTCCTATATTGCAGTTTTTCTCCTTAGCAACTTCAAGATACGCAGACTTCAATTCCCAGAATTCCTCAGCCAAGGAGAGCATCATAATCTATTTATTATTTATTTATTTTGTCAAGCATGTATAAGATAACAGATATAAGTATAAACATAATTATGAATACATGAAATCTATACGAATAAATGGGACATTAGGACAGGGACGGTAGGCACGCTGGTGCTCTTATGCACGCCCCTTGCAGACCTCTTAGGAATGGGGTGAGGACAACAGTAGACAAGTCTAAGGTTAAAGTTTTGGGGGTTTGGGGAAGAAACCACAGAGTCAGGTAGTGCATTCCAGGCATTGACCACTCTGTTACTGAAGTCATATTTTCTGCAATCTAGTTTGGATCTGCTTACCTTAAGTTTGTACCTATTATGTGCTCGTGTATTGTTATGGTTGAAGCTGCAGTACTTATTGACAGGTAGGACATTGTAGCATATATACTATATACTACGCTTAGGTCGGACCGAAGATGGTGAAGTTCTAAGTTGTCTAAGCCCAAAATTATAAGCCTGGTGGCATAAGGTATTCTGTTGCGAGCAGAGGAGTGGAGTACTCTTCTCGTGAAATACCTCTGGACTCTCTCAATTGTATTAATGTCCAATACACAGTGTGGGTTCCAGACAGATGAGCTGCATTCTTGGTTGTTTTCCCCCTAGGTTTTGCCCGCTCCAGTTTTGGTTCTCTGCCTTGTCACGATCCAGACCAATATTTTAGGACATGCGGGTGTCAAACTCACGGTGTCACGTTGCCGTTACTTGATGTATTGTGATGTTTTTCCACTTTGCGGAGCTGGGCTGGCCGTGGCTTGCGCCATGTGATGCATCCGACCTACGGGCCGTCAGTTTGACACCCCTGCCTTAGGAGAAACAACTGTTGCTCCTCCAAAAAACAAGAAAAATACAAGCACAGATTAAAATGGAGCCACTTTGTTTTAAATTAGCTAAATTTAAATCAGGTTCTGACAGGTTCTGGAGCACTGGTAGCGGAAATTTTGAGCCGTTTGGAGAACCGGCAAATACCACCTCTGGTTGGTCCCAGAGTGGAATGGGAATTGAGATTTTGCAATATCCTTCCCCTAGAGTGGGGAGGGAATGGGGATTTTGCAGTATCCTTCCCCCAGGAGTGGGGTGGGAATGGAGATTTTGCAATATCCTTCCCCTGGAGTGGGGAGGGAATGGGGATTTTGCAGTATCCTTCCCCCTGGAGTGGGGAGAGAATGGAGATTTTGCAATATCCTTCCCCTGGAGTGGGGTAGAAATGGAGATTTTGCAGTATCCTTCCCCTACCATGCCAACCAAGCCACATCACACCCACCAAGCCATGCCCACAGAAGCGGAAGTAAAAAAATCTGGATTTCACCACTGAGTCACAGTACATCTTTGAGGCTTTCGAAGGTCTCACAGCCTAGGATTCTGTATCAAGTGGAAGGCAGCAAAGAGGCTGGTAAAGTTTATAGATGATTAAAGTCACATGAATTTTGCTCGGCTGGTAGGGACAATATGGACATTTCCATTGAATTTTTCTTGGCAACCATGCAGAAGTTAACTAGCCTTTCTTCTTACCCTTTCCCAAGATGGGGTTTCAACTTCCAGCCTACCCACAGTCCTCAGATACCTGGTTGCCTTCACATCTATCTCTGTTTTGCTTATTGAGATCAGCTACATATGGGATTACTGTTCAATCAAGCACAAATACCATTTTAACCACTCTACAAAGCCTTAGTTAGACCATGCCTAGAGTACTGCAGTTTTGGTCACCACCAGGGGTAAAATGTACTTACCTCTCCTACTGGCTCACTTCACGCACAGGCCATCATCTGCGCATGTGCAGATGGTCAAAACCGGGACGTGATGATGTCCCTGTTTGGGGGGGGTGGAGCAGGGGTGGATTCTACTTACCTTTACTACCGATTTGCATTGCGCTCATGCATGCACGCACTTTTCTGCGCATGCGCAGATCACCTATGATGACGTCCGGGTCAGTGGGCAGAGCCTCCCGCTGGTTTTACTACCGGTGCTTGCGAACCGGTCCAAACTGGGGGCAACCCACCACTGGGGTGGAGCCTCCAGCCGCTGGCGCTACCAGCTCTCCGAACTACCCACCGCCGGCGCTACCGGCTTCCGTGAGCCGGATAGAGGCAGCAGCATTTCACCCCTGGTCACCACACTATAAAAAAGATGTTGAGAGTGCAGAGAAGAGCACCCAGGATGATTAGGGGCCTGAAGGCTCAAAGATGTTGAGACTTTGCTAGAAGTGCAAAGCAGAGCAACTATTAAATTGATTAAAGGCATGGAGACTAAAACATAATGATGAACGGTTACAGGAACTGGGCTTGGCTAGTCTAGTGAAGAGAAGAGAAGGACCAGGGGAGACATGATAGCAGTCTCCAATACTTGAGGGGCTGCCACAGAGAGGAAGGGATCAAGCTATTTTCCAAAGCACCTAAAGGCCAGACAAGGAATAATGGATGGAAACTGAACAAGGAGAGATTCAACCTGGAAATAAGGATAATTTTTTTGACAGTGAGAACAATCAACCAGTGGAACCGCTTGCCTCCATAAGTTGCGGGTGCTTCATCACTGGAAGCTTTCCAGAATAGATTGGACTGCCATTTGTCAAAAATGGTGTAGGGTCTGCTTAGGTAGTGGGTTGGACTAGATGACCTACAAGGTCCCTTCCAACTCTGTTAATCTGTATCTAAATCTCTAGTCACAAGGAGGATTAATAGATATGTGCTCTTCCTCCAGGAAACTGAAGAAAACCCACCAGTCTATCACCTTCTCCAATTCTATATGCCTTGTGGAGCTGACAGCCAGCAAAGACCCGACTGCTCTCAACACACCTGGAACATGACATTTTCTGCTGAGGGTGCTGAGGCTGCTGTTAATGTCCAGATCAGCCCAGATCCCAGCGCTTTATCTTGTCACTCAGAAAAGGAGGGTAGCAATAAGAAGCTTATCTGTGATTTCAAGTACGTACCTCTGTTTTCTGAACTGTTTTCTGTATTACAGAACGTAGAGTTGTCAACCTGCTGCTCTCAGATGTACCTGAGCAATTTTTATTTATTTATTTAGAACATTTATATAGCTGCCTACTCGCTCACAGCGACTCTAGGCGGCTTTGTTGTTGTTGTTGTTAGTTGCGAAGTTGTGTCTGACCCATCGCAACCCCATGGACAACATTCCTCCAGGCCTTCCTGTCCTCTACCATCCCCCAGAGTCCATTTAAGCTCACGTTGACTGCTTCAGTGACTCCATCCAGCCACTTTATTCTCTGTCGTCCCTTTCTTCTTTTGCCCTCAATCTTTCCCAGCATTAGGCTCTTCTCCAGGGAGTCCTTCCTTCTCATTAGGTGGCCAAAGTAGTTGAGTTTCATCTTCAGGATCTGGCCTTCTAAAGAGCAGTCAGGGCTGATCTCTTCTAGGACTGACTAGGCGGCTTACAAACAGTACAAAACACAAAATTGGGGGGGTGGGGGCAGAGATAAAAATAAAAAAAGATTAAAAAAGATAAAAAACAGTAACCCACCACCCACCCACCACCTGCCTCAGCACATGATTAAATAAGCCATTTTAGGGGCTCCCTCACACTTTGGCTTCCCCAGGCCTGCTGGCAAAACCACATCTTCAGGGCCTTCTGTAAGATTGTCAAAGTGGGGGCCAGTCTAATTTCTGGAGGGATGATGTTCCAGAGAGAGAGGGAGCCACCATAGAGAAGGCCCTTCTTCTGGGTCCCAAAAGATCTAACTCCTTAGGGGACGAGACCCGCAGTGTGGTGACACAGTGGTTAGAATGCAGTATCGCAAGCTACTTCTGCTGCCTGCCAGCTGCCTGCGATTTGGCAGTTCGAATCTCACCAGGCTCAAGGTTGACTCAGCTTTCCATCCTTCCAAGGTGGATAAAATGAAGACCCAGATTGTTGGGTCATTAAGGATGTGTTGGAGATAAGCTTGCAGAATTCCTAATGAGCTGGACCTTTGGAAATCCTGGAGCGATTGCTCTACATGGGGCTGCCCTTGAAAAGCATCTGGAAGCTCCAGTTGGTCCAAAATGCAGTGGCCTCCATGATTTTGTACAGACCTCGGTGTGCATATCTGCCATCTCTACTGCAGGAGCTGCATTGGTTGCCGATTTGCTTCTAGGTGCAATTCAAAGTGCTGGTTGTCACTTTTAAAGCCCTTCATGGCTTGGGACCATGTTATCTGAGGGACCATCTCTTGCCGATCACATCCACCTGAGCCACTAGAATGGGGAGGCAAGAAATAACAATAGCACTTAGACTTATATACCGCTTCAGAGTGCTTTAACAGCCCTCTCTAAGTGCTTTACAGAATCAGCATATTGCCCCCAACAATCTGGGTCCTCATTTTACCCACCTCGGAAGTATGGAAGGCCGAGTCAATCTTGAGCCGGTGAGGATCAAACTGCCAAACGGCTGGCAGCCATCTCTCAGCAGAAGTAGCCTGCAGTAGTGCATTATAAACCACTGCAGCACCACATACACACATATGTATGTGTGTATAGGTATATAGGTATATATATGTGTGTGTATATGTGTATGTATATACACACACATACACATACACATACACACACACATACACACACACATATATATATGTATATATATATATATATATATGTGTATATATATATATATATATATATATATATATATATATATATATATATATATACCATTTCCCTGAAAATAAGACATGCCCTGATAATAAGTCCGATCGGGTTTTTGAGTGCATGCGCTAAAATAATCCCCCCCTGAAAATAAGTCCTCCCAAAAATATTTAAATGCATGTGCAACCGGTCCCCACCATTTCCTCTTGTTAGGGTTAGGGAGACAGAGCTGAAAAGCTGAAAAGCTGAAAATCAGGTAAGATGGCAAGATGAGCCCCGTCTTGCTCCACGTGTCCCAAAATAATAAGACCTTCCCAAAAATAATTCAGTTCTCCCTCATCTGTTAGTAAATCTTTATATCTAACAATATTGGATTGGCTGAATCCACTTTGGACTGAAGGGAGGAGTTTCTAATTCCTTTATCCTAACTGTATTGCCTGAGGGAATTCAGAGTCTGCTTTTCTTTCATCTTGCTATCACTCCAGTTCAATAAAAGGTTCCTTTTGAAATGCCAAGAGTTTCAAGAGTCTTTACTTTCTTGAACGAGGAGGAGAGGCCGGATCTTACAGTTGCTTACCTTCTAAAGCAGCCCCGGTCAGTAGAACAGCAGAGGTGCAGAAATCAGCTGTGCTGCGCAGATCAGCTGAGCTAGAAAGAAGGAAATATAGGACAGGATAGGGCAGGGGCAGATCAGTGGGGCCAGCTGATGGTCAGAACTACCGGTTCTCTAGAACTGGTCTGAACCGGCAGCAGCCCACCACTGATTACATGGGACTTCCCTTGAAGACTATCTGGAAGCTGCAATTGATCCAGATTCTGGTGACATGAGCAGTTATGGACACATCACGTTATGTTTGTGTTACACATTTTTTTTACTCATGTTTCACTGGCTTCCTTATGCTTCTTGGTGGAATTCAAGGTGCTGGTTATCATCTACCACCTTCATGGTATGATGGGGCCAATATAGCTGAAGGACCATGTTTCTCCACTTGTTTCTATATGCTTCATCAGGTCTGACAGGAGGAACACATTCCGGTTCCCATCAATAAACATATCTAGGAGGACCCAGAAAATGTATCTTTTTGGGTTGCACACCTGATCTTTGGAATGTCATTGCCCTCCGACTCTACCAGCCTTTCAGAAAGCTCTTAAGGAGTGTTAATTTACCATCTCCTGCTTAGCCATCTTCTGTGTTTATCTCCTCTCTAGGTCCAGCTGCTGTTCTCCTTTAGCAGAAGTCCTGATCAGTGATGAGAATGGCAACGTGAACAATTTCACCGTAGATCACAACACACAGCCTCCCACACCAGCCTTGTGAGTTCTGACCTACTTGAATTTTTGAAGCTGCCTTGTTTGGAATCAAATAAGTCAGCGGCCTGCAACCTTTTGGGCACCAGGGACCAGTTCCGTGGTGAGAGTTTTTTTTTTCCATGGACCAGAGAAGGCATGGTTTTGCATGCTGCCTGCATCCCGTGGATTGGGCTTCTCTTGTTTGCACAGACTGGTTTCTGGCATGCTGCAGACTGATGCCAGTCCATGGACCAGGGGTTGGGGGCAGTGGTGAAATCCAAATTTTTTTATTGCCGGTACTGTGGGTGTGGTTTGGTGGGCGTGGCTTGGTGCGTGTGGCAGGGGAAGGATACTGCAAAATCCCCAATCCCACCCCACTCTGGGGCCAGCCAGAGGTGGTATTTGAGGGTTCTCCAAACTACTCAAAATTTCCGCTACTGATTCTCCAGAACCTGTCAGAACCTGCTGGATTTCACCCCTGGGTTGGGGACCCCTGAATTTTTTTTTTTTTAATTTGATTTATATGCCGCCCTTCTCCGGAGACTCAGGGCGGCTTACAATGCGCTAAGCAATAGCCTTGATTCTTTTGTATATTTATACAAAGTCAGCTTATTGCCCCCACAACTGGGTCCTCAATTTACCTACCTTAGAAAGGATGGAAGGCTGAGTCAACCTTGAGCCTTGGCGAGATTTGAACCTGCAGTAATTGCAGGCAGCTGGTCTTAATAACTAGCTTAATAACAGGGTGCCTTAGACCACTGTACTACCAAGGCTCTTAAGTGGTGTTCTTTAAAGTAGCCTTCACCTGGCACCCTCCAAAGTGCAGGTACCGTATTTTTCGGAGTATAAAACACACTTTTTTCCCTCCTAAAAGAGACTGAAAATTTGGGTGCATCTTATACTCCAAATGTAACCCCACCCACCCACCAGCCCCCACCCTTCGGCCTCCGTGCATCCACTTCCTGGCTGCAGAGATTGCCACCGACAATGGCTTGTGTTTTTGGGCTCCACGCATCGCGTTTTCAGCCTCCAAATGCTCCGTTTGAGAGCCCTTCAACGCAACACGTTTGGAGGCTGAAAACGCGACGTGAGGTGTCCAGAACAGCTGCTGCCTTCTCTTACCCTTTCCGCGCTTCACCTGCTTTAGTCACTGGAGCTCCCTCAGACGATCAGCTGACTTGCCACCTTGTCACATGATCCAGATCTTTGTTTAACGAATTGTGATCTGTTCCTCCATGACTGCTGCTCTCCAGCTTCAATTGGAGTCTGGTGTTGGAAAAAAAATCTGGTCTGGTTCCAAGCCGGGGAGAAAGGCATTGGAAATAAAATGAAGGCTGATTGGAAAGAAGGACTCTGTTTACTGATGAGCAGAACCAACACACAGCATGTAGTTCTGGGACAGCTGACAATTTAGTTGAAGGAGTGGATGGATCTTTATAGGTTTCAGTGACTTTGAAGTTTGAACTGTTCTTGGGATTGTGCAATGAAGGAGCTTTTGTATCTTTTGCTATTCCTATTAGTGGGTGGGTTGCTTGTTCCTTGCTAGTGGGTTAATCCTATTATGTCCTAAAAGGTCATGTCCTGTCCTTCTTAATCCCATCACCTGGAGCTGAAGGTGTTCTGTTTGTGAATAGATGTTCTGTTTGTGCCCAGTCTTTCTTAATGGGCACAAAATATGCATCTCTAAAGACTTCAGGCATCTGCTGGAGGCTATTAAGAAAGACTGGGGGCTGTTTTCTGCCTCTAAGAACATATTTCTCCATTTCTCCTTTGGGGAAATATAATATTCTGCCTCTTAATATTCCCCAAAATATTTCATTCTCTAGGAGGGGAGGGCTTACCACACTGGCATAATTGCTCACAGCGGTATTCACACTGGGTTTATTAGTTCAGATGATCACAGTCTGCTTGATATTCATTTTCTTATTCTCTTTTGATACATTTGCATCTGCAGTACATTACTGAGTGCTTAATATATTAACTAGCATATGGTCAATACTGGGGATATTTATAACTTGGTATTTCAACCATCTGTACTGAAATGTGATCTCTGTTACATTAACTGCATGGTTTCAGATTAGGGTGAGAAATTAAGATTTGAGTAAAAGCTCTGCACCTGGCCTATATACAGTGTCAAGTTTCTTCGGCATTTTGAAACGCTTTTTATCTCCTTCATGCTGCGTTTTCCTATCAACCTCAGAGAAAAGGACACCAAACTTTGATTAAAGGATATTTCAGGCATGGCGGTTTAGCTCTCAGGAATTTGGGAACTATATCTTATTTTGCCCAGTCTATGGATGATTTTATATTTTAATGCTATAAACCGCCCAAAGTCAGGAGGGAGGGAGGGAGGGGGGATGAGGGGTCCTTGGTGCTCTCTGAGCTTGGTTGTTTTCTTACAGATGTAAGAAATACTACCCAAACTAGGCAGGGGTGGGTTCTAATTTTTTTTACTACTGGTTCTGTGGGCGTGGCTTATTTTGTGGGTGTGTCTTGGAGGTCATGTGACTAGGTGGGCGTGGCTAGCTGGTCAGAGTCGTTTCTGGAAGGTCCTCGCACTTATGACCAGTCCTCACACTTACGACCCGACTCATTTGTTTGCTTTTAACACTGATCAGCTGTAGGACGGCCCTTTGAAGCCCCGCGGCAAGAGTTTAAACAGTTTTTTTCCCTCTAGTCATCAGCTGGGACTCAGGAGGCAGCAATAGATTGGGGGTGGGACCAAATAAAAGGTAAGAATAATGTGGAGGGGTGGGAGGGCGGGGGGGGAGAATCGGTTCGGTGATGTCATATCATCACCGCTACCGGCTCGGCCGAACCGGACCGAACCGGGAGGAACCCACCACTGAAACTAGGTAACATCATCAGTGCTAGTAAGGAGTGGGGATTGCTCTACATTTATATTCTAGTATATTGTCCTGTCAGTGTTGATGGGATTCGTCTTGGAGGTTCTTTGGTTGGGCTGTTTATTGTTAGTTTGTTTAGCAGTTTCTTAATTGGGGCATTGTTTACTTTTTGATTGTTGATTTGATGTAAATCTTGGGGTTAATCTATGCACATCTGGTGTTGATGGTTGGTGGGGAGATGTTTTAGTCTTCTTCTTCCCTTTTGGGGTCTTTTTGTTTCCCAAAACACCTTCTCATCAATAATGGGGAGGGAAGGAGGGAGGGAGAGATGAGAGAGAGAGAGATGATATATGGATGGAAGGATGGATGGATGGATGGATGGAGAGAGAGAGAGATGATAGAGATAGATAGGTAGATAGATAGAAGATGGGTTGGTAGGAGATAATAGATAGATAGATAGATAGATAGATAGATAGATAGATAGATAGATAGATAGATAGATAGATGATAGGTAGGTAGATAGATAGTAGGTAGGTAGGTGGATGATAGATAGATAGATAGAAGATGGGTAGGTAGGAGATAGATAGATGATAGATAGATAGATAGATAGATAGATAGATAGATAGATAGATAGATAGATAGATGATAGATAGATAGATAGATAGATAGATAGATAGATAGATAGATGATAGAGAGATGGCTGGATGGATAGATAGATAGATAGATAGATAGATAGATAGATAGATAGATAGAAGATGGGTAGGTAGGAGATAGATAGATAGATAGATAGATAGATAGATAGATAGATAGATAGATAGATGATAGAGAGATGGATGGATGGATGGATGGATAGATAGATAGATAGATAGATAGATAGATAGATAGATAGATAGATAGGAGAGAGCGATGATAGAAAGAGTAGATACTGTAGAGAGATGGATGGATGGACGGACAGGTTTATTCTTAAACTCCTTTGAAATTATAGAATTAGAACTCTGAAACTAATCAGAGTTAGTACTGCTTTCTCCATATAATATTAAGTTTCATCAACTTTTTTTTTTTTTTTCATGCTTCCTTCCACAATTTCACTGCAATTCTGTCTTTGCAACTTCGGAATTCCGGCTACTGCATGGAGTAGCATCAGCAACTAGATGTCCAGAAGGCTGAATCCGTCGTGAGCACCATCGGTATTCTGAGATCCTCCGATTTTCTTCAGCACTATCATCCAGCACTACATCAATAATCGCTTCACCTTGTCTATCCATCTGGTTTTCTTGGTAGATAACTGGAGCGGTTGATCATTCCTCCTCCCGTGCCGTATGAGATTATACTTTTGTCGTTGTCGCTCAGATGATCATCTGCCTCCGGCATCTTCTTAAATCGGTGCTCCTGACCTGGAGGTGCCTGCTTACTTTAACTGGACAGCTGGAATGACCTTCACACCTTAAGTGACCTTGAAGGGAATATATATACTCTTGTCATCTACCCCCAAGGTTCTTTGCTCATCCCTCCCTTCTGCACTCTGCCAGAATGGAGCAAGATTTGAGGATGTCAGGAAATGGCATGTCTTCTCAAGCAGAAATGTCTCTGTCCCTTTCTTTCTGTGTCCCCTGGCAGACCTGCCAAATCATGAGTAGATCCTGAAATATGGTTGGTTGGTTTTGTTTTTAGGTTCTTGATACTATTAATTCTAAGAAGATAGTACCAAGGACCTAAATGGGAATACATACTCTGACCACGTAAGCTACTTCTATCCCCCACAGAGCCCTGATAAAACAAATGTCAGCATAGGCATGTTGGTACTGACAGATCTGATAGTAGTATAAATCGATCTGCACCAGAGGTGGGTTTCAGCAGGTTCTGACCAGTTCTGGAGAACCGGTAGCGGAAATTTTGAGTAGTTCAGAGAACCGGTAGTAAAAAATTCTGACTGGCTCCACCCCCATCTATTCTCTGCCTCCCAAGTCCCATCTGATCGGGAGGAAATGGAGATTTTACAGTATCCTTCCCCTGGAGTGGGGTGGGAATGGAGATTTTACAGTATCCTTCCCCTGCCATGCCCACCAAGCCATGCCCACCAAGCCACGCCCACAGAACCGATATTTAAAAAATTTGAAACCCATCATTGATCTGCACCGATCGATTGGCTAGAAAGATCAGAGTTTTGATACCAAGCATCAAGATGCCTTGCGTGCGAATGTTTAATGGGTGGAACTCAAGCAATTGTGGAGGAACCTAGGCTGTTTCAGAAGGGACAGTCCAACCTGTTCCTCCAAAATCTGACACCAACTTTTTTTTTAGGTTCTAAAAGTGTGCAGAAATATTATTAAATACGTGGGTAATATTTAATTGCTTTACTGTAATTTTGATTTAATTAAATTTCAAATTAAATCAAGGTTAGTTCTTCCTCCTCCTTCTTTTCCTCCTTTCTTCCTCTTCTTTTTCTTCTTTCTTCTTCTTCCTCTTCCTTCCTCTTCTTCCTCCTCCTTTTCCTCCTTCTCCTCCTTCTTTTCCTCCTTTCTTCCTCTTCTTTTTCTTCTTCTTCCTCCTCCTTCCTCTTCTTCCTCTTCTTCATCCTCCTTTTCCTCCTTCCTCCTCCTTCTCTTCCTTCTTCTTCTTCCTCCTCCTTCTTCCTCTTCTTCTTCCTTCTTCCTCCTCTTCCTCTTCATCCTTCTCCTCCTCCTCCTCCTCCTTCCTCCTCCTCTTCCTTTCTTCTTCTTCCTTCTTCCTCCTTTTCTTCTTCCTCCTCCTTCCTCTTCCTTCCTCCTCCTCTTCTTCATCATCTTCCTCCTCCTCCTCCTTCCCCTCCTCCTCCTCCTCCTTCTTCTTCATCCCTATTTGTGGGAAAACAACCCTTGGCCATCCATCCAAAGTGCCCAGGTGAATAAAAAAAAATTGTTTTTATATTTCTCCTTTAGAGAAGAGGCAGCTGTCTCAAGCATCTGCTTTGAATCACGCAAATCCCAGAAGACCCCACCCTGCCACATGGCTAGCAAAGCTCCCACCACAGTTGATGTAACACAGCTTGGTGACAGTTCCTTACTCACTCGGCATATTTATAATGATTAGTATCAGTGCGCTCTCCACAATGAAGCCATCTCAAGTCTATACTGGTAGAAACATAGAAGTTTCACTTTGCAGGGTTCTTCCCAGGGGTGAAATCTACTTACCTTCCCTACCGGTTCGGAAGTGCGTGCTCCGCCCACACGCATGTCACGTGCAATTTTGGACCCTCTGCACATGCGCAAAGCTTTCTGTGCATGCACAGAGGGTAAAAAACAGGTTACTTCCTGGTTAAAACCAGGAAGTAACAACGTCCGAGTGGGTGGGCGGAGCCTCATGCTGCTGCCACTACCGGTTCTCTGAACCACCCGCCACTGCCACTACCAGTTCGGCCGAAGCGATCCGAACCGGTAGCATTTCACCCCTGGTTCTTCCTGAATGGGACCACTATTAAACTCCTGGTAGGAGTTTACAAGAGAGACAATTTGTCAGACCTGCCCCAATCCTATCCCTTAAGAAAGAGAAGCCTTCAACTCCATTTGGTTCAAGCAAAGGATTCTTTTACTAAGGATGTTGGTTGCAGTAAAGTCAAGCCAGCTCTGAAACCTCCCGCGCTCACTAGAAACAAAAATAAGGTATAGATTTTGCCCACCCTCTCTCCATGGCCAGTCCCATTTCCAGCCAACTGGAGATTGCCAGAATGTTTTGAGAACTCTTAAGATGTTTGTGGGTAATCTGCATATTTCTCACGGTGCTTGGCTATGTGTTGTGGCCCGTCAGCGGCCTGTGCAGCTAGTAGCTGATTCCAACAGCGAGGAGGCTGGTGTGGTGCTGTGCCAGCAGCCTGTGCAGCTGGCACCCGAGTCAGACAATGAGGAGGCTGGAGAAGATGTGGTGCCAGAGGCGGGGATTCAGCCAGGGCCTTCAGAACCTCCAGAAGCTCCCTTAAGTGAAGAGGAAGACGAGGAGAAGCCTCTTCTCGATGCACAGGCGCGCAGAGCTGCCAAAAGCCAGGAGTGGCTCCTCAGGAGGAGGTCTCCTCGAGAGTAAGGTTTTGAGCTAATTGGCCACTCCCTTAGCCTATTTAAGGAAGAACGCCCACTGAAGCAATTTGTAGGGAAAAACTTCATTCATTCTCCTTTGGGTCTTGATCTTAGTTCTCTGCAAATTGTTTCTGGGCTTTCTGCCAACCATATTAAGATTACGATTATTTATTCTTTGGATTCTTGTCATCTGTTAAGAAAGTTAATAAACAGCCTTTGTTTGAAAAAGACTGATTTAATTTAGTAAACTAAGGTTTGTACAGACTTTCTGCGTGCTGCGTTCTTTGGGGTCCGTAGCTGGGGCAGAACACTATGGGATGCTGGTATAAACAGGATGTGGGATGCTGGTCCTTCACTCCTGTCATTCCCCAGCCCCTCCCAATTCCCTATCACATACACACAAAGCTTTATTGCCCTTTCATCCTTTCCCTTTTCTTCCTCCTTTGATCCTCCCCGCTTCTTCTTTTGATGGCAGGATGCCTGTGAGGCGCCAAGCCGAAACCAGGTAGAGCTGTTACAATTTGGTGTTGTAGCTAGAAACTGGACTGAGTTCTAGTCCAACCTTCGTCCAGCTGGGCGACCTTGGGCCAATCAAGAATAAACTGCTACCAAAATCATGCCAAGAAAACCGCAGGGACTTATCCAGGCAAGTCACCAAGAGTCAAGATTGACTCAAAGGCCCCAAAAAACAAGCAAAGCACAGCTGTGCTGCCCAGCCCTTTAACCAAAGAGCATGTGTTAGTATCCACAAGCTGGGTAACAGCTGCAGATGGATTACCTCTCCCCAGCAGAGGTTAGGGAAGGGGTGGAAATCCTTGCGATGGTGCTGAGAATTTACAGTTTGCATGTGTGCACTGCCTGGTGGCACATTCAGAATCAGAGAACAGATTCAACTCTTCTTTCCTGGATGCTGCTGGAGAGGATATCGTCATCATTCAAGGTGGCAAGGAGAGATGCAACCTAGAACTAAGGAGAAATTTCCTGACAGTGAGAACAATTCATCAGTGGAACAACCTGCCTGCAGAAGTTGTGAATGCTCCAACACTGGGAGTTTTCAAGAAGGGATTGGATAACCATTGAACTGAAATGGTATAGGGCAGTGATGGTTAACCTTTTTGCCATCGTGTGCCAAAAGTGGGGGGAGCGTGGGGGGGCACGCACACCCATAATTCTATGCACCCTGCCCCCCGTGCATGCATACATGACACCCCCCCGCGCTCCCCCTGCTTTTGGCACGCGATGGCACATTGGCCCTGGTAGGCCTGTTTTTTGCCCTCCTCAGGCTCCAGAGTCTTTCTAGGAGCCTGGGGAGGGCAAAAACAGCCATCCTCATCCACCCAGAGGCCCTCCAGAGGCCGGAAACCGCCCGTTTGCCAACTTCTGGTGGGACTGGAAGGCCCGAAAATCAGCTAGCGGAGCTGAGCTTGCATGCCTACTGATATGGCTCCGTGTGCCACCTGTGGCACGTGTGCCATAGGTTTGCCATCACAGGTATAGGGTTTCATGCTTGAGCAGGGGTTTGGACTAAAAGACCTCCAAGGTCCCTTCCAACTCTGTTATTCTATATTCTACATGAAAAGTAAAGATTGGCAACAGCAAAGGTGGAGCTTTTATTTTTGCAAACTGGAAATGAAGCAAAAGTACACCCTTCCTAGATGCGTGGCACGCAGTCCACAGGTGGCACGCAGAGCCCTTTCTGCAGGCACGCCAGGCATCGCCCCGGCCCAGCTTTACCACACATGCGTGCATGCCTCCTGCAGGCCAGCTGGTCTTCAGGTCTTTGCCGTGCATGCACGGGGAGCAGGGTGCGTGTGAAGGAGGGGGCACTCGCATTGCATTTGGAGGGGTTCACACGCGCCACCACACACACACACACACACCCTATTTTGTGCCTAGAAGGCCTCCTGTAGCAACCTGGAAGCCAAAACTAGGTATGGGGGGACGCGGGTGCATGCACGGGGGCTGGACGCATGCACAGGGTGTGCTTGCATTGCATTTTGGGGGTTTGGGCATGCGCATATGGATTCGTGCACGCACGTGCATGCTTTGGGCACTCAGCACCAAAAAGGTTAACCATCACTGCCCTAGACAGTGGGCAAAAATCCACCAAACGCTCCTCAGTCAAAACCTCACTCCCAAGTCTTGAGTTGTGTCAGGATTTATCCAAACACAACTAATTTTAGGACTATTTAGTAAACAAACCAGCAATGGACAGTCTAAAGCTGTGATGGCGAACCTATGGCACGTGTGCCACAGGTGGCACGCGGAGCCATATTGGTGGGTACACGAGCTGAGCTCTGGCGCGCATGCGTGTCCCGGCCAGCTGACTTTCAGATTTTCTGGGCTCACCGGAAGTCAGGAAAACAGTTTCCAGCCTCTGGAGGGCCTCTGGGGGGGGTGAGGAAGGCTCGTTTTTCGCTCTCCCCAGGCTCCAGATCCTTTCTAGGAGCCTGAGGGCAAAAACGGCGTTCCCCACCCCCCTGGAGGGCCTCTAGAGGCCGGAAACAGCCCATTTCCCGACTTCAGGTGGGACCGGAAGGCCCATTTTTTGCTCTCCCCAGGCTCCAGAGCCTTTCTAGGATCCTTGGGAGGGCGAAAATGGCATTCCCCACCCCTCTCGAGGCCCTCCAGAGGCCAGAAATGGCCCGTTTCCCAACTTGCAGTTCCACTGGAAGTCTGGTGGCCCACTATGCCATTGCATTCCAAAAGCGGGGGGAGCGCAGGGGGGGGCACGCATATGCGTGTGGGGTGGGGCACATAGAATTATGGGTCTGGGCACATGCATGCATGCCCCCCCCCCCGCAGTCCCCCCACTTTTGGCACTCGATGGCAAAATGGTTAGCCATCCCTGGTCTAAAGCTTCGTGAGTATTTTTGGAATGGCTTTCAAAATGATTTTTTTTTTCTTTATTCAATACTTTTTATTTCTTTTATTGGGTTTCTGAGCGGCTCCAACCGTTGCCCAGTCTGTACATCCCAACGCACCTACAGCGTTGAAATATATTACCTATATTGCAATAAAACTGTAGCAACCGTGGTTCATAAAAATAACATTACGTATAGATACGCTTCTAATACTGGGACTCAAATCCATTCATTGGCTACAAAGCCAAAACGACTTCCATTCGTCAAGGGAACCGGTCACATTCTTCCACGCACAAGGCTTGATGAATTAGCCATATTTTGATGGACTTGTCAAAAACCAGGTTCAGATGCTTGGGTAAACACTTTCTGCATGCATCAGCAGTGTCTGCTGAGATTCAAGTGAGCCCTACCCAGGGGTGAAATCTACTTACCTTCCCAACCACTTCGGAAGTGCACGCACGCATCCCGTTCACTCTTGGACCCTCTACACATGCGCAAACAGGTTACTTCCTGGTTAAAACCAGGAAGTAATGATGACCGGGTGGGTGGGCGGAGCCTCGCGCCGTCATCGCTACAGGTTCTCCGAACTACCGGCTGCCATCACTACCAGTTCCGCCGAACCAGTCTGAACCGGGAGCATTTCACCCTTGGCCCTATTCCTATATTTATATCGGTATAATCAGTGGTGGTATTCAGACGGTTCTCTCCGGCTTGGGAAAACCTGTAGCGGCAGCTGCGGGAGGCTCCGCCCACCCCCCCTCAGATGTAATCACATCCGTTTTTCATGCTCTGCGCATGCACGGAAGACCCTAAGCATGTGCGGAGGCGGCGCGTACGCTCACATTTGCAAACCAGTAGCGAAGATAAGTGAATACCACCCTGGGTATAATGTTGTGTGCGTGTGTGTGTCTGTGTGTCCCAAAGGGATACACAAGTTGATAATGCAGTACTGTTTTCCTCATTCCAGCCAAATAAACAGGAGACTGTTCGCCTCCATGGCTGGTCTTGTTACAAAGGGAGGAAATCATGAAATATATGCCTGGATGCTAATAATAATATGGTTGGTTGGTTGGTTGGTTGGTTACGTGCAGTGGTGGGTTGCCCCCGGTTCGGACCGGTTCACAAGAACCAGTAGTAAAACTAGCAGGAGGCTCCTCCCACCACCCCGGATGTCGTCATCGACGATCTGCGAATGCGCAGAAGCAAGGCATGTGTGCTCGCTTTGCTTGCGCACGCAATCTTATTACGAACCAGTAGTAAAGGTAAGTAGAACCCACCCCTGGTTACGTGCCATCAAGTCAGTATCAACTTATAGCTATCCCGTAATACAGGTAATCCTCGACTTACGACCATTCATTTACTGACCGTTTGAAGTTACAACGGAGCTGGAAAAAAGTGACTTATGAACATTTTTCACACTTACGACTATTGTAGCATCTCTCTGGTCACGTGACCAAAATTCAGATGCTTGGCAACGGGTTCGTATTTATGACGGTCGCAGTGTCCCGGGGTCATGTGATCCCCTTTTGTGACCTCCTGACAAGCAAAATTCAATGGGGAAGCCAGATTGACTGAACAACCATGTTACTAATTTAACAGCTGCAATGGTTCACTTAACAACTGTGGCGGGAAAGGTCGTAAAATGGGGCAAAACTCACTTAGCAACTGTCTCATTTAACAGCAGAAATTTGGGGTTCAGTTGTGGTTGTAAGCCGAGGACTACCTGTATCTTGCCTCAGTGAGACCTTCGGCTCCCATTCCCGTACTTACCGGTAAAACTATTCCAATCCATTTTAAAATGATGTGAAACATAAAAACAGCTGACAACGCGTCAATTTGTCATCATGTTTCGGCAGAGCTCCATGGGCCATTGGGGCTGGGGGGGGGGGGGGGGGGGGGGGAGCGATGAACTCTGACCTTAAAACATCCAATGCAGTTCTCCTTTCCCCCCTCCCCTCCCGAAGCAGTGGCTAAGAATGAGCCAATGCATATTTACACAGCATAATAACTTGAGATGCTTCAAATCTGAAGAGATCTGTTAAGCTTGGCAGCTGCTGGGAACGTTGCCCCCCCCCTTCCCCATCCCTCCCTCAACCCTCCTTCACCCCAGCCTTGCCTCCAGTTTCCACCTGCTCCCTCTGCACAAAGGGTGGGCCTGTCATTTCCAGCCTCCCCCCACCACCTCCCCACAAACTCACACACACAAAACGGTTCTCTGCAGCACAAGGCTTCCCGAAACATTAAGCCTTCTTCTACCCGTGCAACGGGTGCGCGCCAATGAACTGTGGTTTTTCTGAGCATAAAAAAAGGAAGTGGCCACTTCATATATACATGCCTGTGCACAGTGCTGTCTACACAAAAAGGACGCTCGAGTGAGGGGAACGCGGGGAGTGGCGTGGCGTGGCAGCGCTGAGCAGAGCTGTGCGTTTCTGTGTGTCGGAATCTGGAGGAATCCCTTGGGAAGACAAGGCAAAGGTGCGAGCGAGCCGATGAATCCACAAGGTACCAGCTGGTTTGGGGTCATGTCTTTAGGGAAGCAACTCTTGCAACTTGGAGTTGAGAAAGAGAGTAGCGTTGGGAAATTAGTAACAGCCAGAGAACCAGAGGGACCTAAGGGGAGAGGCAGGGAGTGTTAGGCACCGAAGACAGGGTGAAAAGAGAATTTGGATAGGTTTTCCCAAGTAGGACCACGGGAGGAGACAACTTTGGGTTGTGAAAGGAGGTTAACAGGAGACCCCCAAAGGCTTCTAGGCAGTGGTGGGATTCAAATAATTTAACAACCAGTTCTCTGCCCTAATGATTTCTTCTAACAACCAGTTCACCAAACTGCTCAGAAAGTCAACAATCGGTTCTCCCGAAGTGGTGCGAACTGGCTGAATCCCACCACTGCTTCTAGGTAAGGAAGGTTCCCAGATGGCCTGCAGAGCTTTAGCTGAGCAAGGGCTGGAGGAGTTCTTATCAACGCCTTGATCTGATGAACAGATTTTTTTTTTTGCAAGCGTAAGGCTTACAAGGCAAGAGACTAAAACTTATGAAGAACGGTTGCAGGAGTTTTGTAATTAAGGGAAGACACGATAGCACTATTCCAGTATTTGAGGGGCTGCCACAAAAGAAGAGGGAGTCAACTTATTTTTCCAAAGCACCTGAAGGCAAGGACAAGAAGCAATGGATGGAAACTAAGCAAGGAGAGAAGCAACCTAGAACTAAGGAGAAACTTCCTAACAGTGAGGACAATCCAGTGGTGGGATTCAGCCAGTTTGCACCTATTCGGGAGAACCGGTCGTTAACTTTCTAAGCAGTTCAGAGAACCGGTTGTTGGAAGAAATCTCATTTGGTTTTTTTTCCATTTTAGAGGGCTAATCCTGTAAGGAAGGCAGGAAGGAAACATTCTGGTGTTGTTTCTAGCCTAATCTTTATTGCCCTGCTTAAAGAAACTGCCTCTCTGGTTAACCCTTATTACATTGTAACAGCTAAGGCAAAGCGCCCATTGACATGAGTGACGTTGAGTTGGCCACGCCCACACGGTCACATGACCACTGAGCCACGCCTACCCAGCTGGTCATTAGGGCAGAGAACCGGTTGTTAAATTATTTGAATCCCACCCCTGGGACAATCCACCGGTGGAACAGCTTTCCCTTCACAAGTTGTGGGTACTTCATCACTGGAAGTTTTTTTTGAAGAGATTGGACAGCCATTTGTCTGAAATGGTATGGGATCTCCTGCTTGAGCAGGGGGTTGGGACTACAAGACCTCCCTTTTCCATCTTTATTCTGAATCTTTATAAATCTTTGCTGGGAACTCAGCAAATAAGCCGACAATGACATCCTGTTAGTTAGAACAAGCTACTGGTCAAAAGTCTCCCGACCAAGGCGCGGCGACAGTCCCATCTTGAAAAGCAGGAAACGGGGGGGGGATCTGCAGGATGTGGTCAAAAAAGTCAACATGTCAGACAACAGAGCTTCAACGACACCGTTGCGGTTGTCAATTTGACTTATTTGAATAGTCTTCATTGTACGGATTGTTAAGGAAGCCTTACAATCAGGGGGGGCTGAAGTAATCCAGCACTGCCTGTTGCGTGGCAGGTCAGCAAATACAGTAGTGGCCAAAATTGTGGAAACCTTTTGGGAAAAGTGTATTTTCTAAAACTAGCTAATAACACCACTTTTTTGGGGGGGGGGAGTAGTACCCTAAAATTATATATCAATGGAAAGATCATTTAATCAAGAACGTCATGCAATAACTTTTATGAAGGATTTGCTGTTAGAATAGCAGTTACAGTAAAAAGAAGAAAAGTGAAACACAGAAAAAAACAAGATATACAAAAATTATCACCATGTCAGTTAATACTTAGTTGGGTAACCTTTAGCATGAATGACAGCCTTACAACGTCTTCCCATGGAGTGAACCAAGTTTTTTAGTTCTGCAGCTGTTCTAATGTGAAACCAAGATCGAATGATTGCTTCCGTTAACTGGGTTTTATTGCTAGGTCGCTTCTGACTAACAAGTTTCTTTAGTCGGCTCCATAGATTTTCAATTGGGTTAAGTTAAGGTCTGGGCTATTCCCAGGCCATTCCAGCAGTGGAATATGATTATCTTGAAACTCCAAAAAAAAAAAAAAAGTGGTGTTATTAGCCATCAAACCTCAAAAATACACTTTTCCCAAAAAGATTTCCACAATTTTGGCCTCTACTGTACGTTCTACCAAAAGGAGACTGTGTGGTAAAAAACAAGAATGAAACTTAATTTTGCATATATTAACTTATTTTTAGACTTCGTTCTCTCCTTGATAGGGTTGCTCTTTAATTATGTGTCCAGTCATGTCTCGCAGAAAGTACAAAATGATAAGGTCTTTCAGTCTCCAAAGAGAGACACCCCATAACTTTCAGTTAGCTAGCTGCAGGTTGGGGGTTCTGTAATTTCTGTCTCTGCCTTAGCGCAAAACTCTTGTTTCTGACTTTCTAGCTTTTGCCTTCTCTCTTTTATTGTTTGTATGGGGTGGATGGCCAAGAGATCCCCCTAAAGAGGTAATGTTTTCTCCAAGTTTCCTCCTGGAGGCTCAAGGTTTCCTTTGAACATATCACCAACAGTGGTGGGTTTCAAATTTTTTTACTACCGGTTCTGTGGGCGTGGCTTGGTGGGCATGGCATGGCTTGGTGGGCATGGCAGGAGAAGGTTACTGTAAAATCTCCATTTCCACCCTACTCCAGGGGAAGGATACTGCAAAATCCCCATTTCCTCCCAATCAGCTGGGACTTGGGAGGCAGAGAATAGATGGGGGCGGGGCCAGTCAGAATTTTTACTACCGGTTCTCCGAACTACTCAAAATTTCCACTACCGGTTCTCTAAAACTGGTCAGTGTCACTGCGTTTATGTATTTACCAGATGAGCTCATATTTTTGGACTTTAAGACTTTCCGTAGCTTGCCAATTTTGTTATCAGTAAGCTAACTACGCATGTCCGCATTCTTTCTTTCTACTTCACACTCTTTCTTTGTTCTCTTGCCAAAGAAGTCCGGCTGCTGAGAGGTAGCCGGCAGGAACGTTGCCAAAATGTAATTATTTTAGATAGTCAGATGTTTTATTTTCTTTATAACAAATAAATGAGTTTATTCTTAGAAAAAATATCTTCGGGGTTTATTTTCTTACAAAAGTATACACAAGGAAAATGCCACGATCCACGTCTCTAAATCAAGGTGCGATTACCCAAAAGCAGAATGGGATTAATCAGCATCCTGACAGTCAGAACCTGCTGAAACCCACCTCTGATCACCAAGTGTTAGTGGGGTAATTGCTGAAAATGAATATTCTACCCTAAAGCAGGCAATGTTCTGAAATAGGTTTGACACAGTGAAAAGGAAGGAAAAAACATAGCAGTGGCCCTGCTGGTATCACCAGCATCCAGAGCTCAAACTTGAATTTAAATATTTGAAATGTTGAGCTAAACTGAAAATAAAACAAATAATCCAATGGTCAGCATTTATGTTCCCGTTCAAGTTATGAAACATAAAAGTCAGCACTTCCATAATTTTCTCAGAATAGCATGAAGAAGTCTATGCACAAGGCCTCAGAGGAGTGGAGTGGAGTGGAGTGGAGTGGAAGGAAGGAAGGAAGGAAGGAATTTCTTTTATTTTGTTTTCTAGCATGTCAACTCAAAGAAGGAGACTGATAGGTATAGGTTGAACCAGGGGTGAAATGTAAAATTTGTTACTACCGGTTCTGTGGGCGTGGCTTGGGGGGTAATGTGACTGGGCGTGGCCAACTTCTTTTTTTTTTAACTTTTCAAAGCATTTTTTCTAATGCTTTGGAAAGCCTCTGCTGATCAGGCAACTCAGCTGGGGTGTCAAAGAGGCTTTTTAAAAAATGCTTTGAAAAGCCTCTCTGCCGATCAGGCAACTCAACTGGGATCGTCAGAGACTTTTCAAAGCATTTTTTTTACCACCTCTTCAGCCAAGAGGTTGCAGAAAAAAATGCTTTGAAAAGCCTCTGACGATCCCAGCTGAGCTGCACGATCATCAGAGGCTTTTTTTTTTTTACTTTTAAAAGCATTTTTTTGTTGGAAGAGGTTGTAGAAAATGCTTTTAAAAGTAAAAAAAAAAGCTTCTGATGATCGTGCAGCTCAGCTGGGCATGGTGGGGGGGCAGTGATTTTTGCTACCTGTTCTCTGAACCACCTACTGCCATCACTACCGGATCGGGCGATCCGGTCTGAACCAGGAGCATTTCACCCCTGGGTTGAACCCAAATTTCTGTTGCTAAGCAAGATAGGTGTTTAGTGAGCTTTGTACCATTTTACAACCTTTCTTGTCACAGTTGTTAAGTGAATCACTGCAGGTGTTAAGTTAATAACACGGTTGTTACGTGAACCTGGCTCTGCTTGACAGAAGGTCGCAAAAGGGGAACCACACGACACTGCCACCGTCATAACTATGAACCAGCTGCCAAGCATCCCAATTTTGATCACGTGACTATGGGGATGCTGCAAAAAAAGGTCGTGTGAAAAACGGTCAGAAGTCACTTTTTTCAGGGCCTTGCTAAATTTGAATGGTCACTAAACAAATAGTTGTAAGCCAAGGAGTACCTGTACCAGGTTGCTTACCTCTGTCTTTAAGGATCACCAACTGATTTCAAGCTACCTCTAAACGGGTCTTGGACAAATTGTCACAGCCAACTCGCCACAGTAAACTCACCGTGGCCAACTCACCATGACCAATTTGCCAACTTGCCACGGCCAATTTGCTGCGGGACAACTCGCTGCTGGATCAGAGTTACACTAATATCAAAGAAACGATGAAATAGAGTAATTACAGAACAGATGCAAAAAGAGGGACAAAATGAAATGTGAATGACAAAAATTAAAACATTTTTAAGTTTATTTATAAATCATTAAATTGAACTGTTAAATTGTTCTGCGGTGAGTTGTCCCGCAGCCAGTTAGTTGTGGTGAGTTGGCCATGATGAGTTGGCCATGATGAGTTGGCCATGATGAGTTGGCTGCAGCAAGTTGGCCGTGGAGAGGTGGCTGCAAGTTGGCTGGGATGAGTTGTCCCATTCCACCCCTAAGCAGTCTGGAGGCTCTCAAGGGCTCACTGGGCAATCACTCTAATGATCTCTCAGAATATCTGAGAGAGGGAGGAGGAGGAGGAGAAGGAGGAGGAGGAGGAGGAGATTAGGCAACAATCAGATAAGAGGCTGCTGAGCCCAGAGAAGCAACATGGGTGTGGCAAACATTTCAGAAGGGGTCTAGGACAACCCCACCACAGTCAACTCGCCAGGGCCAACTTGCTTCAGCCAACTCGCCGCAGGACAACTCCCCACGGAACAAGAGTTACGTTAATATCGAAGAAATGATGGAATAGAATAATTAAAGAAAGGACGCCGAAGGAGGGACAGAATTAAATGTGAATAACCAAAACTTTAAATAATTCTTACATTATTTTAAATCATGAAATTGAATTGTTGAATTGTTCCCACGGCAAATCGCCCTGTGTCAAGTTGGCCGCTACGGCCAGAGGTAGGTTTCACATATTTTTACCACCAGTTCGCCTCGCACGCACACGCACACGCTCACTTCACGCACGCACGCACCTTCCATGCCTGTGCCTGGTCTTCCATGCATGTGCTTTGCTCGCGCATGCGCCGTCTGTGCATGTGCCCGGCCTCGAAAAAGTTGCTAAATAGGATGGCATAGCGCCGGGGCGGATGGGCAGGCCCACTCGCGATCACCGCAACCGGTTCATCTGAACTGATCCGAACCAGCTGAATACCACCACTGGCTACAGCGAGTTGGCCACAGCAAATTGGCTGAAGCAAGTTGCCCCATTCCGTTTCAGAAGAGACTTTCCTTAGTTTCTTGGATTACAAAGGTAAATGGAGAGAGAGAGATGTGATCTAACCTCACAACCAGTGGTGGGTTTCAAAACTTTTTACTACCAGTTCTGTGGGTGTGGCTTGGTGAGCATAGCATGGCTTGGTGGGTGTAGCTTGGTGGGCGTGGCAGGGGAAGGATACTGTGAAATCTCCATTCCCACCCCACTCCAGGGGAAGGATACTGCAAAATCCCCATTTCCTCCCAATCAGCTGGGACTCGGGAGGCAGAGAATAGATGGGGGCAGGGCCAGTCAAAGATGGTATTTACCAGTTCTCCAAACTACTCAAAATTTCTGCTACCGGTTCTCCAGAACTGGTCAGAACCTGCTGAAACCCGTCTCTGCTCACAACGAAGGCAGCGCAAGTACTCACTTCTTGTTGGTGCTTCCCATCTGCGGGCTACCTTTAAGGACCGACGGCCATGCTGGTCACCAGTACCTTCTTTTCTTGTTTGTGGGCAGATATTTTGAAACAACAAAAATTACTCGTGAATGTGGAAGTTTGCCATTCTTAGTACCAAAAAAAAAAAGAAAAGAAAAAGTCTTTTAAGCGGATGCATTATTTTTTGCAAGACCTGAATTCCTGTTTTTCCTTCCCTGGCCAACGTTGCTATGTCAACTTTTTCTACTGCAGCCATAGCCTCCCTATCCCAATCCAGGTAGTTCTCGGCTTACAACAGTTCATTTAATTTATTTAATAATTTAATTTAATTTAATTTAATTTAATTATTTAATTTATATGCCGCCTCTCTCTGAAGACTCAGGGCGGCTCACAATACATTTTAAAAAATCATTATAAAAAAACATTTAAAAATTAAAAACATTAAAAACATTAAAAACTCATTTACGCCATTCATGGCCGGATCTCGCCAGATCACAAGAGCGAGATCAACGGCCCCAGGCCTGCCGGAAAAGCCAGGTCTTCACCACTTTTCGGAAGGCCAATAGGGTGGGGATGGTCTGGACCTCAGGAGGTAACTGGTTCCAGAGAGCTGGGGCAGCCACAGAGAAGGCCCTCCCCCGCGGGCCCGCCAGCCGGCATTGTTTAGCTGACGGGACCCGGAGGAGACCAACTCTGTGGGATCTTACCGGTCACTGGGAGCTATGCGGCAGAAGGCAGTCTCGAAGATAACCTGGCTCTGAGCCATTTAGTCACTGAATCAAGTGACTTAGGATTTAGTTGTAAGGTTGTTATCTAGTTCTATTTCACAATTACCACCTTTGCGACATCCGCGTAGTCATGTGATCAAAATTCAAGTGCTTGGCAACTGGTTCGTATTTATGACAGTTGCGCTGCCTTGTGATCATGTGACACCCCCCCCCCTTTTGCAATCTTCTGACAAGCAAAGTCAACGGGGAAAGCCAGATTCACTTAACAACCATGTTACTAACTGAGCGAAGAACTGATTCACTTAACAACTGGGGCAAGAAATTTTGTAAAATGTGACAAAACTCATCGAACAAATGACAAAAACTTAATGACAAAAAACACTGGGGGCTCCATTGTGGTCGTAAGTCGAGGACGACCTATGACTCTCTTCTGCTTTCCCTTTTCCTCTTCGCTGTTGAGGGTGAGGATCGACATAAAAAAAAAACCACTGAGTCAGAATATTTGGTTTAGTTCCTCTTTGATTGCCCAACATCTACAGTAAACCAAAACCCAAGGAGAGGAACATCTCACCCCGTTTTTCATCAAGAAACTGCCACTAAAAGGGGAACTGTAAATACAGGATAAGACCCAGAGGAACGTGTAGGAAGGAAGGCACAGACATGCAAACAACTGTTAATGTTTTCTCCTTCCCTTAGGAGGAAAGGCCTATGGGGCATTGAAGGTCCAGCAGGAGGAATTGTTAGATTCCCTCAACAAGGTAAGAGTCAAGTTTGTGTTTACACCACACGCTACCCACCAATCATTTTTCAGCAGTGTTTCTCAACCCTGCCCACTTTAAGATGTGTGGACTTCAACTCCCAGTGGCCGGGGAATTCTGGGAGTTGAAGTCCACACATCTTAAAGTGGCCAAGGTTGACCCAAAGGTGTGTTTTCTTTTTCAAGAGGCAACTCGACTTTCTGGTTTTTCTTGGAATATGTTTCACTTCTCATCCAAGAAGCTTCTTCAGCTCTGACTAGATGTTAACAGCTGGTCATTATTGCAAGGAATATAAATCTGCAAGGAGTATAAATCCTTCCATTCCCCACCATCCAGTCAAAGCTGAAGAAGCTTCTTGGATGAGAAGGGAAACATCTTCAAAGAAAAACAAGGCTTGGTGGGCGTGGCAGGAGAAGGATACTGTAAACTCTCCATTCCCAACCCACTCCAGGGGAAGGATACTGCAAAATTCCCATTTCCTCCCGATCAGCTGGGACTCAGGAGGCAGAGAATAGATGGGGGCGGGACCAGTCAGAGGTAGTATTTACCGGTTCTCTGAACTACTTAAAATTTCTGCTACCAGTTCTCCAGAACTGGTCAGAACCTGCTGAAACCCACCTCTGATCCAGTCAGAACTGAAGAATCTTCTTGGTTGAGAAGTGAAACGCCTTCAAAGAAAAACCAGAAAGTCCAGTGGCCTCTTGAAAAAAGCACCTTTGGGACAACCATGACCTGGATGACTGAGAATCTCCATAGAGATTTGCTAAGGTTGAGAAACACTGTTTTTGAACCTCGTGAGAGATGCTCACCTTGCCTGAACAATTCATGTGTGTGAACCCAGGAAACAAAGTTAGTTGAGTAATATCCGTGATTAACTATGGCGAAATAGGCTGCAAACACAGGAATTGTGACTCAGGTCAGGTTCAAGTCTATCTTCAGTCATGAAAGTGATTTTTGGCCTGAGACAGAGGATTGGCCTAAGGTCTAGTGGTGAAGGTGTTGAACTAGGAGTGAGAAGACCTGGGTTCTAATCCCCTCACTCAGCCACTGAAGCTCCCTGCAAGACTTTGACCCAACCCAAATAGATTCTGCTTCCCAAATAAATACATATCAGTCTTGATGCAAAATTCATTTTTATTACATTAGTTCTTCCGCACACATTTAAGATTATATTCACCCATCTTTTAACACTCTGTTTTATCCTGGTGATATGTATTGAACTGTTCTTATCCACTAAACAGGGTCATAATTAAGACATTCCAATCAATGAACAAAAACTAGATTTTTACCTGCCACTATCAAAACCTTTTTGCCAATTGGCACTATATCTGACCTACTCCAATTTATTGTAACTCTGAATAATTACCTTATCACTATATTGCTTCAGCAAACTCAGGAACAGATTCTTATATCAGTTTTATGTTTATTTATTATATACACACAAACACACATAATTCAATCTGGAGATAACCTGTTTTTCTAAATTTCAGCAAACCAGATACTGTGGATTTCATCCAGTTATCTAATGTCCAAAGTTGCAGCATTGGATTAAAACATAGGGGAAACGAAGGTCATCCTTAGGTCCCATATTGCATTTCAATGACTGGTGAAATAATCCCATTAGTAAATACATGAGCAGAGAGATTCAAATAACAGATTGCAAACCAAGAAACGCTGTTGCTTAAAATCTCAACTTCCACAGTCTACAGTGACCAGCATATAAAGATCTTTATCCACCATCATGTCATTACCAGGTTTCATTTTACAGTAAGAATGCTACTGTAATGTTAAGAACATTGTAGGAGAAGAACGGTAGTGAAGTAACCAGGGGTGGGCTGCTGGGGGTTCGCAGGGGTTCGGGAGAACCTCTAGCTAAGATTCTGTGCAGTTCTGTTACAATATTTTGAGGATCAGAATCAATAATAAATTCAGAAGTATTTTTCTTCAGTTAAAGAAGAGTTTATTCATAACAGGCATTCTACTTGTTCTGTCAGATTTTTACAGTGAGAAGCAAGCATGAGGTAAAAGCATTCTCTATTTATATCAAAGGGGAGGAGTCAAGGGTGGGGGTGATTACATATGAATACATTAAAGGAGGAGGAATAAATTAACTCTTAATATCCTGTACATATATACATATCTCTTGTTATAGAATAAGGCATTTACTTATGACAAATCCCCCTCTAAATGCCGATTCGATATATAACAATGATTGCATTCGGATTCAGAGCTATATAGTACTTGTAATTTTGATGTCAAGTATTTGTGTTGTTTAGAAGGTAAAGGTTTAGTTAATATATCAGCTATTTGTTCTGAGGTTTCGCAGTGGATTGCTTTAATGAATCCATCCTGAGATAAATGTCTGACGTGTTTAAATTTGATATCTATATGTCTGGATCTTTGACCAATGGCGTCAGATCTTGATATTTCTATAGCTGCCTTATTATCTTCATGTATGACAAATGGTAGTATTGGATTTTTCCAAATATCAGATAATAAATCATTAAACCATACTAAATTATTTGAGGCTTTAGATAAACAGACGTATTCTGCCTCTGTAGTGGAAGTCGCTACTAAATCTTGTTTCCCAGTGTACCAGAATATTGGGCAACCATTTAAAAATAATACATAACCTGAGGTGCTCTTTCTACATTTGATGTCACCTGCCCAGTCTGCATCAGCGTAACTGGTGATAATAGGTTCTTTAATATTATTGGGTTCTAAGAGTAGGCAGAAATCTATGCTGTGCTTTAGATATCTTAGTATTCGTTTGACTGCTTCCCAATGATACATAAGTGGCTTACTTACATGTCTAGATAATAAATTAAGTGGCAGAGCTATATCAGGCCTGGTCCAATTAGATATATACAAGAGAGAACCAATAATTGATCTATACAATGTATTGTTCTCGAATTCAGGCGAAGATTCATCCATATTCCTTAAAAAATCAGTCTGCATAGGAGTATCGCAAGGTTTGGCATCTCTTAAATTGCATTTTTCCAGAAGTTCTATAATTTTATCTCTCTGAGATAATTTGAATCCCTTTCTTGTCTTATTGATTTGAACTCCAAGGTATTTGTTTACCCTTCCTAGCGACTTTAAAGAGAAATGTTCACTTAGTCTGGATACAAATAAGTCTTTCTTTTCTTTATGTTTGCCTATATACAAAATATCATCCACATAGATTAACACAAATTCTAATGATTCACCTTCCTTTCTAACAAAAAAGCAATTGTCTGCAGTTGTGGCTTTGAAATCCATATTTTTAAGCACGCTGACAAGACATTCATACCAACGCTTGCCGGATTGTTTTAATCCGTACAAGCTTTTGTTAAGTAACCAGATCTCATCTCTGTTTGTACATTGGCTATGAGGTGCCCTTACATATATCTCTTTGTCGAGTTTTGCATGTAAGTATGCAGTCTGCACATCATATTGAAAGACATCAAGATTGAGTATAGCCGCTATGACTAAAGCTGTCTTAACACTTTCAGTTCTTACAGTGGGAGAGTATGTGTCAGTGTAATCCTCAGGATATTTTTGAGCGTAACCTTGTGCGACTAATCTAGCTTTATATAATTTATTACCCTCTTCTAAATCTTTGATTTTGAATATCCATCTGGTGCCTATAATTGTCTTGTTCTTAGGTGCAGGGACTGGTGTAAATACACCTAATTCACGCAAGCTGTTCATTTCTTTTGTTATGGCTAATTCCCATTTTTCTTTTTCTTCCATGGGAAGTTTTAACATTTCCTCATATGTGTTAGGTGTTGGTATCTCGTCATTCACACACATTATATAATCCTTATACTTATTAGGTAATTGTCTTCTGTTACACCTGATTGTTCTTATTGGAGTGCTCTCATTATCGTGTAGATATCTTGCTTCCTTTTTGGTTAATGAATCTGTTTTTATCCTGGTGTGGTTACCTGTCCATGTTTTGTTTTTGTCATCATGTGTGTTATGTTCATGTTTCTCTCTTTCTATTCTGTCTTGTTGTTTAATGTTTGGTTTAGTATTTTGGATTATCTCGTTAAGATGTATCTTAGACCAGTTGGCCTGTTCATGAAACACTGCTGTTCTTGAGACTATGAATTTGTTATTACTGTCAATGAATCTATATCCTTTTGTGCCTGTTTCGTATCCCATGAATCTAAGCCTTCTGGATACGTTATCTCCCTTACGTCTTAATTGTTTTGGTATGTGTACGTCTGCTGTAACCCCAAATATGTGCATGTGTGAAATTTTAGGTTTTCTATTGTACATCACTTCGTATGGTGTTTTATTTAGTATGCTAGACCAGGTCCTATTTTGGGTATAGTTTGAATATAGTAATGCTTCTGACCAGAATTGTTTTCCTAAACCAGCATCTTCTAATGTACATCTAATCATGGTTTGCAGTGTCGAGTTCTTTCGTTCTGCTGTACCATTTTGAAACGCAGAAAATGGGCTAGTCGTGAAGTGTAGCATTCCTTTGTCTTTTATCCATTGTGAGAATTCTTTAGACATGAATTCGGATCCCCTATCTGTCATGATTCGTTTTATTTTGATATTGTGTTGTGTTTCTACACGTTTGTAAAATTCTTTGAATTTTTGGAAAGTTTCATCTTTGTGTTTTAAAGTATAAACAAATCCATAACGGCTATAGTCGTCTACAATAGTTAGGAAATATCTTTTTTTGTATGTGATGGATGGTGTTAATGGACCAACCAGATCCATATGTACCAGATCAAAAATTTGGTTAGAGGTTCTTGTTGCCCTTTTTGGTTTTGGGTTAGTTCTGAGTTTTGATGATTTACATACTGAGCATTCTAAATAGTTTTTACAATCCTTTATTTTAACGCCATCAGCATGTTCAATCATTTTTTGTATTACAGGGAAACTTGCATGTCCCAATTTTCTATGCAACATGTGTGCACATTCATCATGAATTGGTTTGCCTATATTGGGCCTTTTGTTATTGTGTGTATCACTAGTGGGTGTGTCTTTGTGATTATAGT